TAGAAAGGTTAAATACTTAGCATAGCACTTTGTGATTTAGCTAAGCAGATAGAAATGCCTTTTTAGCTGCCTAGACAAGTGCAAGGCTAGGCATCTGTGTAACGCATTATAGCTGTTAGCGCTAGAGGTATCAAGTGGCTAGGGTAGTAGTTAATTGACAGTAGTGTAAATAATTCCTTTCTTTAGCTGCTTAAATGTTAGCTACTGCTATAGTTAGCTTGCAGCTATGTAAGCTTCTAAGTGTCTAGTCTAGAGTTGCGCAACTTAAAGCTCTATTATCTAGTTAGCTATATAGAATAGCTGCTTTGTAAATGCAGTCTTTAGCTAGAATTATTGCCACTCTAGCTAAAATCTAGTAAGGCATTATAGTCTAACAATAGCAACAACTTTGTTTTTCAAAGCGGCAAATATTAGAGAAACACAAAGTATGTTATGCTAATGCTTGTCAATAGCTAGTCAAGAGAAGAGATTAAGAGTAGTTATAGAGGTTACTAAACAAGGTTGACAAAACTCTGCCAATCCTAGTGCTTCTAGAGAAGTTTGTAATAATGCATAGCTTGATAGTAGGCAGCTCTAGGCTAGCTCTAAGGCTAGTGGCTACTCTTGTCTCTTCTTGACTTGTATCTTGTTTTTCAACCTTAAGAGAAGGCTTTTATGCCTAACAGCCTTGCCTAATGCAAAGATTAGCAGCAGCTATGCTTAGGTATACTATGCTGCAGAAAGGTTAAAAACAAACTGCAAGGTTGACTTTACAAGAAGGGAGATAGCATCTAAGAGTAGATCTATGCCAACTTGCCTTCTATTTCTCTTGTAGGCGGTAAGGGTTATTCTATCCTACATGACAAAGGCGTCTAATAGGTATTTAAAGCTGACAAAAGCCTATAAGACATTTCAAGCTGCTTGTTTTTATAAAGCCTCTTTACTTCTTATACACTCTAATGAGAACCTTGTGTGACAATGACTTTTACTGTCAAAAACATGCCTAAATATATGCTTGCTGCTATAGCACTTGTGCCTAAGGAAACCAATCTACAGGAATCTCTAGAGAGACATAAGACTAGAGAGTCAAACATTTCCAAAAGCATTCTATAGTTACTAGACACTTTGCAAATGCAGAGAAGGGAAAAAAAAGCAGCAGAGGCTTTTTTAGACTTTAATGATATATACCAATAGATGTTTTCATATGCTTACAATTAAAATACTTACAGTTATAGCTAAACATTGCAATCTTAATCTACATAGACGCAAATGTAAACCTAGTGCTTAAAAAGCTTTGACTTTAAATGCCTAGGCTTATAAAATCAAAGTTATTCTAAAGTTTATTTCTAGCAAACAATAGTCTCTAGATTATCATCTTTTGTCACCTTTCTTAAAAGGCAACTAGGTGTTTGTCATATGCTGCATTAGTATTCTAACTTAGGATTTAAAAGAGACTTTAAAAATTGTCTCTACGCTTAAGCTTGTAATCAAAGCTGCTAAACTTTGTAGGTAGGTAAAGCATTTGAAGTAGAATTTAGGGCAAGTTGTTAATAACGACAAGGCAGAGCAAGAATAGAAGGTAGAGAGTGAGGAAAGTGAGATGCATAGTAACTAAGTGTATACGCTTATATTTAGAGAGTTAAGTATAGTTAAAAAGTATAAAAGCGTAATGCAATTGTCAAATTTCTCAATCTAACCTTCTAGTTTGTATGACGCTTATTGACTTTGTTTGCAATAGCTTTGGCTTGCTTGTAAAGACTATTCTTCTATTGGCAAGATTAGTAACATATGTATTGTACTAGTTATGCTAGCATATTTTATGCATTTAATATATTATTCTCTTCCTAACTTACCCATATGCTAAAAGCATCTATATAGACTTTTCCAATGCATTGCACTTGCTAGTTTGCTTAAGGGGTTTAACGCAGCTTAATTTAAAAGCGCTTTGTGTCAAAACTATTGCTTGGAAGGCTATATTAAGGACAAACTAAAAGCTATGTTTAGGCTATAGCTATGAAAAGCCATTTTAAACCTTTAGATATGTTGAGAAAGAGGCAACCTTAAGCTTCTAGCAAGACTAAATAGTCTTACAAGTGTCAAATCTATCTGTATTTTACTAGTAGACCTTAATAAAAAACAAGCTAGTCTTGATGCAAACATTCTAGAGAAAGAGAAACAAGAATAGATCTATACAAATTAGCTATAGCGCTTGCTTTCTAGGCATAACCCTTAAGTCTGTTAGTGACGTGGTGAATGGAAAAGGCACGGGCCGCTTTAGGCTAGGATGAGTTAGCTTCGGACCGGATTTTCTGCGCTTCCATATAAGAGCGCGATTAGGGCTTCAAATTGTAAGATTAGGATTAATTACGCAGACTTACACGATTTACAAGCAGCACTCTTTACACCTTAGTTATTTCGAGGCTTTCTACGCAATAATACTTGATTTACCGCATTTCATTCTTTCCTTACGCTTTCAATTCAATTGATTACGCTGCTAGCGTTTTCCTACCTTACTTACACGACTAGATTTAGGCACTACTGCGAGACGTATTGGGGCTGATTAGGGTTACCTGACTAGTCACGTGCGCTAGAGGTAAGGAAGAAGCACGATTCCATCCGCCTGCCAGCTAATCACGTGGCTACTGCCGTTGGGGCCTACGCTTCAGCAGCAGTATACTACATTGAGAGGTAGGTAGGTAGGTGGTTTTGTGTCTCTCCTCTTTATTAGTAAAGATTTTCACAGTTGAAACATTAGGAACTTGCATGCAATGCTATATGCTTGCTTTCTGCTTGCATTTGTCTTATACATTGCTAAGCTAGCTAGGCGCTGCCTTAGACTACCTAAGGCTAAGCAGTCTCCTTTTCTAGATAGCCTTTGGCATTAGCATTACAAGCAAGTTTAGCTATTAAGAGCCTTATGTGTCTAAAGTGACACTTTTGAGAATACTATGCATAAACCTCTCTATGTAGTCAATTTTGACATGCCTCTTTTTCCATATTAATTGCAATAACTATGCTTAGCAAGCCTCTACTACATTAGCAGAGCGCTTAAGCTGCCTAGTTTGTTTCTTTAGTATTGCTAACTGTGTTACATTACAAGGCAGGGTTAAAAGAAAGGCTAGGAGGGAGGGGTCTGTAGCATAAGGCTGTTAAATTGCAGCAAGGTGTTTAAAACTGCCTTATCTTTGCCTAAGATTAGTTCTAACTAGTTGCATGTAAATTATAGCATAGGTTTAAACCTCTTAGCATTGCCTAGTACTTGTTTTTAGCTAGCTTTGCGTTATAGGAATTAGGTTTAATACTATGCCTAAGGTTTGTTTTTATGCAGGTAAGGCAGATTCTTAGAATACATTATCTTAGTTCCCTCTTTACTGTCTTAAGTAGCGCTAGGAAGCTTTTTAGCTGCATATATGCACTACTAAAATAAGCCTAAGATAACACTATGTCTATTTAATGCCATAGGCTTTATTAGCTTTTAGCCTAAGCATGATAGCAAAGATGTCTTGAGGCGCTTTATGTAAGTTAGATGCATCTATGTTAACTTAGTGATTGTATACTTATGGTTACACCTTTGCAATAGTGACAAGAGTTGCCAACACTACTTGTTTAGGGATTCTTAAAGCCTAGCATAGCCCTTTAGGCAGAATTGTTTTTCCCTTTTGCAATAGGTTACTAATTACTCTCCCAAACGCTATCTACTCCTTCCTTAGTATCCTTCTGTAAGACTTTACCCCTTTTTTCTACATTTTATGCAAGGAAGAATTTAGCTAACCTGCCTAGGCTACCTTTTTTGCTTTGCCTTGGGGTTTCATTACAAGGCAAATAACACTAACAAGCATTAGTCTTGCCTCTAAGCAGCTAATTATAGTCTAAGACGTAGTTTACATGCTTTTAAAGCTAAATCCTCTTATCTTAGGATTAGTCTTAATCATTTCTCTCTAAGCTTTATGTTGTAAGCTGAAAGTTGTCTAGAGGCTGCTGACTAAGACTAAGTTACCAATAGCAATCTCAATAGTGGTTTACATGCGCTTTTGTCAAAACCTTGCTACAAGTCGTTATGCAAGGTAGAACTAGAATGACTAGACAAGACTACTCTACTCTCTTTCCTTCCCTTTCCTTCCCTCTCTTTTGCCCTAAGCTTTATTGCATAACGCAATGGCTACTAAGTGGTTAGCCTTGCCTTAGACTGCAAATTGAGGCTAGCAGGATAGGGTACTAACTAAGAAGTAGCTTTATATCCCTCTTCTTGAATAGTCTTTGTCTTTTGAATTAGTATGCATACCCTAGTACCTCTAGACAAAGATTGGGTATGCTTACCTAGACATATCCTTTACCTGCCGCTTTGTGTCTAAAAAGTTCGTCTTGTTTTGCTATATATTGCGTCTATCTAGGATACATTAATGCTTTTGCCTTAGCTTTCTTTTCAAGTTGATTTTTATTCTTAACATTGCTAGTAGGTTAAAGTTAGCAATCAATTCTTGCAGTTTGCTACCAAAGTATAACTAGAGAGGGAATTTGGATATGCATTATGTTGGGAGGTATCTTTTTGCATACAAGGGTAGTGCAGTTGGTAAAATGCTAGTCTTAAATAGGAATAGATATATAGGTTTACTTGAGTAACGCAAGGTGTATGCCTATTAAGCTTCTATGTATTGTATCTAGGGTACTAAAGTACCTAAATTGGAAATGTAAAATGGAATATGCCAAAACGCTAATGTCTGCATGTAATTGACAAATGTGTGAAATGCTGTTTTCTTTACCTACCTAAGCTTTTGCGCACTTGCAAAGGGTATCTATTAATCCCTCAAAAACGGGGGAAAAAAATCCAAACTACTTGGTTAGGGTGTCTTTGTATTCCCATTTATTTAGCTAAGAGCTGTAGAGTAAAGAGAACTATGAAAGATTTGACTAGAAGTTGTCTTCTATTTTACCTATGTTCTCTAATGTCACGTGCGGTGAACTTTTTTTCTGTCACAGAGGTGGAATCAAGGATGCGGCTTTTAGATCCCAAAAGCAGCAAGTTTCAAACTTGCCCATTCCACATTTCCAAGATGTAAAGGCACAAAGTTATTTCTTTCCTCTTCGCCGCCTCTACTGTTAATCGTGGTATTCATGAAAACCAGTAACATCATGTCCAAAAAGCCTAGCCGAGCACGCTTCTTCCCTCTCCGAATCCGAAGCCCCTTCCACAGACGCTCTGGGTCGTCGGAGGGACGGGCAGCTTCCCCCGCCGCCACTGCTACCAGGACAGCAAGTCAGTCGCCTCCCACGCCGTCTCCTCTCCCGTCAGCCACTGCGCCGTCCTCGTCTACTCCTGCGCCATTGCCGCCGCCGGACCGGGACCTATGGGTGGAAGCTATTGAACAGGCGAGTGATAAGGCGAAAAAATGGATGATAGCCAATGGGTGTTATGGGAAGCCGGACCCGAGGTCTGCTAAGGTCAAAATCCAGGAGCTGGTCAAGATCGCCAAGAAGAGAGAATCTCGCTACAGTGATCATCCCTTGGCGATCCGGATCGGAACTCAGAAAATCATATTTGGAGACTACGTGGCTGACTTTGTACGGTGTCTGACTATGGTTGGAGACGCCGTCATACCTTTCGCACCGTCCGAGGTCAGCGCTCCGTGGTCGGTTGTGAAGGCTGTCATGCAGGGGCGTTGCATCCATCTCCTCGTTTTCTGCTGCTTCATTCGTATAAAAACAGCGATTGCTTTCTTTGGGTAGGTAGTGAAAGCTAATATGGCGTGTTGGATTCCCGTCATGAATGCCGAGCAGATCTGTACACTCCTTGGAACTGTCGAGAGAGTTGTGCGCATCATTCAACGAGGCCAGGTCTACGAATTCCTGTATACCGCCGATACTACAGGGAAAGATGCCGCGGGAAGCCTCCAGACTTCGTTGGTAAGCCTGTACAAAGCCGCAATCGAACTCTTAGCCGGATCGGACACAGTATTCAGCAAGGGGACAGCCCGACAAATTCTTCACGCCATCGTCTGTCCAAAGCAAGCCGAGGGCATAGTCGCAGACCTCTTTAAAGCAGAGCAAACGCTTGCATTTGACGTCCAGGCATGTGAGGGCATGCGAGGTGATAGAGCTGGCAACAGAATGGACTCGCGAGTGGACGACCTGAAGATGATCCTCTGCCAACTAGACCCGCTGCTCACTCGGATGGACACTGGGGTGGCCAACCTGCTCCAGAAGCTCAAAGCAGCAGATCATGATAGGCTGCTGGACTTCATCAGCCCCGTAGCGTTTCGCGACGTTCTTGACACAGTCAAAAGAAAGAGGACTCCCGGGACAGGCGACTGGCTGTTGGCCGATGAGAGCTTCCAAGAATGGGAGCGCATTCCCTCGTCTTCAACTCTGCTATTTCTGGAAGGAAACTGTATGTTCAATCATGCTTTCCACATCTTACTCACGTTACTTTGCGACTGACAATATCATGCTAGCCGGCACTGGGAAGACCTACCTCACGTCCAAGGTCATCGACCATGTGGACAAACAACTCAAAACCTCGCAGCATCACGAAGGCTTCGCCTACTTCTACTGTCAGAAGGGGCCATCGTTCATGGATCCTTGCGTAGTTCTACGGAGTTTCGTTCGCCAGTTATCCTGTGTTGCCAACGATTTGGAGAATATCCAGACCGAAGTGGTCCAACAGTGCGCCTTGGCAAAACGGAACGGGGCAAGCGGGTTGAGCTACGAAACCTGCATAGATCTCATTTTGAAATCTATTAACCTCTACCCGAAGACGACGATAATTCTCGACGCGTTCGACGAGTCGGATAGCTCGACCGACAACCTGGTCGAGATACTGATTCAAATCATGGACACTTCGAAGAAGCCGGTCAAGATCTTTGTGTCGAGCCGTACGGGCCGCGAAGTCAAAAAGCTAATTGAGAATAAGTCCACGATTATCATCAATGTCAAGAACTATGTAGACATCGAAAAGCTACTAGACGCAGAGGTCTACTCTAAGGACTGGTTCAAAGACCTCCCAGAACATCATCAGTCGGAAACATCCAGGACTTTTGCCTCCCGCAGCCAGGGAGTGTAAGTTCACTTTCTCTTTGTAGGCTAGCTCCAGTAGCGGTTTGTAATTTGCTAATTCCCATGCAGAATCCGCTGGTTTCCTTGCAAGTAAACCGGCTCAAGAGGCACGCGGCCCGCGGCTCCATCATGGACATACTAAAGAGTTTGCCAACGGACTTGACGGAGTCATACGACTTGAGCTATAAAGAGATCAAGGAGCGCGGTGGCACCGATCTGGCGCTTGCAGAACGAGCCCTGAAGTGGGTATCGTGCACTTACCAAGCGCTTGAGGTCAACACTCTCTTGGAAGCTGTCCGGTTGGCTCCTCAAGGCATGGACTTCGAGGGGGTGACTCGACAAAAGCTTCTCATGCTCTGCGAGGATTTTCTCACTATAGACGAGCAGCGACAAGTCTGGGAGCTTTCCCACATTTCCGTCGGCGAGTACTTCGATTCCAAGCATTGGGGTGTCCAAGCAGCCGATCTACTTGTCGCTCAGGCCTCGCTCACGCTGCTTATCGACACTTACGCCACAGTCGATATAAGGACGCCACTTGAAGCCGCAGGATACACTGACTCCGAGTTTGACTCTGATGACGACTCCGAGTTTACCTCCTATGGCAACTCAGAGCTTGACTCCAATGACCACTCCGAGCTTAACTACGATGTCGACCCTGATCATAACAGCTCCGAGCCTGACGAACAAGAGGACCCTCTCACCCAGAGAGTCTATGATATTATAACCATGCTGACACTTCCCCTTCAGATGTACAGCAACCACCACTGGCCGATGCATGTCAGACGTTATGAGGAAGGAATAAGACCTGGCAGTGAAGTCGATGCCGAGTTATCCCATCTTCTGAAACGCTTTCTCGGCTCCCCAGGCGACAGCAGTCTCCAATACCGGAGGTGGCTCGACCACATCCATATTTCAGGACAATGGCCAAGAACACCCTCGCTTAGGACCAACAGCATTCAGAATCTGGAACCCACAACGAATGCGCTGTTCTCAATGTGTCAATTTGGGTTCTACCACCTGTTGGTCGATTGGTGGACTGAGGACTCATTTAACGATGCAGCCAAGACATGCACCGACAATGGCTACACTGCTCTTGCCCTTGCTGTCATGGGAGGAGCTCAGCCCATATGGGAGCGGCTGACACAGAGGGTGGATGTCAACTCCCCCTGGACGATGCTGCATATGGCAGCGTCCTCATAACAGCAGTCGCAAAAGATCAGCTCGAAATTGCCAAGTTTTTCCTTAAAAGTGCCGGAGCGAGGGTGGACGAGCTGGTGGGCGGGAAGTACGGCAATGCTCTTGTGGCCGGCACGGTGGAGGCTCCACTCGAGTTTGTTCAATGGCTCGTGGAAGAGGCTCATGCCAGCTCAAACTTGCTGCCAGAGAGAAGCGACTATGGTAGCCCTCTTGCGGCGGCCGCTCTGAAGGGGCGACTCGACGTCGTCCGATATCTAGTACAAGCAGGGACGGAGGTTAACGCAGTCCTACGGGCCGGAGAATACGGGAGTGCCCTTTCGGCAGCCGCGGATACGGATAATGTTGAGGGAGTGAGATACCTCATCGAACAAGGGGCAGAGCCCAATTTACTTCTGCCTGGAGACTATGGCAGTGCGCTTGCCTATGCAGCGCATGACGGAAGGGTAGGGAATATGGAAGAACTCATCCATGCGGGGGCGAACGTGAATCTCCGGTTGAGGGTAGGGTGTATTGGCAGCGCTCTCGCAGCTGCCGCACAAAACTTCAACGGGGGAGAAGCCACGGAGTACCTGATCCGGAATGGTGCGGACGTCAACCAGGAGCTGGAGGCTGGGGAGTACGGAAGCGCACTTATTGCTAGCATATGCAACCCGTTCCTCCCCTCAACGGCAATAGTCCTCCTCGAAGCCAAGGCAATACCGACCGCGGTTCTCAAGACAGGTTCCTACGCCAGCGCCCTCGCTGCTGCTGCTTTTTGGGGGCACGTGGATCTGCTCAAGCACATGGTAGGGCTAGGAACACCGAACGCTGCCTTGGAAACTCTCCGGCAAAGCCGCCCTCCGCCGTCCACCGATATACCCGAATACTTCGGATTGGCCTTGATCTGCCACCAGGGCTTTCAGCCGGCCAGATCACGATTCAAACTATGGTTTCGGACTTAGGATAACGGGGACAGCCTCTGTCTAGTGTGCGCAGATCTACGCTGCTGATCTTGACTAGGGGGTTGGTGGGGGTGGGTTGGGTCCGTCGACAGCCGGCCCGTCTCGGCGTTGCGATAAGTGCAGGCTACCTACCTTGCGGTTTTTGGTATCCCCCTCTAAGGTTGCGGGCCTGAAGGTCGTGTCCGCCCACTGGGCATGTATTGGCCTAGGATCTGTCTGGTGACGGTCTCGGTGACCTCGCCAGCCCAGCCCATCCGACCCCTCCAGCAAGCAGGTCGTAAAGCGCATCCGCGACCAAGCTTCCCCGCACCGTTATGAAGGCGAGTATCATGGCGAGATTCGTATTTTATATTGGGTTGATACATCAGTGGAGTTGGGGTGGTTTCCTACATTTGTGAATAGCTTCATTTCTCCAGTAGAAATCCTACACCAAGAATATGGGAAGACAATCTCGTGCAACTTAACAAACCGACCTCCAGTGCACTTGCCCCTTGGGCATGGGCCGAATCCACGCCAAAGCCAAGTTCACCGAGATGCTGATAACGCCCATAATCCAGATGGACGTATGGTAAGCCTTGCCATTGTACCGAAAGATTATCGCAAACACGATGCCACCTAGATTTCCGCTCGCTCCCACAAGACCAGATATCACACCTGAAGAGTCCACCTGTCAGCAAAACGCCTCCATTACCAGGAAAGAAGGACACCAAAACCCACCATTAGCCGCCGGATACACATGCGGCACGACCGAGAAGTTAGCGCCATTTGACGCATCCACGAAGAAGGCGAGGCCGGCGAACAGGCCGAACATGGCGGCCTCGCGGCGCGGGTCAGCGAGGCCGATGGCGAGCTCCAGCACGCCCATGGCGACGCCGAGGAGCGACATCCACAGCTTCTTGGCGCGGACGGAGCCCGTGCGCTGGTAGATGGCGTCGCTGAGCATGCCGCCGGCGGGGCGGAAGGCGACGTTGAGGAGGCCGAACATGGCGGCCCAGTTGCCCGAGCCGGTCTCGCCGAGGTGGGGGAAGTTCTTGAAGTAGTAGGCCCCGATGATGGAGTTGAGGGCTAGTTCGCTGCCTGCGTATGTGCGTGTTGGTGGGAGGGAGTGCGTGATGGGTTGGAGGTGGGGGAGTACATACCGAATGAGCAGGCGTATGGGGCAGCTAGGGCGAGGGTGTGGAGAGAGAAGGTGATGGAGAGGCCTTCACGGAAGGTAGGTTTCATGATTATTTCTCCATTTGCCATGTCGAGCAAGGCACTCTGCCCTTGTTCGATGTACACAAGGTTGGGGTCTCCTTTCTCGGGTGACTTATCCTTGGTCATGGAACCGTCTTTCTGCCCCTCCTTTAGGCCCTGCACGGCGACTGCCTCTGGGGGCGGCGAGGCCGGCTCGTCTTCGATGATGAGGTGGCGGTCCGACCACTTCCCCGTAGGTGTGTCGTCACAGAGCAGCAACATGCCCATGGCAGTCGCGGTAATCAGGATGAACGGCACAATGTATGCCACCCGCCAAGCCACGTGAGGAGTGAGTCCCCGGGAATGCACCAACGAGTTGAAGATGGCGGGCATGAGGAAGCTGGGCGTCTGTCAGCGTGCATGCACACGTACGCCTAGAGGAGGGAGCGTATTACTAGGTGATGCCACCGCCGGCATTGCCCCAACCACCGGCAAGCGCGTTGGCGGTCCCGACCACGTTGATGTCAAAGAACCCCGTGCACCACACCTGGCAAGGGACGAATGTGCCGCCGAGGATGCCGACGAAGAAGCGGAGGGCGATCAGACCTTTCGGGCCGGTGACCAGGCCTGCGAGAGCCGTGGGGACGGCGCCGCATAGTAGGGTGCCGGCGAAGACGTAGCGTGGGCCGAAGCGGTCGCATAGCGGGCCTGCTATCAAGCGGACAAGGAGCCTGTCACACGGAGGTCAGTGTTGATGAAGAATGAGCAGGGATAAGTAATACGAGCTCACGTACGTCGCAAGCAGGGCTACAATGTTGGAGTTGGCGACATCGTTCTGGGTCATGTGCAGGTCGTCCCGGATGGTGATGGTCAACTTGATTTGATTGGGGATTAGCCAATGCTTGGATAACTACTCCAGACTCTTCCTGGGCAAGCTTACCAATGGCGGGAAGGCGTACCATGACAGGAAGGCGATCATGAAGCCAAGCCACGAGAAGAAGAACACCCGGCCATACCGGTCGACGGGATTCAGAACGGGGATGGACCGGGCTTTTCGGGTGATGGGGTTAACCTCGGGACGCTGGAAGAGGAACAGCGACATTTCAAAACCACGGTTCTCAAATTCTTCTGCTGCGGTTGAAGGGATAGGCGTGGCTACCGGCCTACTCCAGCCCTACCAGGGACGACCGGGCACCATATATACGTGTATCGCCTTTCCATAGCAGACGGCGGACAGGTAAATCCTTCTCTGCACAGATAACCCACGGCGAGTTACATTCTAGATACTCAGAGCTGGGAAGCATCGACAAGTAGCCCAGGTAACAGGGAAGCTGGTCCGGTAAGCGGACACGCAGTCACTAGCCGTGGAATGTGGCTAACAAACATGGCTGATACGGCAGACTAGGGAATAGGGTGAGAGACAGACGTCCGCGGAGATGTACGTTTCTGCTTATATATGACGAAAAGCCTGCCAGAGCTTATATGTGTAGAGGAACCAGATATTTTGGTGGGAGCGTATCTATCAGAGGGTCCCTATCTTGATAGAGTACCATGTCTGATAAGATGATAAGACCTCTACGGAGCATCTCCGCGGCTGATATGACGGAAACAACCTGCCAGTCCGGAGCCAGCGATACGAGATGTCGATCAAGAGTGCAGTGCTCATAAGCCCAGGGCATGTTGATAAGCAAGTCACTGACGACCCGTGGCTGAGAAAGAGCACCCGTATCTTCATAGGGGTGTATCTAGACAGGCCTGGGAAGTTTGGACGCTAGCCAATGATTTGAATAGCTGTTATCTTTGACAGGGCCGGCCTAGAAGGGCCGAAACGGATCTTTTGCCTGTAAGGCATCTTATCTGCCTGCAAAAGGAGCATTTTCCCAGAGCCATGGTCTGAAGAGTGTACGCCATGGCACTCATATTGACTACGTAGATCTCCTGGAAGGGCACTGTGGAGTCCCAAGTTTCGTAGGCATCAGAACAAGGCAAGTGACGTGTAAGCTGGCAGCCCTGAATTCTCTACCAACGGTATCGTGCGGCAACCCCCACGCCTTAGATTCCACAGTCACTTCTCTCTGAATCATGATTGAGCCCCAAAAGCAACTCAAGTCAGGAGCTTCAGCCAATCGAGACTTATCTCTGGCCATAAAGTCTTCAGACCTTCAGATACAGAGATGGGGCCGGTGTTGGCTGGGATACAAATCAGAGCAAATAGAGGAAAGAGCGTACAAAGCCTGCCGAGTATTTCCGAGGAAGACAACCGCTGGGATAGACGTAGGGGGGATTAAAATTCATCATCCGAACACTTCCAGTGATGTTTTGGAGCACCAGAGGGTTAGGACATTGGAGTGACTCCATAAGATCAACGTAGACAATAACAAGAGGGAACCAAATGTAAGATAAGGCCCTAATTTCCTGTAAATATTTCGTCAACACTTACCAGCAGATCGAGTTTGTCGTAGCCACCCGATTCTGCACCTCCCCCGGCTTCCGGCCCTTGCGCCCCTTGACGCACTTGCTGAGCTTCTGATCCAGCCGCTCAAACGGATCCGAGCCCTCCTCCGCGCGCGTCTTCCACCGCGACGTTCCCAGCAGCGCGTCGAGCTCCTCAACCGGCGGGAGCTTCAGGTACACCCACCCGTCCGGTCGCTCTTCGGCAGGGAACGTGGCGATGCTCATAGCCTGGTCGGTAGAGCACATTCCCGCGCGTTCACCGCCGAGGCCGAAGTTGCGCTTGTGGAGCGGGCACGACACCCAGTAGTCATTCCCGCCCTCGGCCTCGCCGACGAGGCCGTCCGAGAGCACGAACGCCCGCTTGTGCGGGCACATCTGCTGCGTCGCGTAGTACCCGCCGCGAACCTTGAATACGGCGAGTTGCGTGTCGCCGCGACGGACCTGCGCGGACGAGAAGCTGTCAAAGTGGCTGGCCTCGATGAGGGGCTGCCACGCCGTGTCGGACCACTGGTGGTTTCTGAAGTCCTCGTCCGCCGACGACTCCTTGGGCCAGTCCGTCGGCCGCTCCTGGCCGCGCTCCGTGATGATTTCCACCGTATCGACCGTCTCGGCCGTGTTGTCGAACTGGCGAAACGCCTTCTGCCGCTCCGGGTCCTGCAGGATCTCGGTCCACTCGCAGAAGTAGCTGTTGACCAGCTCCTGCATCTGCCGCTCCATGTCCGCGCAGATGCCGAGTCGGTCGTCGACGACGACCTCTCGCAGGTAGTCGATACCTCCTGGAAGGTTCTCAATCCACCGGGCGGTACGCTGCAGTCGGTCCGCGGTGCGAATGTAGAAGATGAGGTACCGGTCTAGTAGCGGGATGACGTCTTCCGGCGGCACGTCCTTGGCCAGCAGTTCAGCATGGCGTGGCTTTGCGCCGCCGTTTCCTCCGACAAAGATATTGAAGCCCTTCTCTGTTGCGATCAGGCCGAAGCTTTGGGAAACACGCCGTATTAGCCGCATGTTTCGTCATTCCGCAGATTTGAACAGAGAGGGCACTAGACTCACTCTTTGCTCTGGGCTTCCGCGCACTCGCGGACACAACCGGACACGCCGCCCTTCAGCTTGTGGGGGGCCCGGACGCTCTTGTACCGCTCCTCCACCCGTATTGCCATGCCGACGCTGTCCCCCACGCCGTAGCGACACCAGGAAGAGCCGACACAACTCTGTGTGCATTGTTAGCAAAAGGGCTAGGTTAAGAGAACCAGACGAGGGTGGTCGTACTTTTACCGTCCGCAACGCCTTGGCATAAGCATGCCCACTCTCCATCCCAGCATCCACCAAGTCCGCCCAGATACCAAGCAAGTCCTGCTTCCTAGCCCCAAACATATCAATCCGTTGCCCGCCGGTGATCTTGCAGTACAGCCCGTACTTGTCCGCCACCCTGCCCATGGCAATCAGCTGGGCCGGGGTAACCTCGCCGCCGGGCACGCGGGGCACCACCGAGAAGGTGCCGTTGCGCTGGATGTTGGCCAAGAACCGGTCGTTGGTGTCCTGCAGGTCGTGGTGGCGCCTCGACATGACGTGCTCATTGTAGAGACTTGCTAGTATGGAGCCGACCGTCGGCTTGCAGATTTCGCAGCCGAGGGAGGTCTGGTTTTTGCCTGCGCCTTGCATCGCCTCTGCGAAGGTCTTGAGGCGCTTTACTGCGATAATGTTGTACAGATCTGCCCTGGAGTAGGCGAAGTGTGGGCATACTGCGAATGATCAGCAGTCTGCCAGTTTGGGGTGTGTTCTCCCAGAGTAACATACGGTGGTTGGAGACCTCCTGGCCGAGCTCTTTCAGCGTTTTGTTGAGGATGCTTTGCACCAGAGGAATACATCCGCCGCAGCCGGTGCCAGCTTTGGTGCATGATTTGAGCTCGTTCAGGTTCTTACACGTGCCGGCCTTGACCGACTCGACGATGTCTCCCTTGGTGACGTTGTGGCATGCGCAAACCTGGGTGTCGTCTGGCCTGGACTTGCCATTAGAAAAGCACACACACACCATGTTCTCAGTCGAGTAGGTACTCACAAATCGGACCCGTCGTCCTCCCCGTCCTTTTGGGCACCCAGGATAAACTGGCCCGGCGGCACATCCAAGACCTTCTGGGTGCGGACCATCTGAGCGAGTTTGACGTAGTCGCGAGTGTCCCCGATCATCATCCCGCCTAGCAAGTGCGTACCGTCAGGGGTGAAGAGATACTTCTTGTACACCGAGCCGAACGGGTCCTTGTATGTGAGGGCCTTGGCCGGAACTGCATCTTCATGGAACCCGTTCTCAACACCAGGCGCCGGAGGTCGCTTTCCCGGGAGAAACTTGGGGCCATCACGATCGGCGAAGAAGTCGCCGAAGCTGGCAACATCAATGCCAAGAAGCTTCAGCTTCGTGCTGAGGTCTGGGCGGTTGAATTTCCGGAGTCCCTGGAACCTGCCATCCGTGAGATTGAAGGAGAGCACGTCGGCCATTTCCACGCCCGGGGCGATGATGCCGAAGGTCTGGTTCTCCCAGCACGTGCAGTCGCCAACCGCGTATATGTCAGGAACGGAGGTCTGCAAGCTGAAGAACGCCTGTGTTAGCATTGGGCTTCTTGCCGACGGGGTGGCCTACTTACTTTTCGTCAATCACGAATCCGCCCGTTCTGTCGCCGGCTTTTATGTCGGCCGAATGGGCCAGCTCATCTCTCGGCCTCACGCCAATCTGCCAACAACATCAACATCAGTTTGACCCACGCAAAGAGAAATCAGGATATAAGGGGAAAAGACCAACATACCGCAAAACAGACCGTGCTGCACGGTATCCGCTCCCCATCCTCAAACACCACCCCCTCGACATTATTCCCCCCATCAACCTCCACAGCCGCGATCCGCTTCCGGTGCAAGACCTCCAAGCCCAGCGCACGAACCCTCTCGGTGACGAGGTGGCCCGCATCAGCGTCCAGCTGCCTCGCCAGCAGATACCCATTCCGGTCGACGATGCGGACCGACGAGAAGCAGTCGAGATCCATCATGGCCTTTGCCGCCTCCAGACCCAACAGGCCGCCCCCGACAGTCACGCCGACGGAACCCCTGCGGTCGGCCGCGAACCCGATCAGTCCCTGCAGGTCGGACAGCGTCCGGTAGACGAAGACGCCGTTGGCATCGTGGCCGGGCGTGGTTCTCGGTAGCACGGCGTCGGAGCCGGTTGCGAGGACTAGGATGTCGTAGGGGATGGTTTGGCCGGTTGATATTGAGACTTGCTTCGTTTCGGGGTGGATCTCCGTCACGCGCGTGTTGAGGTGGTAGTTTAGCGAGTCGTCGCCGAAGGATGAGTACTTTGCACCGAGGGGTCAGCAGAGAGGCTAAAGCTTCCACAGGGTATACATCATTACCCATTCTCTCGGGTTCAGGTAGAGATTCTCCACCACGCGGTGCTCGAAGAAGGAGCTGAGGCCGACGCGGTTGTACGCGAAGTGTGGTTCGTCGCCGATGACGACCACGCTGTACTCCCTGCGCTTGGCATCGAGTTTCATTAATTTCTCTCTAGCAATCTTCTGTCAGCCCACTGCCAACGTGCTAGACCAAAGTTCGCAACAGCATAGCCCGTACATGAACGACACGGCGACCATGCCTAAGCCGATTACGACGATGCGCTTGCGCTGGGGGGTGTTGACCCCGTTTGCGGCGTGGCCATTCGGAGCGTGGCCATTTGTTGCTTGGCCATTCGTGACACCAACCATGTTGGATGTCTAGTATATGGGCTCTTGCCTTGGCCAGGCTGCTATATCACAGACAAAGGGGGCTGAAAGAACGTGCAACCAGTACTAAAGACAGAGCGAGAAGAAACCAAGGCACGGGGCTCCTTCGATTCCATGAAGAAGAGCAGCGACTGAGGACGAGCGAAGTGGGAAAATACCACGGGGCAAGCTGCCACCGACCATTTCTCCTATCGCCCTGCGCCCAGGGTCGACACGGCGATGGAAGGGCCATGTCGAACTAGCTGGACCGCCGTCGAGCAGCATTCCGGCTCGTCAGAGAAACCGGGTTGTGCAGTTAGCAAGATTTGTTTCTCCTCGGAGCTGCATCGTAGGTGGTGAGCAAGATATATGGCGGATACGTATTCTGTAGATAGATGATACTCGATCTCCCCACGCGCGCTCAAAGCGGGTGCTTATCAGGAGCGTACAGATACGCGGCAATTAATTAGATCCGCGTCCCTCCCGATAAGGGGTGCGGGCGGGCCGACGAGTTACACAACGTCAACACTGCATAGCCGAAGTCTAGAAATTCTGATCTGTCTCTTCTCACCTTTGGCCAACTTCCCGCGATGCTGATAGAAGCCTGGACCTGATGCATTGTTGATTGCCAGACAGCATGGGGATAAGCCGGAAACAGCGTGATAATACGGATAACAATCAAATGAGCGCATTACAACTTGCTTGATCACTCATAAAAAATAACCCCCCACTCTCGTGCGACTTATCCAGACAGAGATAGTATCGGGCCTCACCCGTCCACGACTCCAAACATCCTCCAAGTTTCAGGTATCATCTGTTCGTCGCCTTATCTCCAGTGTCCTATCTCTTGTTTGCCTCCTTATCCGCCGGCTTACTTTTTAGTAACAGCTTCCCTTGCTTATCCTCTTATCTACAGTGTTCACCCGTGGCTATCTCTTGCTTATCTCCTTATCTACAATGTTTCGGTTCCGAGTATCTCTTGCTCCTTCTGGTATCTGGGATACTCAATTTGACGGTCTTCGGCATGTCGTTTATCTATAAGGCCCAACATTCCCGCGGAGATGCTTCTCACCTCTCCTTCTCCCCCATTACGAGTCCCTCCGTGTACGCTTACTCGGCATGGCGTTGCCGTTGCGTGTGCGTTGCGATGCATACTTCCTGTTATATGTCCCGTGCGGGTTTCTTCGGAGAGGGGTTCGAGGTCGGTATGAAGGTCTGTCTTCACTGTGTTGCTGAGGATGGTTGATGCTGCAAGTCGGATGTCGGATATCTTGCCCGGTAGCTCATCTCGGATGCCATACACCTGGAGATGTGCTGTGCTGTCGATTATTCCCATGTAACCCCCCTGGGTGTTTTTATCACTGTTGGGCTACATACCTATTCCTTGAAAATTTCACCAGTTCCTTGACAGGCCGTCTTCGCTTCCTTCTGTGAAGATATATCCGCCAGTGTTTTTGTTGTCTAATCAGGCATCCACACTTGCATCCATTCGTTCTTTTCCCTCAGAGCCATGGCCACGACAATGACACAGCTTTCGCCCGTCGGCCCAGCAATAAACCTCCTCCCAGACTCGGGCTCTCTGCGCTTGCACCCTGACAAGCTCACAGCCATCAGCGAGAGCCTAGCCGTGGTACCGCTCCCACCGTCACGGCAGCCGGTGTCGCAGGTCCTTGACAAAGACAGAGAGACTCCCGACAACCATGTCACACGAGATGGCCGCCTAATCCGTCTCACAGGTGTTCATCCATTCAACGCGGAAGCCCCGCTTACGGCGCTGTATAACGATGGTGATACTCCTTTTCAGTCGTCATCCCGTCTAGTAACTTACTTCTTATGAAACAGGCTTCCTCACGTCTGTCGATCTCTTCTACGTTAGGAACCACGGCGCCGTGCCGAGAGTGCTTGACGATGAAATCTGGTCCTGGGAGCTCAGTATTGAGGGGTAGGCACAGCATCTCTCCGCCCCTTCGCCTTAGCAGTTCAGTTGACACCCTGCAGTCTCGTCGACAACCCCTTCACCATCACTCTCCAACAGCTCGTCGACGACTTCGAACAAATCACGATCCCAGTCACTTTCGTATGCGCCGGCAACCGACGCAAGGAGCAGAACACAGTCCGAAAGTCCAAGGGATTCTCCTGGGGCCCAGCCGGGCTATCAACCGCCCTCTTCACAGGCACCCTGATGGCCCACATTCTGCGCAAAGCAAAACCGCTCCGGGGGGCCAGATACGTCTGCATGGAAGGCGCCGACAAGCTTGTAAGCCTCGCGACCACGACACTCCCCCGGTAGTCACCGCGGTGCTGACACCCCCCACCCCTCGCCAGCCAAACGGCTACTACGGCACCTCCCTCAAGCTGAACTGGGCCCTGGACCCAAACAAGGGCATCATGCTCGCCCACGGCATGAACGGCGCCCCGCTGAGGGCCGACCACGGGCGTCCGCTGCGCGCCGTCGTGCCGGGCCAGATCGGCGGCCGCAGCGTCAAGTGGCTGCGGCGGCTGGTTGTGACGGCTGCGCCTAGTGACAATTGGTACCATTACTACGATAACAAGGTTTTGCCGTGAGTGCTCTTTTTTTCCGGTACTGTCTAGGGGAGGGGGCGGGACTGATTGGGTGTGGTAGGACTACCGTGACGCCCGAGATGTCGGCGGAGGAGCCGGCTTGGTGGCGGGATGAGAGGTATGCTATCTATGACTTGAATGTCAATTCTGCTGTCGTCTATCCGCAGCATGGAGAGGTGCTGGATGTCGGTTTGCGGGCTCGGGATTACGCCGTCCGGGGGTATGCGTATAGTGGGGGTGGCCGGCGGGTGACGCGTGTCGAGCTGTCTTTTGATAGTGGCAGGTGTAAGTGGACCGGTTGCGGAAGCCTTCTCGTGAATGGCTTCTCCACGATGTCTTGATACCCTAACCATGGTTGCAGCATGGCGTTTGGCCGAGATCGACTACCCGGAAGACAGATACCGTGAAGTTGACCTCGACCTTTTTGGAGGGCGCCTTGACATGTCCAGCCGAGAGACGAGTTTCTGCTGGTGCTTCTGGTCCTACAGCTTGCCAATTCTCGAGCTGCAGAATGCCGATAGCATTTTGGTCAGGGCAATGGACGAGGCCATGATGTGCCAGCCGCGAGACATGTACTGGTCCGTCCTCGGCATGATGAACAACCCCTGGTTCCGAGTCGCCATCGACAAGGGCGAGGGGTCTCTCCGCTTCGAGCACCCAACCACTTTGATGCCGGGGCCTCCTGGGTGGATGGAAAGGGTGAAGAAGTCTGGCGGGGACCTGCTCAACGGTCGCTGGGGTGAGAAGGCGCCCGGTGGATCCGACGAGCTGCTGACGCCGCCTCCGGAGGAGGAGATCAGCATGACGAATCAAGACGCGAGGAGAGTTTTCACCCTGGAGGACTTCAAGGCGGAGAGCTCCCAGGAGCGGCCGTTGTTCGTTATAAAGGGCGAAGTCTACGACGGTACTGGATATCTTCGAGATCACCCCGGAGGTGCCCAAAGCATTCTCGCTGTTGCCACCTCAGATGCCACGGAAGACTTTATGGCAATTCGTGAGTGAAAGGGACCTCAATTATGACGTTTCCAACAAGTGGCTGATTAACATATTGTAGACAGCGAAAACGCCAAAGCGATGATGCGGAACTACCATATCGGCACCCTTGACGACGATGGCCGACAAGCTCTGCTCTCCCCAGACAACGCAGAAGCCCTGTCGGCAACGCGGGCAGAGTTCTTAGACCCAAAACAATGGGCAAAAGCCGTACTCAGCGCCAAAAAGAGCCTCTCGTGGGACACCAAGCTCTTTACCTTCAAGCTAGACCATGATGACCAAGTAGCAGGACTACCCGTCGGCCAACACCTCATGCTGCGCGTGAAGGATTCGGGCACCAACTACAACATCATCCGCGCATACACGCCAGTCTCGGAGAATTCGCAAAAGGGCTTTTTGGAGCTCCTTGTCAAGCTCTACCTGCCGACGCCAAGCACACCCGGCGGCCAGATGAGCATGGCGCTGGACAAGGTCTCCCTTGGCGCGGCGGTCGACTTCAAGGGTCCGATTGGGAAGTTCGAGTATCTCGGCCGGGGCGAGGCGAGCATCAGCGGGAGACGGCGGACCGTGTCCTCGTTCACGATGATCTGCGGCGGCAGCGGCATCACGCCCATCTTCCAGGTGTTCCGGGCGGTCATGCAGGACGCAGGCGACCCGACTTTCTGCACCGTGATGGTTGGCAGCCGGCTCGAGGAGGATATACTGTGCAGGCAGGAGCTGGATGCTCTTGCTCGGCGGAAGACAGACGGGTGTCGGTTGATCCATACACTGAGCCGGCCACCTGCGGAATGGGCGGGCCTCCGTGGAAGGATTTCGGAGACGCTGCTCCGGGAACAGGCATCTCCAGCGACGGGTGGCTTGGCTCTTATTTGCGGGCCGGGGTCGATGGAGAAATCCGTCCGCGAGATCCTCCTCGACCTTGGATGGAAGGAAGATGACTTGGTCTTTTTCTGAGCATCTGTCCGACCAATGCTACTGTACAATGACATGTCTCCACTGATGGAGATAACCCGCCCACGTTGGCCAGCTTATGAACAGGGGCCGTGTTCTAGACTCATTCCTACCGAGGTAAACCTCCGTGTTCCGTGCTGTATACAGTGGGACTCTCCATAGGAACCGTTCAATGCGAATGGACTGTGCCATGGCTGTGCTGGCTCCAGTACATCCCATTGGCTCCTGTGAAAGCACCTAACCTTTAAACCCAAGGACAGAACCAGGATTTTTCAGACCAAGACAAGATCCTAGTGTAGACTCATCCATGTGGTGGGGAGGTCGGGAGTAGATAGCCAATAGGGTCGACAACGTGAAGGTTGTTTTATCTGGAGATTAAGGAGTTTAGGTGAAAGGCCTAGGGAACACTTCCGTACCTGGTTAAGGGAGACAGCGTAGGAGGACAGCTTGGGGCAGTGCCGTACCCCAAATGGGACTTTGAAACTTGAGAACCCTGCCACCCTGCAGCCGCATTGTTTGGCCCAGGCTTGGCAAAGGTCTACTTTTCTGGTTCGCCATGTGACGCCACCTGCATACCTTCAAACCGCCATTTTGGTACCCAACACCGCCTAGTAACCGGGATGTGACTGTTGTGGCGGACCAAGCATGCCCTTGCGACTTCGGGAGCTCACCGAATGCGCACTAGTCCTCCACAAACGACCCTATCCCCTGCCCCGACCCCTTCCCTGACCCCTGACCCCTATTGGAAAATCGGAAAATCAACTCTAATTGTTTAGAGGGAGACGTGGTACAAGAATATGCACTTTAAAACAAAACGAATAAAAATAGGGGGGAAAACTCCCAATGTTTCCAACCCAACAACGTGAAGAGTATCTTTTTAGCAAATGCAAGAAGATTTATTCAAGTCCTGTCTTGTGTTATTCGTATTTGGAAGGTTCTCTACACTACAATTTACGAGTTGTGCTCAGTCAAAGATTAGGTGAAGATCTTGACAGGGCCAAAGATCTTGACAGGGGCCCCGGCTGCTCCAACCACACTAATGCAGGTTAGGTGCTTGCCTGGCCGAGATAGCTTCCCCCTGCCAAGAGCCAAGCCCCCTCCACTATCGCATCGCACAAACATTGCCATGACTGATAAATGTGCGGTCTTGACCACCACAGTAGAAAGTTCCCCTTCAGGAGAATACCGTTGTTTCCTTCCTCATTCCTTTCCATCTTGGTCATCCAGCACCATTCTTACCTTGTCTACTTCTTCCTCGGCACATGCATTGTGTCGATCTTCTTCATTAATTACCTTTGGTAGCTGTTGCTACTTTTCTTGCCTACCATTCGATTCCTCACAGAGTCGGGAACTTAACCCCTCTGGACAGAGCAAGACTCGCTTCTTCCCTACTACTAATTCCCGACATTTTTTTTTTCTTTCTCTCTTTCTCATCCTTCCATTCTACCCGAAACTCGCCGTCTCATTTAGTTAGCGCAATGCTCTTCTCCCACTCCTCCTCGCTGGCGCTGCTAGCCTCCATCTCCGCCGTGGTTGCCGCTCCCGGGATGCCTGGACCAGCAGCTGAACCCGTCACCAAAGTTGTCACCTACACGCTGGACCACACCCAGACCTACACAGTCACATATCCGACGACGGTAGTCCAAACACAGCCCGTCCACCAAACCCAGACCGTCCACGTCACCCAGACCGTCCATGTCACAGACGTCCAGCACATAACACAAGTCAAGACCGTCACATTTGTCGAGAAAATTTCTGTTCCAGTCACCAAGATCGAGACAACAGAGAGACTCAGGACTGTCGTGTCAACGGAGAAGGTCAAGATACCAGTGACGGAGGTCAAGGAAGTTGTGAAGACCATCACATCCCACGTCACAATACCAGTGACACACACCCAGGTCAAGACGGTCGTATCCACCCGGCTCGAGAGGATCACAGTTCCGGTCACAAGGGTGGAGACCAAGGAGGCTGTCAAGACTGTGACGTCTGTTGTGAAGGAGCAGATCCATGTCACGATCCCCGTCACCAAGGTTGAGACGAAGGAGGTTGTCCGGACGGTGACTTCTATTGTCAAGCAGCAGGTCACCATTCCGGTCACTTCGGTGGTCAAGGAGACGATAACCATCCCGGTGACAACTATTGTGAAGGAGCAGGTGACCATCCCGGTGGTTTCGGTGGTCAAGGAGAAGGTTACCGTCACCATCCCGGTTACCCAGGTCCAGACGAAGGAAGTCGTGAAGACGGTGACTTCAGTTGTGCAGGAGCGCGTGAGCGTTCCTGTCGAAGTGGTGAAGACTGTGACGTCAGTTCAGCAGCAGCAAATCACCATTCCCGTCACGTCAGTGGTCAGGGAGGCGACCACGGTCACAGTCCCAGTCACCAAGGTCGAGACCAAGGAGGTTATCAGGACCGTCGTTTCCGTGCAGAACGTGGTGCAGACTGTTCCCGTCACAGTTCCAGTCACCAAAGTTGAGACGAAGGAGATTGTGAAGACCGTCACCTTCCTCCAGCACGCGATCCAGACCGTTCACGTCACGGTCCCTGTCCCTGTCGAGATTGTGAAGACCGTCACTGTGCCAGTCGCCCACGTCGTGACCAAGGAGATCGTGAGGACTGTCACCTCCGTCCAGCACGCCGTCTCGACCGTGCATGTGACGGTCGGAGCATACACGACGACGGTCAAAGAGGTGGTGCATGTCACTGTCCCAGGCTACACCAAGACAGTCAAGGAGACGGTCCATCTCACCGTCACGGCAAGCGAATGTGCGAGAACCAAGGGCGCCATGGCACCACACGATAAGCACAAGCAGAACAAACACAAACAGGCAGGTCAGGAGGAAAACAAGGCACATCACCACCAAATGGGGGAGGCATCGCACAGCACGAGCATAGTTGCGACGGCCAGCTCTGCTGCCCCGGCGTTGGCACATGACAGGCAGAGGATATGGTGAGAGGTTATGAGCGACGAGTGTGTGGCTGCGAGGTGGCTTGGTCGGGTTGAGTTAATTGGAGAGAAAGGGGGACAGCACCTGCAGGCAGAGTTTGACCACCTTGATACCCCATAGACAGCGTCTCTGTTGCTTACAGGGACCTTAGAAATCGAGACATACACCTTAGAGAGGTTTCCATCCCCACATTGCGCAATTGTTTCTTGTTTCGTAAGGATTTTGGTGGTGTGTATGTGCGTGCATGAAATGACAAGGCGCTTGTTTGAGAGTTGCTCAGCCCCGATCATCGTGGGGGCCCGGCTAGAGCTTCCCCACACCAGCAACGTCTTCTGATCGGACCTTGCGATTGTTACCTACGCTTCACTGCAACGTTCTCGGAGCAGCTATCCAACGTTTTAGGGGTTGTCATGAGGACCCTTCAGAGCGAATTTTCTTTTCCTTTGTTTTGATGGTTTTGATGAGGACCCTTGCTCAAATCTAGCCGCACAACCCCTCGAGCATCGACCGTCAATGGAAAGTGGTGAATGCTCATGGTGCCGAGGTTGCTCGAAAGTTGCATTTCGACGTCGTGAGACCCTAGGCTCACTTGGCGAGCCGCCTCCCGGTTCCGGCCATTTAGCTCGAATAAGTTGATGTAGTAGTCCTGCAGATCGTCGGCAGCCGCAAAATCGAGGAATGGGGCGGTACGGGGCTCGGTGAGCCGAAAGGTGCGCAGTTGGACCGCTTCCCCAGACAGCAGAGGTATGTGACGTATATGTCCAGAAGAATATTCGGCTAGATAGAGATATATGGAACGAGGGTTGCCAAGGAATTAGCAGCTGCGTCGACTGAGATCGCAACCAAGTTTGCAGCAGAAACTCGCGGGCAGTTTCGTGGACGAGGTAGACCCGATTCCAGATGACTCGCACAAAGTGGCCGAACAAAGCCTTGATATGGTTTTCAAAGGGAAATATCAAGTCATATTCAATTTCGTCGAGGGTTTGAGACGGTTCAGGCAGCCCGGTTCGGTCAGTGGCTCCAAATTGGTTCAGTTTGCGGTGATACGGCTGTACGACCAGGGCAATGCTAAGCTCCTCGATGGGCATCGGCCTAGACGCTTCCAAGATGATATGAAGCATCTTTCTTGCCTTTGGTGCGTCGGGACGTCCTCCGAGCAGGCCACTATAGATAGCGTAGATATCGTGGCTGTCCAGAATCTGGTCTGGCTCTCGTCGAGATGCACCGGCCTCGACTCTCTCCTTTGGCAGCCGGAGAATGAGTGTCACCCAAAGAAATGTTCGATCAGCTCGCGAAATGAGCACGTCTTGAATGTCGGAAAGGAGTTCAGATGGCAGAGATAAACAAATCCGAGGTAGACTTGCTGAATTGCACCGCAGAGTTGTACGAGAAGGCCATGACACGAGACTTGGGATTGGTTCCTGGGATGCCGTCTCGGAGCCAGTTGAAGCCCGTAGCCTCATCTGTCCATGTCTTGGAGTAATTACTGGCTGTTGAGTCATGAATCGCGATGATGTCGGTGTTAGCTGTGGGTGTTTACGAGAAGCCACACAAAGTTGACAACGGCTAGCCATAGATCCACGCAGTATTCGTTACAGATTAAGTCAAGAAATCGCTGTTCTAGTCGCTGAATTTGGCTGCGAAACCGGGTATGTTCGAAACTTATCTTTTGGCTTCCATAATCGGTGCCTCCGAGTCCTCTCCCACCGATGTCGCCCCATCCTCCTCCCAAAAACCCAAAGCCCACATCGCAAACTTACTCCTCCGCCGAATCGCCGCCCCATAACGCATGAACACCGGCGGCACAAGACAAAACACCGTCGCCATCACCGCCAGCACCGTACCCGCGTAGTTATACCCCATCGCCTGGTACATGTGCGGCGCAAACAGCGGGAACGCGGCGCTCAGGGCGCTCCGCAGCAGGGCCATAGCGCCGAACCCGCTGGCGGCATACGCGCGGTAGGTGTCGGCCATGTAGCCGGCCAGGACGACGTCGAACTCGTTGAGGGCCCAGCCGACGAGCACGAGGCTCGCGGCGGGCACGCCCCAGGGGACGGAGGAGCCAGCGGGCGGTACCGTCCAGGCGAACCACCAGAGGCCGACGGCGAGGGCGGGCGCGCCGAGGGCGAAGCCGATGAGCTTGTCCTCCGGGGCGATGTCGGCGGTCTTGCGGTTGCGGAGGCGCCGGTGGTCCCAGGTGCGCGTGAGGGCGCCGAGGAGGAGGCCGGCACCGATGGCGATCCACGGGATGATCTGTTGGGTTCGGGTGAGGGGTGGGTTGGTGTAGGAGGCGAAGATGGGCGGGACTACCTCGGTGAAGAGGTAGATGAGGGCAAAGGCGACGGCGGAGAGGAGGGAGACTGTGAAGACAATGATTTCGGTGAAGAAGAGGTGGACTGGGCGGAGGACCGAGGTTCGAATGAAGGTCTGTAGATCGGGCATGTCGTCCGGGGAGGAGGTTTTGAGGGTAGTGTCACCGGTCTGTTTGCGAATCTTGTCTACAGTGCGGCGGAGGATGAGGGAAGGGCGGGACTCCCGAAGTGGGAGGAGAAAGACTGCTGAGACGGCGCAGACAATGGCTGAGATGTAAAAGACCCAACGCCAACCGAGGGGAGGGATGATGTAGGCGCTCATGATGGGACCGACGACCATGCCAAGATTGGCCGTTGTCCCCCAGGCGAATATGAGCCACACTCGAGCGCGCGAATCCCACATGTCTTCGATGCTGCCGGCAGCAACGATGCAACCGACAGAGGAGAAGATGCCCGTCATGAAGCGGCCGATAACGACGCCGGCCACAGAGGGAACAGCGCCGATGAGGCCGCAGAAGGCAGCGAAGAGAATCCCGCTGCCGATGTATAACCACCTGCGGCCGAACGATTCGGAGTATGACGGGAACACCAGGCCCCCAATCCCTTGGCCAATGAGATAACTGCGCAACGGGAGCAAGCGAATTAGTGGTCTGGACCGGCAAATAAGGAGGACGACAGACAAGGCCCTTACAGCGATGTGAAGATGAACACAGTAAGCGTCCGGTCCAGGCCCAGCTGGTTCTGGGCTTGGTCGCCGGCGTTGGCCTAGAGACAGACGTATGTATTAGTGCCAGGCCCTCCCTGAAGTCGTCAGGCAGGTAATATCGACTTACCCCGGCAGTACTCACGGCCGTTCTGGGAAGCCATTAGCCTTCAAACATCCCCAAGCGGGTTCACCACGTTGGCCGCCAACCTCTCTACCTACTCAAAGAAGTCGACGAAGATGATAATCCCTGTGTCATACGCTTTCCTAGAAAAGGACCAATTCCTGGGATGCAACCGACTGCCTGGTCCCCATGTCACGAGACCATTCGAGTCAATCTGAAGCCCATATTTTGCGGCTTCAACCCGTGCAATGGTTGGGGGCTGCGTGCGAGTGGTAGCTTGGGGCGACGAAGCCTCCTTTGTCTCTTCTTGTGTTACTTGGTCTCGGAGTTTCATGGCTGCAAACGGGGGGACGGGGGCCTGGGGGGGGAGGGGGGGGGGGGGCTGTTGGTTTCCGCGTGATCGACTTCGGACGGTGTGATGTCAAAGGGTAGAGTCCTGGAGTGGGAAAGGAGGAACGAACGCAGATGAACAGACAAGTCTTTGGTGAATAACGTTAGCAGTGAGAGAAAATGCGCAATACGGGCTGAAAATTGAGGGACTGAGATGCTTACCATGCAGGGCGGGATCGGTAAGTTTCTTCCCCTACCCGTGCACTAGCAGGGGTCGCACCCGACTTTGCGGAGCGGGTTTTCCGTAGCGCCCTGGTCGGTACCTGGTTAGGGGGAAAACCTAATGCACGCAACCGGAGACCTATGCATCTCCACGTGCGCTAATTGCCGAAGGTTGCGAAATCTCAGGACGGGGCCAGGGCCAGTTGCTGATTTTAGTAGACGGAAGTTTGTGGTGAAGAGAGCTGCTACATAGGTAGAAAGGGTGTTGCTCCATGTGTCTTCTGAACAGCTTGTTATGTCGGCAGGACCGATTCCGCACCAATGCGCCTCTTATCGAGGATCTACAGCCAATCCACCGCGATTTTCACACATACACTAGACACACACATCAAGATCATCGATTTTCCACATTCCTGCGTCTCTAGTGTATTGCGGCTGACGATGCGACGCCGTCGCGAGAAAAGGGTAATTGTCTGATTGGCTACAGCTGACAGGAAGGGCGGCCCGTAATAGCCTGTATTACAGCGCTCCAGGGCCACAAAGCTTAATTTTTTTGGGTGCAGTCACCGAAGAAAATTTTTAAGCCTCTGTGACCCTGAAGCCCTGAAGGTCGGCTGCGATTCTTTCCCTCTTTCTCCGGCACCGGTAGAGTAACGTCCAGGCCGAAGCTCCCAAGGCTTTAAGTTACGTAAAATTCTATTGACTCGGCGGAAGCACGGCCAGGTTGGTTCCATGTAGTTACAATGTAGTTACATCGTCCCGTCGTATAGCCAGGAATCATACGGATAGTTCGTGAGTCGTAGAATGTTGGGTAGCAGGTGTAGTCCCGTTTGGGTGGGGGTGGCGCTGCCGGGCTGGTAAAGTGGTGGAAATGGAACAGTAAACCTCAATGTGCCCGCGCGTCTGGGCATCTCGAATTAGTACGCGAGATTTTCAAGGAGCAAAGGTTCCTGTAACCCCTTCCTCTGATCCATAGTCCGAGTTACCTGAGAGGCGCATTCATGGCTCGGCTGAGTGCCCGCCGCATAATGAAGCGTGAGAGGCGTATAAAGCTCCTTCCGGCTGGAGGTTAGCCCAGGCTGACCAAGATCCATATCTCGTCAGACCAGCTTCAGGAATCTGTTCGTATCGCCTCAAATGTCCGCCGGGTCTTCCCTCATTATCCTTGCGGCTTGTTCCGCGCTTGGCCTATTATACCGCTATCTTGAACCCGCAATTCGACGATGGGTCAAGTCAAGGCTCCCCCACAAGTGTATGTGCCGGACTCGTGGGATCTTGGTAAACTGCTCAGATGCTCACCTTTACGCGACAGCTTCTGGCTTGCCAGCAGAGCCACCTCTGTGGACTCGGTAGGAACTTCCCAGTCTCTACAAAGTCATGCCATCAACCTCGGGGGCCACTCATCATTAACCATCGCCCTCGCTCTAGTAAACGCATCGAAACCACCCTCTCCCCCGCCACCTGGCAACGCCAATCCTACGAAGACTTCCGCGCCGCCATGCTCGCCACCGACCCCGTTCCCTTCCCCTGCGTCTACGCTACCAAGGGCTTCAAAGCCTCCGAGCACCGCTACCTCTTTCTCTCATCGCCGGACCCCAACAACAAGCCCAACATGCGCCTCCTCGCCTCCGGCCTGCGCGAGTATGTCGAAGCCGCCACGGCCCAGACCCTCGGCCCGCTAAACGCCCTGACTGTTTTGTTCCCCCGGCCAGACTCCCCCGCGTCTAAAAATGAAAAACACCCCCTCAGCACCCTTGAGGACTACCACGCCAACCTCTGGAACCTCCTCAACCATCTCGCCCGCATGGACACCTCACCCTGGCCCGCAGACATCCCCCCCAACACATCCGACCCCCTCTGGCGCTTCTCCTTTGCTGGCCAGGCCGTCTTCGTCGCGGCCATGACGCCCGCACACCAGGCGCGGCGCAGCCGGTTCTGTGGGTGCTACGCGCTGGTCCTCCAGCTCGCGGACAACTTCGATGTGGTGTTTGCCACCCCTGCGAGGAAGGCTGGTGCGATAGGAAAGGTAAGGGGGCTGTTGAGGGAGTTTGATCTGGTGGGGATAAGTCCCGAGTTGAAGGATTACGGGGACAAGGAGGGGCGGGAGGCAAAGCAGTACTTTTTGATGGATGGGGATGAGGGGGTGGGAAGTCCGTTTGAGGTGTTGGGGAAGTAGGGGAGAAGATACGTGTGGAAGGGAGAGCTTGGTTGGGACTTCATGTAGAGTTCCAGCCATGCTATCTATCTTAGCCAACGGTCCGATACAGTCTGGGATAGTAAGTCTGGATCTTGCTTTGGTTTCTTGTAGTGGGCGGCACGTTTGTTGGCTAAGAGTACCCTCGGCCGCTCCCTCTTCCAGGACCGCTTCTCTACAAAAGATTGGACAAATTCTGAATGACGGCCCTGGTAAGAGAGATGTCGAGCGTATAAAAAAGGGATGTTAGAGACAAGCAGCTCTATTTATGGTGTGGGGGCTGCTAGGTGTAGGTTGGATGCAGCGCTATATCTGATTGGGAAGGGGGCCGGGGGGCTTCTTTGACTCGGAATGGCAGAGCAGGAGTGGACTAACTCTTCCGAGAGAGTATGCGGGGAACACATTCCCGTCACGTCGCATATAATAATTATCCGCGCAACCAGAGGTCGATTATTTCCCCCGGGATAGGTACCGTAGTTCCCCACGGGCGGTAAGACCAGCATAATCGACAAAGGACGACTAGGGTGCGGTCTAGATGCGTTCCGGCAGGGGTTAGGAAAGTGTAGGCGAACGGAATATGTATCTAGACTTTTATCAATGGCTATTGTTCCACGCCAGTGTTCCACTAATAAGTTTTTCCGCCCATGTTCGTTTGACCCCGCAAGGTTCATACTACGCATAATAACTAATAACCCCTAATCAACCCAAATACAAGGCAGAAGTGCGATGTTGGTTGGACGTTTAAGTGCCTCTGCATCCTTCGGTGGCATTCTCGTGGTGTGAACTGCATCTTCTTCCGAATATTCTCTGAATCACCGAAACTCTCTGCTCTGAGCTTCCCTGTCAGCGGCAGGCCTCTTCTACAAACAATGATGAGTGCCATGGAGGTTCTGCTATCCATCGTGGACTTGGTCCATCAGCACTGGCTGTTTCTGATCGTCGGCTTGGTATCATCGTGGCTATTGGCTAATCGGTATCTGACATCTCTGAGAAAAATACCAGGACCATTTCTCGCGTCATGCACGCGTCTCCCCCGGTTCTTCGCAGTCCTGCGTGGCCGGCCTCATGAATGGGAACTGAGGCTGCATCGGAAGTACGGTCGAATAGTGCGGACGGGTCCAGATCTTGTGTCAGTTGGCGACCCAGCGGCAATCAACCTTATCTACGGTGCTTCCGATAAGTTCAAAAAGGCAAGAAATCTGAATATCAACTCAACGAAGTGGGTTTGTTGTCGGGATCTGACTAATGAGAGAAGTTTAGTCTCCGTTTTACATCCCATTCATGGTTTACGACGATGAAGGGTTGCTTCCAGATCCATTGGTTCTATCAGACAAGACACTTCATACGCGCATGAAGCGAAATGCATACAATGCGTACTCTATGGGGTCCATGCTACAGTTGGAGCCCCTTGTGGATGGGGTCACCGAACGGTTCTTCAAATCGCTCGATAGCGTGTGCGACTCCCTTAGTCGGACGTGCGACTTGGGGGAATGGTTACGGTTTTACGCAACCGACGTCATCTTTGCTGTCACCTTCGGCGAGGACCTGAACTTTATGGAGAAGGGAGACCCAATTGGAATGATGCCTGTGCTCGAATATGTCATTGGAGACTACGTGGCCATCGTAAGATAGATTCCCTTCGTTTGCAAGCGTCGGACACTCAATGATTTAACGATTCATATTGTTGGTAGGTTGGTCAATTCCCATGGCTTCACAAATTCCTGCTGGGTAACAGGCTCGTTTCCAAGTTGGCCCTCGGAAACAACGCTCTCGCCGGTGCCCCTCTGAGCCTGGCCCAATCGCAGGTTGAGAAATTCCGAGACAGAATGACAGCAGGAGTGTTGACAGGCCCTTGCACATTCGTCCAGAGACTCTTGGAACATCAGCAGACCCATCCTTCTTCCATCACGGATCGCGAGCTCAACACCCACGCATTTGGGAATATTACCGCCGGCGCGGACACCACGGCAATCGCCCTGCGGACCATCATGTTCAACGTGGCAAAACATGCAGATGTCTATCGTGCTCTATGTCACGAGATCCGCGAGGAAGCCAAGCTGACGCTTCCCGTCTCGTTCAACGCTGCCAACGCCCTGCCGTATCTTGATGCGGTGATCAAGGAAGCCCTTCGCATCCACCCACCTAACGGGGTCATGTACTGCCGAACTGTTCCGCCGGAGGGCGCCATGATATGTGGGCAGTACATATCCAGGGGCACAGAAGTGGGCATCAGCCCTTGGGTAGTCCACTACGACCCGGAGCTATTCCCACATCCTGAGAGCTTCCAACCACAGCGCTGGCTGTCCTCTGACGCAGAACTGGTGGCGCGCAGAAAGAGGTCCATCTTTGCTTTCAGTGCAGGCTCGCATACCTGTCTCGGGAAAAATATCAGTCTGATGGAGATCTCAAAGTTGGTTGCGTCACTGTTGGTACGGTATGATGTCGCACTAGAGGATCCTCATGCGGAGCTGTCCTTCAAGTGTCGGTGGTTCACGCCCCAGAAAGGTTTGGTGGTGAAACTAGCCAAGCGAGCCTCCTGAGAGTGTCTCTCTACATATCCCCTCTAATTATGCGTTATATTAAAGGTTACTATCCAAATAGCTGCGCTCGTTGGAAACAGGGATTCATTACCTTGCAGAGATAGGCCCTAAATAAATATCTACTGACATCGTACCCTCTCTCCATCTATGACACAACGCAAACCTCACTTGCACTCGTCAAATCCTCCCCGTCTCTCTGGCGGTCTCTTCTACAGCTTCATTGAACCGCATCCCGCTCAAACACCTGCCATGCTAAGGGCACATTACCGTCGTACTTCTAGAGGCAGATGGCGGCGGTGACAGTGTCCTCGACTGATTGACAAGTGCCCTGGGTGGAGGTCGGGAGGTGACAATGCGCTGCATCAGCCATCACGGCGCAGCCCTTGGAGGCCGATAGCTATGTCAGGATGGGGTCCAGCCAGAGTAAGTTGTTCGCGACTCTCATACACGGAGGATTCTTACTGATAGCTTCCCCACAAATGGGCATCCGTGGCATCCTATCTTGTTGTTTCCAGCCCCGTGGATATTCTTGTCATTGGTCTGTCTGCCTCCGCGCTAGTTTATCGTCGGTCCTGGAATAAGACCTGATTGGCCCCAATGATGCTGGGGGCCACTTCGAGTAACTTCAACACCTATTAAGAATCTGTCTGCCTGTCAATCTTGGGAGTGGGAGGAGCACCTATCTTCGAGTGCTGGAGATCGTTTTCCAAAACACACCTTTGGTAGTCTCCACATTTTCAAGCGCTTCCAAGAAGACGCCTCTACTTTTATGAGGCTGGAAGTGGTAACATGGCACAATCCACGTCCAAGCTATCGTCCCACGGATTCCGGTTTTGCAACTGGGCCGGGCCCGGCGAGGAGGCAGCCACCAAATTCGGCATCAGCCATGCTGTCGTCGTGCCTCCCAACATACGCACCGTTATCGTCGGTGGCCAGATTGGGGTCAAGGACGACGGGACTGTGCCCACGGACCTCGCTGAAGAGATTACCGAAGCGTTCGACAACGTAGAAAGGAGTCTGAAAGCGGCTGGCTTGGGGGACGATGCCTGGGAGCATGTCTATTCGGTGAGTCTGCTGGCCATGTCTTGTCTATCCTACCACGCCTGGCCAAACGCCCACCTACTCTGCGACCCGCCTACATCACTAAGTCCACTTTTGACGCCACTAGTCAGCAAGCATACAGAACAAAGAGAGAAAGAGTGAAACTGACTTTGTTGCGCATGGGCAGATTACAACGTACGAGGTCGAGAAAGATGGCCAAGGCATTACCGAGGTGGTCTTGCCAATAGCTAAGAAATACCTGAAAAAAACCAAACCTGTGTGGACGGGCATAACGGTCAAGGCTCTTGTTTTTCCCGGGCTCCATATTGAGATTACAGTGCAAGCTTTCTTGCCTAACTCGGACATTGTTGACACTATGGACCCATGATCGTGGGTAGGAGTTTGCTGTTATCACGTTTTAAACTTACACTTCCTAGTTACTAGCTCTCACCACGAGACTGATCAAATACCAATAGCTAAACATTGGCAATATTCCATTTCATAGACAGCCTTAGCTGCTGAGATCTTCCCATCTCGGTACTCCTGGAATCCTTCTGGGACGGCCTGGATACCCCCTGGAAGATGCGTGACAGTATTGGGCGGGCTTGATGTTCCCCTCTACGATCCAATCAGGGAGGCTCTCAAAAAACTCGGTGGCAAGCTTGTGATCGCCTTCATTTGTCTATCATCACAGCTATAAGTACGGGCCAGTCTTGTGAGGATCATGACTGGGGGCCGAACACTCACAGGCCAGTGGAATTCCCCATTCGGTCACGCAGCTCGTCAAGAGTGCACACTGGTGAACGAAGCGGGTAAATATACTTCCTTCACGTCGTCTGATCATATCATCGACTAACTGCTCTCGACTGGCCAGGGAAATCCGAAGTATTCGGAATCTTGGAAGTTCCTAATGAAATACGTCCCATTCGCGGCACGGCTCTATCAAGTCCATCTAGCATGGCAACTGGAAAGCGTCTTCTTCTCCTTCCTCATGACCGACAGTGGTGCCCGCAAGAGACAGAAGATCCGCGACGCCACATACGAGTACATCCAGAGCGATGCCCCAGCCCAGTACCGGACATCCTGAAACTCGACTACGAGCCCGGCTGCAAGCGTCGAGTCAACACGAACACTTACCTCGAGTGCCTCCACTCGCCCAACATGCACCTCGCCAAGGAGCTCGTCGTCAAGATCGAGGACAAGCGCGTCGTCACCGACACGGGTGCGCAGCACGACGCCGACGTGTTCATCTACGCCACCAGCTTCGCTACCCAGAAGTGGCTCTACCCGCTCCAGATCAAGGGCGCCAGCGGCAGAGATATCCAGCAGGTCTGGGCCCAGGCCGGCGGCGCCGAGGCACACAAGGGCACCGTCGTCGCCGACTTCCCCAACTTCTTTATCCTATACGGCCCCAACGCCGGCACCGGCCAGCACTCTGTCGTCTTCCACTCCGAGTGTCAGATCAACTACTCCTGCCGTCTGCTCAGGCCTGTCCTCAAAGGCTCGTTGCCGGCCGACTCCATCGAGGCGACACCTGAGGCCCAGAAGCGCGACCTCGCCTGGGTCCACAAGGGGTTGGCCAACCCTTGTCTTCAACAGCGGGTGCCAGAGCTGGTGGATGGATCCCGAGACAAGGAAGAATACCTTCATCTACCCCGATCCCATGTACAAGTACTGGCTGCGCACCATCTTCCCCACTTGGACCGATTTCGAGATCCGCAGACGTCCGAGCCGCCACGCATCGCCGTTCAAAACCGCCGTAGGGACCCTGCTTAGTCTTGGAGTTCTAGCTGTTGCGATTGCCTCCCTTGCAGACAAGACAAAGGCGCTCGCGTCTCTCACGGCTTGGAAAGCTGCAATCCTGGCATAAGGCTCCCAACGTTTGACCGTTGCACTCGGTCTTCTTGATCAGTTCCTAGGACGACTCTAGCTGTATATAATTAATATGTGTTTAGTCATTATTAAAACTGTTCTTGCATGTATTCGGTCAGATTATGGCGTCCATTTCGACCCAATACTACCAATTCTTGCTGTCCCAAGGAGTGTGCAGCGCCATCGGCATCGCAGCCATTTTCCAACCTTGTAAGTTCTCCCTTTCAGGACTGCAAATCTCGCCGGGAGTTCTTAATAGGTATATATATATATATATCTTTTAACCCATAAAACTAATAAAAAAATACCAGCCCTCAGCGTCATCGTGACCTAGTTCCAAAAGAAGCTATGGACCCCCGGCAAGGGCTACGGTGCCGCCATCGCCTTCGCGGTGCTCTTCGGCTTCTTCTCGGGCGGGTATGCCAGCCTGATCAGCTCGGTGATCGCGCAGATCTCCCCCCTGCCCGAGATCGGCTTCCGCACGGCCCTGGTCTTCCTCGTCGCCGCCGCCGCCGCCCGCCACCGCAGGCGGCTCACAAAGCCAACCTTGCGCATTCATATGCGCACCATCATCACCGTGATGCGCTGGATGGGGATGACGGGGTAACAGCAGGCCAGCACGGCCTCGACGCGCCTCACGTGGCCGTCCACGAAGTCCCTGCGCCGGTCCTCTCCGGGACGCGGTGCCCCCGCCGCCGCCGAGGACAGGAGCATCCTGTACAGGCGCATCGTGGTGTGGTTGGTCTCGAACATTGAGGAGGGCGAGCGTCATCTCCGGCGACCCTTCGCTAGAACGGGAGAGCTCGTGCATGTCCGGCCGAACGAAATGGCAAGTGCCTGAAGGGTCATGAGACTTGGGCTATCTAAAAAATTGGCTTGTGCGAGGGACGTCTCCAAGACTAGCCTGAACCAGTTCAAAGCTAGAGCTTTCTCCTTCCCGAGAAGATGTCGAACCTCATCCGGGGGGAGGCTGGTAACCGCGGCGAAGTAGATGCTGAATAAGAGACAGTTCACCGTGGGTGACGCCTCGTCGAGCTCATTGATGGCGGTGTAGACGACGACTTGTGCGGTTGGGATGTGCAACAGTTTGTGCATTTGGTTGACATTCTGGACGAAGATTTGCCACAATTGCATCGCCTGCCAGGTCAGCGGGTGCTACCCGGTCAGGCACTGCGATTCCTGGCTCCCGGTAGCAGTACAGAACCCCAGTCCTGGTACAGGTCGCACAAGGCAGTTTCTTGTCGCAACGGACTTTTCGGCGATGGCATACCATGGAAGACCTTTCAACCCTCTTGGAGATTGGCAGCCTCCCAGCAGCCGCTTCACCGGCGGCATCGTTCCCACTATCGCCTCTGTCGGGAAATAATGAACCCGACATGAGCTAGCCAACCGTGTCGAATGGGAACTGAATTCCTCCCATTATGGTGCGAAGTGGCAGGAACTTCCTTGGATGAGGTCGGAGGACGGAGGTGAGATGCCTTGGCTCGGGATTATCGGAGCGAGATCTCCCCGAGGCACTGTCCGCACTACGTAGTATCCTTTTGGGTATTTAACCACCGCATCACGGGCACTTTACTTCAGAGACAGAACCTTACATTGATGAATGTTAAGGTCGTCAGGGCATGTCTCCTATCGAGACCGAACTGCTCCTCTGTTAGACTTACGAGGGGCATGAGGTTTTCAGGAGCTAACGACCATTTAACTTCCGATTCCAACCGTGGCAAATATCTTGGAGGGAAGAATGCGGTGTGGTTTGTTATACTGGACCAAGGTTTGTTATACTGGACCAAGGTTTGCACCAAGGTTTGTATGCCCGTACTGCACCGAGGTTTGCACCAAGGTTTGCGGAGGTTTAAATACGTGTGGCAAGGGCCTGGTTAATATAAAGACTTTTTCTGCTCATCATCTCTGCCTGTTCTGCTGCACCAACACCTCTCTCATCCACGATTCAGCATCCACCATGGGGGCCTGGATTAGCAACCTCGTCTGGGGGCTTGTGGTGGCTCAAACGCCGAGGAGGACGGCCCGGGTGCGCAAGAGGACGGCCCGGGTGCGCAAGAGGACGGCTCAGGTGCCGCAGAGGACGGCTCAGGTGCCGAAGGGAACCCCCGAGCCGCCATTTACTCCCCCTTCAACGTGGACGTCACACAGAAAAAATCCGACCCCATGCCAGTGTTCTACCGATCCCGACATCAAAGCCAGGCTCATGGCTATGGATCCCCTGGTGGCAGACGGATTCCACAACCAGACTTGCAGCCCACTCTGCGGACTTCCAGAAGAATTGCTTCTTGACATCATGAAGCTCCTTGACCCACTGAGCATCCAGTGTCTGAGACGGGCATGCCGGTAGTTTCTCCGCCTCTATTGCTCTCGAGAATTCGCCAAGAGTCATGATATCGAATATCACCAGCGATCGATCTTCGTCCCCTGGCACGTGCCAAAAATAGAGTCATGGCCCCGGAAACAGCTCAGACCTCTCCTTGACAGAGACATCGGAGAATATTGCGCCGACTGTCGAGCAATGCGGACAAGTCCAACCTGGAACGAAAAGCTGTCCCGACTGACAGCGACGTACATGCATTGCTCCGGCTGCCGGTGCGACCATCCCGTCGGTCTATTTTCTCGAGGTCAGCGGCGGGCACCACCCCGGTCTCGAATCTGCATTGGGCGCGAGGGATTTGTGCGGCTCTGCAACCATAAGGTGGTGAAGTGGGCTGAAATAGCCCCTGTTGCGTCGAGGCTAGCTAAACTCGGCATCGATCCCAACGCCATGCGAACCACAGTATACTTGCCACCTTGCGAAGACCCGAGCCACATTCCTAAACACCATGGCCCTCACTCCATTCATACTCTCCACGCGAATATACAACCCACTGTCGCCGTTGAAACCACAATCAAGAGTAACATCGTGGTTGAGCTTCGGTGGGTTGGACATCTCCGCCTTCCTGATCTTGGCTGCGATGAACTTGGCCACTGCAAACGGGTGACTCCCCACGTTATGCGCCAACAATTCGAGCAGTTACGAAAGGGCGCTGCGGAGTTCATTGCCCCAGAGCTTCCTCCAGGCCGTCTAACGGAAATGAGCTGCTTTGACCCGAATCGTTGCTGCTGTCTCCAATACTCCGGCTTGGAGAATCTTTCGCACGGTTGGCAACTCACACCCGTGGAAGAGATTAGGTACCCAACGTGTCGAGCCCACCCGGATCGCCGCCTCGGCGCCCTCCAGCCGACCAAGGATGCCGGGGACGAGAACCCACAGCCACAAGAGGCACAGACAGGAAGTCACCGCGCATGGGCTGACAACAGCTTGGGCACCTTGATAGTCTGGACTAACCCATGCTCCGGTGGAGGTAGCTGTTTGCGAGTGAGATACTGCCGCCAGATTAACGTTTTCCCCGCAGATTGGCGCCCAGGCTGTGTGACCATGTCTTGGTTCCGAGCCCTCGATCCGGACTCCTACAACCTGACAGCCGACGATGCAAGCTTTGGGGTCCTGTGGTGTCGCCAGCAGGGATGTAGGAACTATTATCGGTACCTAAAACCATCTCTTGTCCCTCTTGACAAGATAATCCGACGGTGCACTGGTTCTTGCCCGGCATCGCGATGAGCCTGATACGGGGACGAGGGGCATGTAAAGATAGACGGGGAACAGAAAAGGGGTTTGGGCTGTTGAGAACCCTTCCAAGTTTGTTTTATTCTTTATCTCTTATTTCTAAGGCAGCCAATCAACGGACTTTAAAGTCGAGAGGCGTGGGCTTATATGGGCGGACCCCGACCAGGGTGCATTCCCACCTTCGCATGGAGGCGCGTAGGTTGATTGGACGAATGTTCTCGTTGAAATCAACGTATATAGGGGTAAAGTGCGTAGTGGCGCCAATATGCCACCGTCATCCATCCAATCTTAGAGACAAAAGTACAATGCCAAACAGATAAGACACAGACAATCTAGCATCAACCACTTTAGATGCGAGATACGTGGCGCGTCTGACGGAGAGACGTAACTGTTGAAGTTAGCACGCCAAGCGTCAGAACCCTCGGCCATGATGTCGGAGATGGTATCGGACAGTATCACGACGCGAGACCTAAGACGAGAGTATGCACGACAGGGCAAACCGCCCAGGGCAACCGCCCAGAATCCTTTGATTGGTCCCACCCACCCGCCCCTTCCGTATTAGTTAAAAATATTTGGCGCACCTAAAAACTCAGGCCGCTCCCACCCCGTCTCCTTCCCGGCCTCCTGCCACATCCGTCCCCGCGCCCCCCCCTGCCCCATCCGTCGCCGGGGTCCCCGTCCCCGCGCCCCCCGCCCCCCCCGTCCCCCCAGTCCCTCCTCCCCCCGTCCCCTCGGTCCCTCCTCCCCCCTGCACCCCCCCCCTCTCTTCTCCGCCCAATGCAGAGCCCACGCCAGGGCGACCCACGCGGCACAGATGGTGCCGAACAAGACGGCCAAGATGGTCCCCACGGGGGTAGCCGGCGAGGCCGGGTAGGCGGGCGGCGGCGGACAGGCGGGCACCGGGGGGCAGGAGGGCACCGGGGGGCAGGCGGGCACGGGTGGGCAGGCGAGCCCGGCGAAGCAGGCCGCAAGAAGTTTTGACGCCCAGGCGTCGTCGCCGTAGGTGGTGGTGGTGGTGGTGACGGTGACGGTGGCGGCGGCAGCCGCGACCGAGGAGGTGGTGGTGGTGACGGTGACGGTGGCGGCGGCAGCCGCGACCGAGGAGGTGGTGGTGGTGATGGTGGTGGTGGTGTTGGTGGCGGGCAGAGCCGCGGCGGCGATGGCTGCGACGAGGGCCGCCATTTTTTTTTTTGTTGCTTGGATCTAAGGGAACTCCTACATTCACTGGGGATCAAGCTCCCTTTATACATTCATGGGCTCTTCTCGGCTCTGGTATTATCGGTCTGTAAGGAAAGCTTTCCCCTAATGCTCCTTCCACTTTGGAAGACCTGTGCTTGGTGTCTGAGGAACATTTGTAAAGTGATACCTGCGTCTAGGTACCTAGGTAGTTAGGTCGGTACGAATGAGACAAACTCTGTGGCCACGTCTTTCCGCAAGGAGGTCCTCTCCTTCCTCATCAGAAGTCCTTCCCTTTGCCAGAGATACATTCCATCTGTATTCCATTCTTTCGCAATCCCGGTTCCTCCCGTCTCTCTATTGTAGTTTCCCTTCCCCTCTCTATTGTAGTTTTCCTTCCTCTCTCTATTGTAGTTTTCCTTCCTCTCTCTATTGTAGTTTTCCTTCCTCTCTGGTCTTTGGGGAGGATTACCTAGGTAGTTGGGAGGTATCGAACAGCCATTTCATGAATTCCTGCGGGCTCCAAGTGATTGATACTGATCACCACCATCACCTCAGTCGCTGACCCCGCCAAAAATACTTCGCGCAACTAAAAACTCAGGAAGGTCTCCACCACTCCCCCGTCCCCCTGAGGAACGGCCGGGGACCTCGTCCCGGGGTTTCCCCCCTCCTCCCCTCCTGCCACATTCGTCGCTGGCGGCCCCGTCCCCCCGTCGCCCAGCTCCCCCTCCCACGGCAGTCGTCACCGAGGTCGTCCCCGTCCCCGGGGTCCCCCCTGCCGCCTCCTTGTCCCCCGTCCCCCCCTCCCCCCAAGTTCATCGCCCACATCAGAACAGCCCACGCGAGGACGAAGGTCAGGTACCCAGCGGCCAAGGTGGTCCCCACGACGGCGGGGGTGTCCTGGCAGGTCGGGCAGGCGGGCACCGGCGGGCAGGCAAGCCCGGCAAAGGCGGCCGCAAGAAGTTTCGACGCCCAAGCGTCGTCGCCATAGGCGGTGGTGGTTGTTATGGTAATGGTGACGGTGGCGGTGGCTGCAGCAATCGAGGTGGTGGTGTTGGCGGCTGAGATAGTGGTGGTCATGATGGTGGTGGTGGTGGTGGTGGGTAAGGCGGGCACTGGCGGGCAGGCTGGTGCGGGCGGGCAGACAAAGCCGGCGGCATGAAGTTTCGACGCCTAGGCGTCGCCGACATGGCCGGGGAAGGTGTTGCTGACGGCGGCGGTGGCCGAGGCGGTGGTGATGGTGATGGTGGTGGCGGGGTCAGCGACCAAGGTGATGGTGGTGATGACGGTGGTGATGATGGGCCGGGCGGCGCCGGCGGCGATCATATGCTCGGCCATGTTTGTGTGCTTGGATCCATGGGAGCTCCTTCACCCAGATCAAGTTCCTTTTATATATTCATTCTGTCCCTTGTGCTTGTTCTACTTCGAAAAGGCCGTACCTGCTGTCTGAGGAACGTTTGAGCTGTGAGCTCATGGGTCCTTCTGGGCTCTGATGCTTATCGAGCTGTAAGCATGGTACCTCCATCCACGAGGAAGGAACTACAATAGATAGAGGAAGGAGCTAGGTAGGTACAATAGAGGAACCGGCGCGGCACTGCGAAAGAGGGGAATATGCATTTCCGAAGGGAAGGACTTCTGTTGAGGAAGGAAATAACCTCCTTGAGGAAAGACGTGCCACTGAGTTCATCCCATTTGTACCTAAATACCTGGAGGTAGGTAGGTATCGCCGCCATATCCGTATTTACGACGACGCCTGACTTCATACTGGGACTCCTTGTATCATCGGAAGGATTTCACGAGATACCTGGGTTTTCGGTTTTGATGAGGTTCGTGAGAATGGATCTGGAGGATGAGCCATTCCATGAGCTCCTGCCGGCTCTAAGCGACCGACACTAATCACCCGGGCACATTGTGAATATTTCTGTGTTGAGGAAGGCGCAATCGACACCTTGAACTGAACGGCCAACACTGGGACCAAGATTTGACCCGAGCGAAGGCCTGGGGTCATCTTAAAATTGGGGCCATATGAATCGAGAAGGTTCTCAAGGAATCTGCCAACGGGAGTCATTTGAAATAACATCGCTTGATGAATGGTAAGAAGGTACCTGTAGGCAGCTCCAGTCTGGCCAGGGTGAGGCCTGAGGTGGTGGAGACGAAGACATCGTTCCTTCCCCCAGCTTAGGGGTTCCGTCTGCTGACTTTGCCGATTGCGACTCAGCTCAGTGAGTCACGATGAGCCTGGGACATCAAAAGAGACCCAGGACTGGAACCATCGACGTGGTGGATCTAGAAAATGTTGTGGATTTTGACCATCTTCTGGATATGGAAGGGGCTTTGGACATGATTGATGTCTCCCTGGATCAGGAACATGTATGGACCCGACCCTGAAGGAGGCCTGGACCCCGCTTGGATGATGTGGACGGCTACACTCGGGCTAAGAACATAGCTAGGTCGTAGCTTCTTCTTGAACTCGGCGGCGAAGAAGATGAATATCGGTGTCATGGTTGCTGTGTTGGCCTGGTCGGTGCCTTCCTGTTCTCCGGAGACGCAGGTGTCAGGTGTGACCCACAAGTCAGTGCCGCTTGAACTAGCAGGGATGGAATGGATTAGGTCATAGATTAGATCGAACTACCGGGCTAGACCCCATTGCGAAAGCGGCGCTAGCCTGTTTAGTGTCTGGCGATGAAATCTGCGCGGGGGTACGCCAAGAGATGCAAATTTGCACTGCGGGATATATTTAGTATAATTGTAGCAGTAGTAGTACAATGTGAGCATTGCTTCCCGTTTCTCGGTCTCCATCGAGCATACCGATTCTACAGAATATTCCCCTTTGGATCTGCGCTACTGTTTACGGCTATGGCGACCGAGAAAACCGGAGGCAGCCCCTCAGTGCACCGCGACGCCGAGACCGGAGCTGATCGCCGCATTGCGGATGGACAAGATGTTGCCATCGCCATGGTGGGCGAGTCACCGCACACGATCGATCCTACCGTGACCGCGCGTGCCGTCCGCAAGATCGACTGGTTTCTCATCCCCGCTATGATATTCGGCTGTACGTGCCCCTCAAGCGGAGTAAAAGAGGAGTGTGAATAGACTCCATGGGCTGGGGTAGCGCTAACACACACCCTCCGCCTGATCAGATGGCATCGTCTATTACGACAAGGCGATTCTTGGCTCGGCGGTGCTCTTCGGCATGACGGGCGACCTCGGGCTCTCGGTGGTGGACAACTCGACGGTGCCGCCCACGACGGACACGTCGCGGCTCAGCTGGGCGACGTCGCTGTTCTACTTCGGCATGCTGGCGGGGCTCTACCCGATGACCTACGCGCTGCAGCGGTTCGACGTCGGGCGGATGCTGGGGGGCGTGGTCATCGTGTGGGCGGCCGTGTGCATGTCCACGGCGGCGGTGACGGACCACCGCGGCCTGTACGCGCAGCGCTTCTTCCTCGGCTTCGTCGAGAGCATCATCCCCACGGGGTTCATGTGCATCATCACGGGCTACTACACGCAGCTGGAGCAGTCGCTGCGCCAGAGCTGGTGGTTCAGCAGCACGGGGCTCTTCACCATCATCGGCGGCGCCCTCAACTACGGCTTCGCCCAGATCACCGGCGGCAGCCTCCAGCGGTGGCAGTACATCTACCTCCTGGCCGGCTGCCTGACCTTCCTGTTCGGCCTGTTCTGCTTCGCCATGCCGAGCTCGCCCGTCTCGGCCTGGTTCCTGACCGAGGAGGAGCGCTTCGCCGCCGTCGAGCGCCTGAGGTACGGCCAGACGGGCGTGCGCTGCACCAAGTTCAAGATCTCGCAGGTGAAGGAGGCGGTCCTGGACATCAAGGTCTGGCTCGTCGCCCTGATGATGGCCTCTGCGTGGGTTCTCCCTTTATTTCTCCTTCAAACGAGACAGCTAACATGCCCGCAGCTACACCATGAACGGCGCAGTCAGCGGCTTCGGCCCCCTAATCGTGTCCACCTTCGGCTGGTCGACGCTCGAGTCGATCCTCTTCCAGTTCCCGCTCGGCGGGCTGTGCTTCATCGTGATCCTGGCGACGGGCTACCTCGGCAGCCGGATCCCCAACATCCGCATCATCATGCTGGTGGCGTGCTGTCTGCCGGTCATGGCCGGGTGCGCCATCATCTGGAAGTCGGCGTGGACGCGGCACGCGGCGGCCCCCGTGATCGGCTACTCGATCACGGGCACGTTCGGCGGCGTCGTCAGCCTCGTCATCACGGTCGGCATGTCCAACGTGGCGGGCCACACCAAGAAGAGCTTCATGGCCGCCACCATCTTCGTCGCCTACTGCGTCGGCAACATCGTCGGCCCCCAGCTGGTCCGCAGCCAGTCCAAGGCCCAGCACTACCCGGAGCTGTGGCTCGGCCTCATCATCTGCTACGTCATCTGCATCGCCGCGTCCGTCGCGCTGTACTACGTCCTGTGGAGAGAAAACAAGAGGCGGGACGCCGTGCCCGGCGACGAGGAGGAGCGCGCGAAGCTGGCCTTTATGGACTTGACGGACAAGGAGAACCCCTACTTCCGCTATGTTATGTGAGGTAGATGGATGGAGGACTTGGACCTCTAATACTGTGATAGGATACCTGGGGGCATATATGACGTACTGGTCTTCCTTTGCAGCGATACCCAACTCTTGATCGGGTATCTTGACTCTTTTCTGGCTGTCATCTACGCGAGGCTTTCTTCTAGCATATTTAGTCGTGTTCTCAAACAGGAGCATAAGAGGATCATACCCAAAGCATCAATTATTACGCTTAGCCACTAAATAAGTCTTCATATCAACAAAGCCTGAGTCTATTGGGGTTCCTCCCGGAAGAAAGTATGGGGGAACGAAGGGTGCGGCGTGGGGGCGGGGGGGGAGGGGGGGGGGAACCTAGGAAAGCCAGCCCAGATCAGATTTCCTTTACAAAGCCGACCTCGACCAGGTTGTCATAGTCCAAGTCGAGATCTGCAAGCTTGGTCCTTGAATTCTCCCGGATCCAGAGGTAAGACCTGAGCATGACAGTCCTTATGAATCGCCTGATGAGGCTGCCAGGCACCGGCCGGACCCGCATCACCATTTTCCCCAGGATATACACCGTCTGGGCGGTTTTGGAGCAGCCAAGCGCGTCGATCTCGTTCCGCACAGCAGGAGGTAGGTTCTCGAGCGGCAATCCGGGGTCCGCGACCCCGCCTCGGATGAAACTTGCCAGCTGCTCCACGATGATGAGACCGAGGTCGTGCGTCAGGACGTTGTCCAGGTACCCGTGGCGTAGGGTGACGCGATAGGACGACGGCATGTGGCGGTTGGCTCGGGTGACGACGAAGCGCTCCTCGGCCGGGACCGTGGGCACCGAGAGCGGCCGCATGTGGAAGAAGACGATCAGCTCGGGCCGCGCCTTGAACTTGCGGATGAACTGCGTGAAAACCCGGGGGACGATGTCGTCACCGCCACCGCCGCCGCCTCCTGTCTTGTCGAAGAAGATGCCCAGGCCCGACGCCGTCGAGAGGTCTCCTCCGCCAAAGGCCTCGGTAAGACTCAGTTGCGGAGGAGCGTTGCTGCTGCTGTCCTTCTTTGTGTCGGCGTCCGCCGGTGGAGTGCGCGACAGCTGAAGCAGCTGGGACTGCACGACGCGATCCGTGGCTTCGGCGGCCCACTGCTGTTCTTTGCCCCATCTCCATAAGACGAAAATGCTTGCGAGGACGAAGGCCAGGACGAGTGTGAACCAAGCGCCCTCCGGGACCTTCCGGAGCGCCGAGGACATATACGCGCCATCTAAGGAGGCGAACATGGCGAAGAAGAAAAGGACAATCACTAACGGGATGCGCCAAATGATGATTGCCACAAGAGACACCATGCAGGTCGTGATCATGGTGACTATGATGACGCACACACCATAAGCGTTCCCGAGGCTGGTTGTCTGTTTGGATGGGCGAGTGACTGTTAGCAATAATATTTATCGGACCTGTGACGCGAGTCACACGCAGCTGGGGGGACACGGGGTTAACCAACATTGTTGTAGACTGCAGTAACGATGACAGTGCCGATCATCAGCAGCCAGTTCGCCAGGGGCATATACACCTGTTCATGGAACTGCCGACTCGTGTGCACGGTTTTGATGTGGGGGAAATAGCTCAGCCTCATGACCTGGGACAAGAGCTGAAATGAGCTCGTGATCATCGCCTGGCTGGCGACAATGGCCGCCAGGACAGCGATAACCAGACTGAAATATAAGGTTCCCGGCGGCACGGCATTGAAGAAGGGGTTTGTAAATGCAGTCTGGCTCTTATCAGCCGAAATGAACGCCGCTTGCCCGATATAGGCGAAGAGCAGGCACGGGAACGCAAGGCAGAGCCACGACAGCTGGATGGCGCGTTTCCCAAAGGCGCCGAGGTCGGCGAAAAGAGCCTCGACACCGGTGAAAGCCAGAAGGAGACCCCCGAGGGATTCCCACCCCTTGCGGCCGTTGCGGACGAGGTAGGCAAACGCATAACCAGGACTGAAAGCCTTCAAGACGGTGTGGTCGTGGACTGCCAAGTTGTAGATGCCGCTGCACAAGTTGAAGAGAAGCCAGATGACGACGATGGGCGCGAATGCGGTGCCGACCTTGGTTGTGCCGAGCGGCTGGATCAGAAAGAGGGCAACGAGAATGGTGCACGAGATGCCGACAATGGCGCTCGTGCCCAAGTCCGGGTTCGCGACTCGAATGCCTTGGATCGCGCCGAGGACGGACTGGGCCGGAGTGAGAACGCCATCGGCCATCACCATGGAGACGCCGAGCACCCCAAAGGCCTTGAGGAGGCCCTGCGAGACGGGGCTGTGTTCGAGAAACGCCCGGACGTTTCTGCCGGCGGGCTTCATGTCGCCGGTTCGCTGGCGCTCGAGGCGGACCATTCCGGAGACGTTGGGATCGCGCCGCACAATTTTGGCGTAGCGCGCAAGGAGGGAATATAGGGCAAATGTGCCACCCTGTCCGTCGTCATCGGCGCAGAGCACGATGAAGCAGTATTTTACGGTGACGATGAGAGTCAGCGACCAGATGATGATGGAGAGGGCGCCGACGAGGTCGTCATACGATGGCTGAGAAGTGAATGTAGAGCTATAGACATAGAGCGGACTGGTGCCGATGTCCCCGTAGATGACACCAGTGCTCTGCCAGGCCAGCCAGAGGAGGATAATGCCCTTGTGGTTCTGGTGAAACAGCTTGTTAGCTAATTCTTTCATTAGTCCCATCGGCAGAGCAGCCGCCTGCCTGCCCGCCACCTATTCTTACTTGTTTGAGTCTGAGATTCAGGTCACCTTCGGCGATCTGGTGGGCCTTCTCCTCATGCTCAATGTCCCACGCCTCCCGAGCAGCGGCAGTTTCGCTATCCGTTGCTGCGGATGAAGACTCGGCAGTGGCCTCGTCTGTGGCAATCGGCATTTTGTCTTACGGCGAGCGCGGTGAAAAGCCTTGGGTCAAACGATGACTGGCAGGATGCGAGGAAGTTTCTGGGAAGGGGATATGTTTTTTATAATATCTACTGGGCACTGATATCACAGGGGGATAATTAGTGGTGAAAATCCAACAGCTCAGCAGCTCAGCCACGACAGCAATTACTGATCTCCTGACCTCCTGAGTGACGATAACTACCCGGGTTCCACCACCGCGACCATTTGATGTTAGATGATCTAATTATCTCGTATTCTTATCTTTAGGGTTGGCACGGCGAGGGAGGCCTCTACGCAACGTTGTTCCATCTGAGGAGCGCAGGGGGAACCCCGTCGAAAACGGGCCTTGCCGCTGTGGGGTAGTGGGGCCGTCTGCACCCCGGGCAGGTAGGTTGTTACTTGAATGTCCCGACAGTGCCTCGTAAGGCGTGGAGCTACCGTATCACCAGATATTGGATACTTCGATGCGGGGTTGGGTAGTTTCCATTCTTGCTGTTCCCCCCATTCCGTCACATCTGGGCTCGGCTGCTTCCAGGTGAAACCGGAGGCAAATATGAGGGATTTTTCTTATCGCTCGTACTGCACATGCAGGCAACACTAATAATAATGATGGTCACTCAGAAGCAGTCCATTGGGTGGATAAGAGGGGCAGACAAACACAGTTTCGACCTATCAGACAGGTCGGGCCTCGGTGCCGCGCGCTCTAAATGTTACTGGACGCTTGATCTCCCTCGACGACCTCGAAATTCCGTCGTTGTTGTCTGGGAACCCCATCTCACTCAGCCCATCAAGCTCATCGGCTTCCTCCTGGACACCCGGTGGTGCCTCCGCCTCAAAGACAGCCTGTATATCGCCATGGGGAGAGAAACCGGTAAATTGCCACTTCAAGAACGGCTTTGATCCTCCTCCTGATGCCGTCTGGGCCCAAATGCGATGGCGGCGCTCGTAGAGGCCGATGAGCAACAAGGTGGGCGCGTTCAGTACCTGGACTATCGCGACATGTGTGTCGTGAAAGGCCCGCGCCGAAATGAGGAACTTGAGCGGGAGGAGGACGACGAGAGCCAGGATGTTGAAAGGCGGGGGATACGCAAAAATGGCATCGCTCTTGACGCCCTCGAATGTCAGCACGGCGCGTCGAAATTGGATTTCGGCGGTCTCGGCGGCAGCGATCCTGGAGAATGTGTTGGTGAGTAGCGCCACCAGGATCGTTAGGAATAAGGTGTTGCCCAGGAATGCAAAGGCGACCATGAGAGCCGGGCCCAGAATGACATGGAACTGGACCGACTCCTCGATTCCCGTCCCGTCCAGTCCAAACCAGATCCAAAGAAGCCATTTTATCACTGTATACCATCTCGGACTGGAACTAGCAGTGGCACTGTCGCTCGTTGGTAACCACTGTAGCGCCAGGAGGAAGCCAGTGAAGCACCAGACGGCTAGGAACGTCAGTACCAGGAAGTCCTTCATCATGGCATGGAGCGAGATGAAGACGATGTTGTCGGGCAACAGGTTGAACGCGACACGAGTGAGCAATACCGGTGCGGCAATGCATAGCACATGAAGTCCGGTCCCGTCATGTACGTGGCCGGCCGAGACATCGTAGACTCGGGCGAGGACATAGAAGCCGAAGATGAGCGTAAACGTTGCGTCCAAGAAGGACCAGAGGTTCTGTGCATGGACCTCCCAACCGTGCTCGATGATGGCAGCAATTTCATCGAGAACCCAGCCTGATGTGTAGATGACGAAGAGGGCCTCGTAGAGACCGATGGTGGAGGCGCTGTTGCGATGGACCATGGCCAGAACGTACAAGAGCACCAGGACCAAGAACTGGAGTATCTCGATGGTGTTCCGATAGCGAGGTACGATGAGGCGATAATGGTTAAATAGAGGCGCTTTGCGGGGGTCGTAGAGGGAGACCGGGTGGTGTCTGTAGTGATCCGGCAATATATCGACGAATGACAAGGGGGTATAGAAAACTTGTCCCTCGTACACAGCGTTGACGACTCGTTGACACGCCTGCGAGCTGATAAAGGTCTTGCTCTCGGAGAGAATCGCCAGCTCGAGAGCCGTGAGCTTTCTCTCATATCCGCCGCGCTCCTGAACTGGCCATTGCTGGGAGCGTGCGGACCGTTCCACGGCCCTCGATGCGCCTGAGAATGGATCGAAGCCCTCGACCAGGATGTTGGCTAGGAGAAGCAAACCCAAAGAACCGGGATTGTCTTCGTGGAACTTTCGCAGGATACGCGTGGCTACCAACTCGCACAACGTCGCCCTCGCGATATTGACTGTCTGGTGCACGACAGCGGACTGCTCGCGGAGGAACTGTACACGGTTGGCCAAAAGACAGTACACTAGTGATTGCGAGTCAGTCGTGTATTAATTGATTAACCTCCAGGATAGATAGAGAGGAGGAGAGCAGGGCAGATTGACCTGTCGAGCTGTCATTGGGATCATAGAGCCGGTCTACTAGAGGACGGACGATGAGCATGTTGACCCTTGGGCTGGTCAATTGGTCCAGTGTGTAGGGGTCATCTGCATGGAAGCTCAGAGTCAGCTCGAATTACGCGAGGTTTTCTTCGGAATAAGATGGCTGCCTACCAATGCTTGCCAGCACGAGCTTCCTGACACTTCAGAGGATCAATTAGCAAGCCATCCCGGTAGCGCGATTCTGCAGCTGCGTTTCTCCACCACCCCAGACACGGGTCGAGATCTGGCCACGTACCGATGGATGGTGGTGAAAACCGAAGGCAGCTGCTGCTGGGAATGCTCGTCGCCGAGGCAGTGTTCAGTCTCGGTCATCATTTCGTCAAGTTCAAGGAACCCTATCTGGCCCCGGATGTCAAGACCGCTGGCTACTAAGCAAGTCGCTTCATCAGTTCCATCCATATTTTTGTCGTGAGGATGATGACAGCGCGCTCGAATTGCTGCCGCAAATTATCTGTTACCAAATTTGTTTTGAAATTGAAAAATGCCTCAGGCATTGTGACCAATGGAACGCCTGTCTAATCTAATTTCCGACTAGCTGTGTCTTGGAACTTCTTGGAACTTCTTGGCTCTTGGTGTCTTTTGAAAATAACACCTAGGACATCGCCTTAAGCCTAAGCCTAGTCTCCAACATGACAGTCTTGCCAATTCCCGATGGGTAAATCTTGACAAGCTCCAACCCCACGGCATCGAAGATGTCGTTGAACTCGTCGAGTGTCTTCTCCTTGCCGCTCATCGCCATCAAGCTGAAGTCCAGCCAGTATAGCTCCATCGCCTCGCCCACCTCCACCATGTCCGGAACCAGCATGTCGCAGATGATCAGTCGCGAGTCGGTGGCCATGGATGCGGCGGCATTTTTGAGGATCTGAATGCACTCGGGGCTGTAAAAGTCGTGGAGCAGTCGGCGGAGAAAGTACACGTGCGCGTCTAGGATTGGATCAATTAGTGAACAGCCAGCTTCAGATGGGGGATAATTAGCCAATTAGTGGTAATATTATCCGCAACGCACTTTTGACGGGGTTTGGACCACTGAAGATGTCATAGACCATCGGCTCAATGCCCGGAAGCTCCTCCGGTTTCAGCGTATTGATGACAGAAGGCAGATCCTGCAAGACCACCTTCCCGCCAAAGAACCGCGGGCACTCGGTCTCAATCCGCAGCATCGCCTGGCCCCTGCCGCCGCCGATATCGACAATGAACGGCCTGTCGGGCTCCGCCTCGACCCGGTCCCTGAGCGACGCAAACGGGAACATTCCCAGCACGGGCATGTTCTTCTCGCTCTGCTGCATGGTAGCGTTCCACACGGCCCGCTTCTCGGGACCAGCGGCGTCCAGGACCTCGTAGTACGTCGACCCCTCCTTCCCCTCGGCGAACACAAACGGGCTCTTGCGGAGGTCGAAAAGGTCCCCGGGGGCGTGCGTGCGAAAGTACTCGGGGCACGCGACCCACGCGCGCACGAAGTCCATCAGGACGAGGAAGAAGGCGCCGAAGGTGTCCGGCAGCAGCGCCCGCGACAGCGCGTTGTGCGCGTACGCGTCCGGCGCCGTCTGCGCGCCGACGCCGTTGGCCAGCACGAGGCGGAACGCGCGCTCGACGACTGACACGTCGACGTTGGCGGCCGCCGCCAGGTCCCGAGCCGAAGCCGAGGCGCCCGAAGGGGGGAGCTGCTGCAGCGCGCCGATGCCGAGGAGGGTGTGCAGTGCCGAGGCGAAGCTCATGGTCTCCACTAGGCGCGTCACCGTGTCGTATGGCTCCTCGAGGGCTCGTTGTACCGTGGCGGTCTGCTTTAGTAGGCCTAGGTGGGCGGCCGGCGTGCCGTCGAAGCCCTTCAGGGACTCGACCAGCTTCTCGGCCTCCTCCAGTGCCTTTGCAATGTTCTCGGCCATTTCGGAATGGGAGCTCAACGGTTCTATAATGGCAATTATTAGACGTTATCTGTCAGTTATAGCAGGCGGTTCGTCCTAGATATCTGGCTCGACGATGCGGGGTGATGGTGGTTTGACTTACTCCCCTCCCTTCGTTCCGGTCTAGAGGTGGGCCATTGCGACGCTGACTAGGTCGATATCTGTCGGGTCAACAAACCGTAAGGCATGATAGGCTACGGGAAGCACACTAGGCTATTCCGGGGATGAGGGAAGTAGATCGTGCATATCCGGCGCGGGCCGTGACTGTCCGTGAAATGAAGCCTGCCGAAGACCGGGACCGGAGACGGGAAATTTAATCAGTCATGAGCGATCCATGGGTGTTATGCCCGGGCGTGATGGAGAAACGGATGTTGCTAGCCCTGAAAGAAGAATTGCCGCGCAAAGCTCTCCATCTTGGCTGCTGAACTGATGAATAATCAGCTTTACGACTTTCAATGCTCGGCGAGAGAACCGGGATATTCTCCGTCCTTCTTCGATAACATCCAATGCAGCTCTTCTCGATGCGAGACGATGGGCTGCAGAAGGAACTAAAGGCCAAGCTTGCCCCCGGTGTAGGTTAAGTTTCTGCCAGCCTGGACAGCCCATCGCGCGATCGCATGATTATATATTGCTGCTGACGTTGGAACCGTCGGAAGTACTCGGGAAAGAAGGCGAAGGCTTCGAGCCGGGCGTGGATATGCAAGAAACGGCTTGATACGGGATGAGCTGATGGCCGAAGTGTTCTTGAGTTGGTCTATTGAAAGGTCATCCTAAGAGGCTTCGCCGTCACTAATCCGAATCCCTTTCCCTCCACCCCCCCCCCCCCCCCCCCGGCCCATAGGATCGCCGGTTCCTATCCTACCGCCACAGAGGTACGCAGGACACTCCTCTGCCTGCACAACACCCCCTCAGCTCTGATTAGTTTCCACTGCGAGATCGATGCAGCATCGAAGCCAGGCGTAATTATCAGCTCGCTCATCCGCAACACCGAGGCGTACCAGCTCACGTACCTCCAGGCCATGATCCGGGAGGGCATCAGGATGTTCAAGCCTCCAACCGGCCACAGGTACAAGCAGGTTCTAAAAGGAGGGGCCCACATTCGCGGTTATTCCTTGCCCGAGGGCACCCAAATGAGGGTGAATATCCTTCGCATGATGCGCCACAGGGAAACCTTTGGTCCGGACGCGGCTCTGTTCCGGCCCGAGCGATGGCTGGACGGTTCGAGTGACGGTGAGAAGCTGAAGGAGATGGCCGCCACCGTCGATGTCGCATTTGGGCACGGCACGTTCCAGTGTCTCGGGAAGACGTTTGCAGTGATGGGGCTGAACAAGATATTTGTCAAGGTAAGCTCGCATCCCTCCTGGCCCATTTCACCCCTGAATCTACGCGCCACCACGTTGGAGAGGGTTATTACATGCTGACGGAGAGGATTCGGGTATGACAGCTTCTGAGACGGTTTGACTTTGCCATTGCACAACATGATGGGGAATACTGATTTCTGCGTCAACAGCCACAGTATTGTCGAGCAATTTCGGTAGGTGCGGTAGCAACGGAGACACAGAGCCGCTTCTTGCAAAGAAAGAGCCACGAAAACAACTAAGATGAGCTGGCCTTGCATGAGCTGTCGCCCTGCAGGCTGTTCGATGGTTGTTGGCACAGCCTCAACCAGCCGTCCACGTCTAATTAATGAAGCACGTGGAAATACAGTGCGGCCTGCTGTGTTACTCTGCAGGAGGTAACCCCAGGAATAGAAAATGGCGGGGACGTTGCACTAAATTTAGCATATTTACGTCGAGATCGTCACGTCTCGGGTCATTTGTATGTCCGCATTACACACCAAACAGCAAGGTATTACACAATATTTTTGATCCGCTTCAGCTTCTTCAAGATGTCGGGCAAACCTGGCCAAGGGGTTGGACACTCAAGAACCACGACGTTACATCCCCACCAGAATGCTGACTTGACCCTGAACTGGAGGCCCTTGCAATTCCTCTAGAGTTCAACTGAGTGCGTAATTACCGCACACGGCCAAGTATATATAGAACGTGGGGCCACGGTGAGATAAGCTACCTACAGTAAAGGTTGTCCAACAATATTGCCACTTCCCCTTCAAGCATCATGAAGTTATCCACGGTCTTGGCCCTTGTTTCGGCCACCCTCTCCCTGGCCCAGAACGCCAACAACTGCAACACGGACGATAAGAAGCGAAACGGTGCTGACTTCGTCCTCACTGACCAAGGAAACAATGCGCACCTCGCGCCGCTCTCCAAGATCTTCGCCGATGCCGGCAGAAAGGTGCACGTCTCGGACGTGTTTGACGATGGCAACCACAAGATGACAACAGACGCCTCAGGCAAGAAGGCCTGGGAGGAGCTGCCCAGCTTCGACGACGAGAACACGAGCAAGTGGGTGCCGCAGGGCATCACATCCACTGCAGATGCCCTCGACGTGGGCACCTACGAAGGCAAGGATGGCTGGGTCGTCAGCTGGCACCGGGATGACGACAAGAGTGTGCGAGTCACGTTTGTCAACAGAGCTAATGACAAGTATCGACACGTTCTGCTCGTCTATCCGGACGCGGATGACAACTTCAAAGAGGTTCCTGTCCATGCGGGAGGCATCATGTGGTACGGCAACACGCTGTGGGTTGTGGATACCAAGAACGGGATCCGAGTCTTTGACATGGACAATATCTGGCAAGTTGACTCTGGAGATGGGGTTGGGAAAAAGAGTGGCGGAGGATACTCTGCAGCGGGTTATAAATATGTTCTCCCTCAGATCAGGTAACACACCTCCGTATATCCCCTTTATTCCTGCCAAGCACTAACAGGTTTGCGTCAAGATGGTACAAATGGACGCCGTCCTTCAACTTCCAGTTCTCCTTCATCTCCCTGGACCGCACCACCACTCCAGACAGCCTCCTAGTTGGCGAGTACCAGACCAGCGACTCGGTGCCGATCCGCATGGCGCAGTGGGGGCTCGACTACACGACGCGCAAGCTGCGGACCGACAGCGACGGCAAGACGGCCAAGGCGTCGTGGGCGTACTGCGTCAACGTCGAGCGCATGCAGGGCGCCGTCCAGGCCGACGGCAAGATCTACATCTCCCGGAGCAACGGCGACAGCAACAGCGACATCTGGGGCTGGGTCCCGGGGAGCGTCGCCCACAACAACAAGGGCTTCGTGCCGCCCGGCACCGAGGACCTAAGCTACGACAAGAGGGGGAAGAAGATTTATGGGCTGACGGAACATGTTGGGCAGAGGTATATCCTCACCCTGGACTCGTCGCAGATCAAGTTCAAATAAGGGATCGGGAAAAGGCTGATTCTCATTTATGTGGACCTCTTCCTGTCTCTTCGTCTCTTTCCCTTTCCCCCTTTTTCTTCCTACCTAAAATGAGTCTGAATTTACACCATACATGATTCCGGAATCTGAATGAACAAGGTTACCATGTCACAATTATTGGACTGTCCAGTAACTTCACATCCGAGTGCAGAATTAGCAGATATAACATTTTGACCTTTGCAGCCAAGAAAACTATTTCGGTCAGTCCAGTTTAGACACGACAAACCGGATGATGACCCTGAACACCTCCTCAAAGTTGTAGTCAAACATCTCACCAGTAACCTTCCATCTCGTCCCAGTCTTCCCACCAATCACATCCCACAACTTCTGCAACGTCTCGATATTATGGTGATACCTGCCCTCCCCACCCTGCGCCCGATACTCCTCCAGACTCAACGGCTCAAATGTCCCAACCTGCCTACCCAACACCAGCGCCTTCGCACCCGGCTTAAAAAACCTTACGATCCGCTCCCCGACCCTAACCTGGTCATCCCAGCCAAACAGGTGGAAGAAGCTCGCCGAATGAACTACATCAAACCGACCATCCAGGCCCGCGAGCGCCCCATCCGACGGATCCAGGATATCGCCGGTGACAAACGCCCCGCCGAACGTGTCCCTGTCGCGGAACAGCTCGTAGCCGAGCTCGACGAACTCGGGCCGCAGATCCGTCCCCGTCAGGTTCGCGGCGGGGGCGCCGTCGTGCACGAGCCCGCGCAGGACCTGTCCGAAGCAGCAGCCGACGTCCAGGAGGGTGTCGCCGGCGCGGAGTCGCGAGATGAGGGCCGGGTACTCGGGCGTGGAGGCTAGGTAGAGGTCTAGGAAGCGCCAGCGGCCGATGCAGGGGTAGTTGAAGATGGAGTAGGCTTTGTCGCGCTAAAAGGGGGGGGAGAGGGAGGAAGGGGTTAGAGCGGGAGATTGGTTGGATGTGTGGCCTGGGGTGAGAGGAGGATTCCCGGGAACTCACGACGGCGATGACGTGCGCATCGATCTCGTCCGGGGGGATGCCGCTGTAGGATTCGAGGAGCTCCCACGCTTTGGCGAGGTTGGTCTTGTCGGCTGGCAACTCTTGCCGGTAGCGCCAGGTTGCGAACGGGTCTGTGTCTGTGGCCATTTTCACGTCGGTCGTCATGTCAGCAAATGGCAGCGGCGTTGGAATGGGCTCCCGTTTGATGGCTCGACATTGGCCGCCCTCATCGCGGGGAAGTCGGCTTTATCTACGGCCGAATCGGTGCCGAGTCGGCAGATCGGCAGGGGCCAATCGGCACGCAATTGCGACGGCCAATGACGTGTGCGATGGCAGCTCCGAGGCCGACTCTCCGCAACTGTCAACCCGGGTATCGGAGAAGGCTATATATGTGGACGATGTGAGGCTGCGCGTGCGGGATTCACATATTTCCGCAAAAGGGCGGCTTTTCTGTCGATTGGACAGCGGCTGGGGCTGACTCGATTTATGCAGAATTGGTTGCCATTCTAATTACCCCTCTCCTGAGTTCCTCCATGCGTTGCCTCTTTCTTTAGATTGGGAATATCGCCATAACATGCTGTAGAATGCGCGACCGCGTTGGGTAACATATTTAGCTAGGTACATGTATGCAGGGGAGGATGCCACGTGGAAGGGCTGGAGTTACCGACTCTCCCAAGGCATATCCAGTTAAGAACATCGCATGATCTTCCACTCGGCTTGGCTTTGCAATCTCGGTGGTAATTCGCCAGCATCCCACACGATTCGCCCAGGCGCCTGGGTCAAGAACAGCGGGCAGACTTTGATGCCAAGTCCCCAAAATATGCCTACCATGTTAACCGAGTCATGGCTACCCATGATGGTGCCAATCGAGGCACTAGCACAATTCCAGGATGCTTCCCGACTCACTGCATAGTGCGGCTGAGGAAGGAGTCTAGACCCCCACGCTCTTTTCACACCGAGACGATCATGTGCTTATCAGATCCTGTTCTCGCGTCTCACAAGAGCTGCCTCAGTCAGCCATACATCCGTAGACACCTTGGATTCCCGGGATTTTCGCTCCGATAACTGGGATCCCAGCTCGATGGGAAGCCAACCCACCAATGTGTTCATTCCCGCCATATTCCCAGTCGCATTTTGTGTCTGTCTTGGTTGTGTGGAGCTCAACGGATCGGTCATGCAGCATAATCATATCGCTCCATCAGATAATCTTTTGATCCACGAATTCCCGATATTGCTGCCGACGATAGGGTACGCTAGGTGTGAGCTCTAATTAAGTGCGCGCACACTAAGTCACCGACACCGTTGAGCTTGAAGCCGGTAACCTAAAATAGGGTCCGGCTTTGCCAAGATTTGCCAAGGCGGGTTCAGTGCAGATGCCCAGCGCACAGCGGGTAGAAGCGGGGGGTGGAAAAAAGAAAGAGGTGGTGGGAAGGAAGCACGAATGGAAGCGAAGATTTGAGAGAAAATACCGCGGGAAAAAGCCAACTACCGGCCGAGACTAGGAGCTAGCACGAAAAGCAAGGGAAGGATGAAGAACCCAAAACCCTTGGGCCAAGTCCCGGCCCTTTAAATATCTAATAGCGTGCCGAAGGATTCGGCGAAATAACGCGATGGATCGTGGATCTGGAGCCAGGTCCCAGGTCCCAGGTCCCAGGTCGGCATTCTGGAACTACTGTGGTACGGCAATGCATATTGCCACACCTCCAGCAATCAAATTTATTGGTGGTTCGTTGTGATTTATGATTACCTGCAGTGCTGATACAAGACAGAAATCTCGTCGCTGGAACATGCCGGGTTGGTGCCGAAATCGCGCTATGCAGCTTGCCCCAACAAGGGAAAAGAAACATGCCATGGCGTGGGTGTGGTGCGCCAGCGCCTCCAAGCTCGACAAAAGCCGTAAGTCTTACGTTAAGAGAACTGGGAGCGGGCAGGGGTTAGATCAACGCTCCAAGCTCGGCTAGCCCGATTATGAGCCGATGACGCCAAAGGGAGCGGATCAGATAACGCGTTTCGCGGATCTGATAAAAATTTCAACCGGGACTATTTCCTCTTCGGGGTGTGGGCGTGGGGCACGAAACGGGTCCTGGTTGCTGGAGCGGGGCGTAATTGGTCGATGCAATAAACACCACCTGCAATTGCTGCAAAGACAGCCCTGAGAGGGGGAGAAGACCGGGATCCTGTGTCGCTCCTGCCAGATCCAGTATGGCAGCCCGGATCGACATATATTTGGGTATTTTGGCCTGTGATTTCCCGTTTTCTTTTGCTTCTTCATCCCTCGATGCCCCTCCATAGCTTCGGCAGCAACCTCCAGTCAAGTTGATCCCCGCCGCCCAGACTTGACTTCTCCCTCTTTTTCTTTCTCAGGCCTGTCACAAGCCAATTCCAGCACCATGGGGTTTTCTGATGACGAGAAAAAGTCCGGGCCCGTGGTGAACAATCCCGAGGCCCACGCCGACGAGTCGGACACGGACCAGATTTCCCTTGATGCCCAGGATGGTGTTAAGCAGATCGAGGCGACGACCAAGGTGTGGACAAAGACGGCCCTGATCGTGGCCTACGTGATGTGCGTCAACCCCTCCCATTCCCCCTTCCCCGCTCTGATTTCTGTGTCGCTAACCCGGCCGTCGATCGATTGCAGGATATGGGTCATCTACTTCGTTGATTCCACCCAGCAGGGCACTACCGGCACCCTCACGACATATGTCACGAGCAAATTCGACCATCACTCGCTGACACCAGCAGTGAACATCATGTCCAGCCTCATCGGCGGCATCTCCAAGCTTACCCTGGCCAAGATCTTGGACGTATGGGGCCGTCCGCAGGGCTATCTCGTCTCCATCATAATCTGCACCCTCGGTATCATCATGATGGCCGCATGCCGGAATGTCGAGACCTATGCCGCCGCGCAGGTGTTCTACTGGGTCGGGTGAGTAATTGTTTCCAATCTCGTGTCTTCTGGCTCAAATATCGCATTCCCGACTGGAATACCCATGGCTGACCCGGGCACTCCTGCACTGCAGATACAACGGCTTGGATTACACGCTCAGCATCTTCATTGCCGACACGTCCTCGCTCCGCAACCGGTCGCTCATGTTTGCCTACGCCTCGTCTCCCTATTTCATTACCACCTGGATCGCCGGCTATATCGCCCAGTCAGTCACGAGGCCGGGCGGGATCGGCCTCAACTGGGGCTTTGGCGTCTTCGCCATCGTCACACCCGCTGTCACGCTTCCGCTCTTCGCGCTCTTCTGGTACAATCTGCGCAAGGCCAAGAAGATGGGCTTCCTGCAGAAGGAGCCTAGCGGGCGCAGCGCCTTGGGGTCTGTCTGGCACTACGCCATTGAATTCGATGCCCTTGGCCTGCTCCTTTCGTCGGGCGGCCTGGCGCTCTTCCTGCTTCCCTTCAGCCTGTACTCGTACCAGGCTGACGGCTGGCGGTCTCCGCTCGTCATCTGCATGATTATCTTCGGCGGCCTGCTGCTCGTCGCCTTCGCCGCGTGGGAGAAGTACTTTGCGCCGGTCAAGATGCTGCCGTGGCAGCTGCTGACTGACCGGACTATAATGTCGGCGTGCGTCCTGGCAGGGACCATTTTCGCCAGCTTCTACATCTGGAACAGCTTCTTCTTCTCGTTCCTGCTGGTCGTCAACGGCCTGTCCACCGAGCACGCGACCTATGTGAGCAACATCTACAGCATGGGCTCGTGCCTGTGGGCCATCGTCACGGGCCTCTTCATCCGCTGGAACGGGCACTTCAAGTGGGTGGCCATCGGCTTCGGCATGCCCGTGACCATCCTGGGCGTCGCCCTGATGATCAACTTCCGGCAGCCGGGCGTCAACATCGGCTACATCATTATGTGCCAGATCTTCATCGCCGTCGCCGGCGGCACCCTCGTCATCTGCGAGCAGCTGGCCGTCATGGCCGCCGTCGGCCACCAGCACGTCGCCATCGTGCTCGCCGTGGAGGCCATGTTCTCCAGCATCGGCGGCGCCGTCGGCCAGACCATCGCCACTGCCATCTGGACGAGCGTCTTCCCCGAGAGGCTGGCCCGCTACCTGCCCGCCGAGTCGCAGGGTAACCTCACCGCAATCTACGGCGACATCGGGACCCAGCTCTCCTACCCCATCGGCGACCCCACCCGCTCCGCCATCATGCACGCCTACGGCGATACCCAGCGGTACATGCTCATCGCGTCCACCGTGACTCTGTTCATCGCCCTCGCGAGCGTCTTCTTCTGGAGGGACATCAACGTCAAGAACATGAAGCAGGTCAAGGGTAATGTGATCTAGACGCGGGAGGACCTGGAGCTGCCATTTCATTTACATGGCATTATCCCTTCCAGCCCCGCCGCAAGAAGCTTGTGTACTGCGTACTGTGGATTCTTGCCTACCTACCTAGTAACTAATGCGCGGCGTGGGCGGGGGGCCGTTTCATCCAGCAGCTTGCTTGCAAGTCGCGCTGACTATTTATTTTTCAAGATATCCCTCTATTTTTCCCTTCTTCAACTTGGTCAACCTCTACCTGTTTTTGTCTCGATTGCCCGCCGACTTTCGCTGCACAGTTTGTTGATAGAAAACATGATACCCAGGTCTCAGCTGCCATCGTCACCCGCATCATGTAGGGGATCAAAAATGTGAACCTGCCGGTAATATCTCCGTCATCGGCTCGAGGCCCCCCACGCAGTCATGGGTCCCTGGTAACTGATAACAGGGGGGGGAGCTTGTCACCGATTTTTTAGTCCAATGCGAGGCTTTGTGGGTCCTATGCCAAGATCTTCGGCGTCTCTCCATCCCAATTTCAGGAGGCATGAGCAAGTTAAATACCGTACCTCAGCGTACTTACCGCCGTAGGTTACTCGTACCTCAGTACCTACAAATACAAAGTCCGTGAAGACCCAATACAAATCCATGGATGGAGGTTCTTGCAGGGCCCACCACTGTCGCTCGGCCAGGGGAGGCATATATAAAGTAAAATAAAATAAAAACCCCTGGGGATTTCCAGCATCCAATGTCTTTATTATGGGAAGGAAGTTGGCGGCGACGAGAAGGAGGAGGAGGAGGAGGAGGAGCAGGAGCAGGAGGACTACTCCGAACTGATGAGTTCCCTCATCGAGGGCGTCGGGAACATGACCATCGCCATGAGCATGGACTCGGCGGGGCGATGGCGGATTGCGAGGGGCCAGCTGAAGGAATGCTTCACAAGAGATGCTATCGGAACCGCCGAAAAGCCAGAGGACTTCCAACGGGTCTTCGTTGGAAGTAGGCATCGTCAAGTACACCAAGACTTGGCTGGGTTTAGAGCCTTCTTGTTCACAGGGATCGTGTTTTCCTCATGTCACTGTGTGACCAATCAAGTCCAAATTTGTCGCACTTATTCGCAGATCCGTCGATCCATTCCAGGGAATAACACACCTCCCACTCGTCTATGGACTAGTGGCAAGTCGCATACCACACTCTGACATACCAGGAAGCTACCTGCATTCCTCACAGCCACCAATGCGATGTTTTCCAAAGACTGATTCGCTCGTCATGGCCAGTTACCTATATGGAGTTAATAGAAGCAACCTGAACCAAGAAATCACAGTCTGCCGCATCTCAGTGATAGGTCACGTTCTCTAGCTCTCTCCTTACGACAGAGAAAACCAGAATTCCAAGCCAGAAATCCCATTCCGAACCAGCAACAATCCACAACCCAAGTGAGGCAGCACATCATGCACGCCTATTCGGCGACGCCTCCGGCGTCAACAATGCACTGATCTCGGCTTGACCCCCGGAATACCCATGCTCTGCGGCCAGATCCGCCACAATCGACACAAGCGCCGAGCAGAGGAGCCAAGTGCTTTCCCCGCCGCCCGCCACGGCCTGTCTCAACCCCACGTTTCCAGCCGCCTGGAACTCGTGCCTGATCCGCGCAAAGTACGCCACGGCCCAGGTGCGAAACCACTTGTTCTCCAACAGCTTCGCTTGGTCTGCCAGGACGATGATCTCGAGAAAAGCGTTCACGCTATACTGCGGCTTTGTCAGCATCACAAATGCTTGGTCGGCTAGGCGTTGGACCCTGCATGTGCAGAGTGGTTGCATCAATCAGCATAAAAAGCTCTCCAATCTCCCCGCGTCATTGGGATGCCGGAAAGGGCGTGGGTTGGGGAGAAGAATTAATCAGTGACATACGCAGCCGACAGGGCAAGATTAAAGAGCCCTATGAGCAGGGCTGAGTAGCGCTCTACCGGCACGTCGAAATACACGGGCGCGTTGAAGTTCTCAAGGTGGCGCACCAGCGCGCGCATGACCTCGGGATCCACTGACGGGAAGCGCCAGTCGTCTCGGTCCATGCCGTCGGGCGCCGTGTCGGGGCTCCGGATCCAGCGCTGGAAGACGGGGGAGTTCTCGAGGACGACCTTGCGGATCGGCGTCACTACCTCGGAGCCATCTCGGAACGTTATGATGTTGATTGTCTGGCATATGTAGGCCATTGTCGCTGCCCCACGGTCGTACTGGTGCTTTGGGATCTTGAAACCCGGATAGCAATTAATTGGGAGGCGAGAGGGCGGGGTAAGGAGGAAGGAAAGGAAGGGCGTTCTGGCTGGGTCTTACAGCTGTGGCATTGTTTGGGAAGGATGCAGTGCGTGCAGGAACATCATGCAAGACACAACCAACAGCAACTTGGCAGCCAATCGCCACCTACGGCTAGGGAGATCTATTCTGTATCTAGGTAGGTAATGTGGATTAATAGCACTAGCTGATCGGTCAATCCGTGCATTATTCTTGCGGTTGGCCAGTCCTGGATGTGGTTTGGTTGACAGAATGCTCCAGCTCGAGGAGGTTCGATTGAGCATGGAAGAGAAAACCCCTCGGATCTTGGTGAAGAGCCGAACAAATTTTGCGTTGAAGACGTCTCGATTGGGCGACCAGTGCTTCCTTCCCGGTGTTGGCTATGACCTGCCACCCCACCCAATCAGAGGCTTCCTTCCTTCCAGGACCCACTTTGCCCCTTGATCTCGAAGTCAGCTCTTCTTGATAGTCCTTTCACCCTCCTTCCCCTCTTCTCAGCCAACAGCAAAATTACCGCATGCCAGCTCAGACATGCAACGGTGCGCGTGTATCGGCGTTTCATTACTGAAACAATCTCGTGGACATGAGGTGAATAGCCCCTCCCTCCCAAGGACCTCCAGCTGTAAAATCTAACCATAACTGTAACAGATAATTTGTGCCTCCCGTTTTGAATTTTTCAGCTGTGGTAAACGAGTGGAGCCTCCGAAGCGTCCAAGATCTGGAATGATTTACAAGTGCCCCAGGCGGTTTTCAACACGGATTGGCTTTAATCGCAGACGGACTATGGGACCCTCCGATGGCACAGCCTCAGTTCCGCGGTCAACCACGGAACATGATTCTCTCATATCGAGCGCGAGCACATATGAGTACGAGCCTCTTACCGCCGGCGATTCCATCCGTTTGCTGTCGTTAAAGCCTGGAAAGGATCAAGAGCGGCTGCAAATATCCTTTGCCGAACATCGAATTCCGAGTGAAAACGAGGCAGCAGTGTCCGCAGTGAACTACCAAGCCATCAGCTATACCTGGCACCCAGAATCCGGAGGAGAAGAGTACGACACGGTGTCTTGTGATGGCAAAGAAATTCGGGTTACTAAGAACTTGGCCGACTTGCTTTATCGTATCCGCACCAACTGCGACAAAGAGCTCTGGATTGACCAGCTTTGCATCAATCAGGGAGACGCGAGGGAGAAGGAACAGCAGATACCGTTGATGCGGCAGGTGTATCAACAAGGCCAACAAGTTGTCCTATGGCTAGGCGAGGAAAATCAGGGTACTCGCAAGGCGTTTGATATGATCAGGATCCTTCATGGCCTTTTTTGCAGCATGCGAGACCGTGGAGAGCCATATCCCTCACCAGCACACCTCCACTCGGACGACCACCAGAGCCGATACGGGTTACCCGGTGTGACTTCCAGCGAATGGTGGCCTTTCATGGAACTGCTTGGGCGCAATGTCTTTCAGCGCCTGTGGATAGTTCAAGAGATCGTCCTCGGACCCAGAGTAGAGGTCAGGTGTGGCAGTCATACCATCACCTTCGAGGAACTTGGCAATGCTGCCGTCTTCTTGTACCATACTGGATGGATCACCCATCTGCAAGAGGCTTATATCCGTTCACACGCCGAGAGGTACGTTAAACCTCTTTTAGTCGATATGGTCGACATCGTCGAAGACATCGGACGCGTCGATTTCATCGCCAGCCTCTACAACAGAAGACTGCATTTCCAGGCGGGAGAAACCGAAAGTCTCGAGCAGCTGTTAGGTTCCCTGAGGCGATGCAAGACATCCAGATATTTCCTGCACGACAAAATCTATGCGCTGCTGGGATTGGTGGCGGCCTCGAGTCTTGGCCGGATACCGGCAGCTTTGCTGCCGTCTTATGGGAAACCATACACCGAAGTGTTCCGCGATGCGACGCGGTACCTGCTTGAGAAAGGATCACTAGGCATCCTGTCACATGTCGAGGATATGTCCCTCCGCGAAGAGTCTTTTACTCTGCCGTCTTGGGTCCCAAATTTCGACGTTTTTCAAAGGTCGACAATCCTTGGCCTGCAAAATAACGCAACTGCGATGGGATACATTGCAGGTGGTCAAGAAGAAGTGATGTGCCATTTCGATGATCCCGACGTTCTAGAACTCGATGCTTACAAGGTTGACGACGTCTTACTTACGGGGCCGGCTTACGAAACGCAGTCCCAAGAGCAGTTTCTCGAAGAAAGCGCAAGGCTTGTGGATCTGTTCCAACCATATCCCACCGGTGAGGCTATGGTCGACGCCTTCTGGAAGACCCTAATTGCGAACAGCGATACGGTTTCAGCTGATCCTGTGCCGGACGAATGGCGGCGGCACTTCGCTGGCTTTTGTATGCAGTCCGCCGTCGAGATAAGACTGCAAAACGAAATGGACAGACTCAGAGCTGAGGGTGCCTTATCTGGGGACATCGATGTCTCGGCCATCCTCTCCGAACGACTTCTTACAATCGAAGGCGACCATAAGAACTGTGTTCTCCTGATTCGAACTGAGAAGCACACCATACCCATAGCGCCGTTCACCATGCAGCCATGGGCGCCAGGACTATACAACGTCTTCACCCTTGGCATGTTATCGACAGGCAGCGTCCTTCCTCAGTATTTGGCCGAAAACAATTCCTCGCTTTATCGCAAGGCCATGCAGGAGATGTGCTATTTTAGACGGGTCTTCACCACAGCCAGCAAAGGCTACATTGGTATTGGGCCGCCGAGTTTGGAGCGAGAGGACGGTGTGTTTGTGTTACGGGGCGGCCGAGTACCGTTTATTCTAAGGAAGATCAGGGGAAATGAGTTTAGGGTTGTCGGCGAGTGCTATGTCCATGGCGTCATGTACGGAGAGATGTTCGAGGCACGCGGCTTGGAGTGGACCAGGATCCGTATCGGTCACGGGACAGCCCGTCGGACCGTTACCTGAGCTTGCTGAGAACAAGTGACGCAAACCGCTTGTGGCAACAGGAAAGGTCGATCCACCTCCCGAGTGCGGCATGTTGAGGTCAAATTACCTCCTTCAAGCTATATGAGTAGGAAATATAACGCAGCGCTCTTGGGGAAGCTGAAGATATTCACCTGGATATAACGGAGAAGATTCCCACGCTATTTTCCATCTCAAGATAGTTGAATCAGAGGCGGCGGTTGGCTCCCCGTATCGATATCTGCTGCTGAACGTGACACGGCAATTCTTTGGTATTAAAAAATTCACCATGATAGTCCCAGATCCAGGGCTTCTCATCAGCACTTAGAGCTACGCCATCCGCTGAGATACATGCACTGAACTTACTGCACACCTACCTACCTACATACGGTGAATTTCAAGAAGTACATAACCCCCGACAAAAAGTACTAGTTCCAGAAATGGTGGGTCTAGGTTCCCATTTTCGGAAGGCCAAACATCGACCCAGCCCTTCGTTTGTCCCCCTTGCATTTCTCCCGCGGTGTTCCTCGACCAATCTCTGCTCCTTCAATCATCACAGCTGTCTGGCCTCAAATGTCCTGGGCCTGGATGCTGAATAACCCTGTTCGGACGTGGGTTGATGTTGATACTGGGGTTAGGATGAGATCGACGGATCTGCTGTCGGCGCTCCCCCAAGCAGCCAAGAAAAGTCGTTGAGTATCGCGGGACTCTTTGCGTTGTTGCTCTTCTTCACGTCATAATAGTAGTCGCCTGCTCTCCAGCATGCCTGCTCAATCTCCTGTACATCTGCAAGACCGTCAGTTGGGATCAAGGATTCTTGATCCCGCAAGGGATGATCTTCATACACACCAACTCCGGGTGGAAGGTATACGATTCCCGCCCGTTCCAGGTATCTGAGATATTCCGTGGCCCAAACGCGGCATTTCCACCGCTTTTCCATGCTTAGGTAGGGCTGATTTGCTCATCAAGGGAACGGTTCAGACACTTGTGCACAACTTCGGGGGAAGCCACCCCGCCCACTCTGAGACACCCCATATTCGGGAAACTTGTTAGACCTTGCAGACCTTGCATATCTTGCACCTCCACGTGTTCATATACCATATCTCCAGACGGTTTGCCAACGTCAGTAGCATGGTATTTGAAACCTTTAGGTGGCGCACTACCCTTCTCGTAGAGTGCCCAATGCTGGAAACTATCAGTACCTTCGCAGCCATGGATTTACAATCAACTGACATAATATTTGTTCCGGCCCTTCAGTCTTAAGGTAGGTAAGGGCATTGTAGAGTGTCTGCGCCTCAGGGCTCGACATTTTTGGCGATGGCGTCGCGGACTGAGCCGGGAAACAAACGGCGATGTGACGGAAGGGAGGACGAGGAGGGGTTAGTATTTGGAAATCTCTCGAACTCAGCCACATTCATTGACTTTGCAGCCGCGAGCAGCAGATGTCCGCCCGCCATGCCGTGGGGCCACCTGTTCTCTTCTCCGCATCAGTCTTAATGTCTTATGTACGTAGGTCTAGAATCATGGTCGGCTGCTCTTTCCCCTGGCTAACTGACTGAGGCTTAGCCCCACGTGGGTATCAGCGTCATCTTTGCACTTTGGCTGGATCAACGTGGCACATTGAGACATCTAACGGCCCGATTGGTCACACTCGGTTACCAATTATACGTAACTCCAGATGCCAGAGGAGAGCTACCTACTACCCAATATGTCGGCCCGATATCCAAATTAGTCGGCAATTGGCGGCGAAGAATAGAGCTAGAACATGCGAGCGAATATCTGTCTCAGCAAACCCCTCGCACCCGGAAACCGTTAGACCAGGGCATCGCCAATGGGAATGTGTAGGGTGAGGTATGGCTAGTGAGACTATCCAAAACAGCCATTGTGCTGTGCTGTGCGACAGCCCTATAGAAATATTCCCACCTGGAGGAACTAAGACTCCACGGACGTTACCCCCACCCCCACAAACCATCTCCTATGACTGTACACGGTTGAATCATAGCTTTGTGCCAGTGGATAGTATCGCAATGGTTCATTGAGGGGCCAAGTGGTCCAACTGCAAGTTAGGTTGATCGTAACAGGGCATTGTGTCTTGGAGTATGACAAATATATTGCCACGTTTGGCACCTGGTATGGATCTACTTGACCTTGTACGGATATGTCCACATTGATACTAGGTACTTAGGTAGCTATTAGCAGCTTTATGCTGGTAATTCTCCTCTACCTGCTATCCTTGTCTTAGGCTGGTGAGACAAACACAAGGCGGGTTAAGGTTCTTCAGCAGAGGGGTTGGCCCGATCGTCATGGCATTCCCAAGAGCAGCTCACTGAAGTGGATCTTTAAGACTGGCCTGAGACCTTTACTGATATACATACCTCTCGGTTTACATCTGTTGGTTACGTTAGCATATGACTCTGGTGGCATCTTCGACTGGAAGATTCGCGCGGAAACAGATGCGAGAATCAATTTGCAGTGAGCTCGAATGTATATATAAGCCAGTGAGGCCGGCCGTTGTGCCCCATCAGTTCCCACCCACAAACATTTTACTTCAGAGATTCCATCTCAGATACTTTCTCAAATATTCAACACCGACAGGCTTGCCAATACGTCCCGATACTACCTACAACATGCGTTCATTCAACGTCCCAATTCTTCTGGCCATCGCCGCGTTCGCAACGGCTCAGGATGTTATTGTAATTATCTTCCATCAAGCCTGCTTGGATATTTGTCACGACAGGTTGACCAACATTAATTACCTAGGGCATCTTCAATCGGGACAATCAATGTCACCATCACTCCGATCATCCTATCCATGATAGACTATGCGTTGATACTGGCACGGCAGAGTATGAACCTGCTTTTCGGCTCATTCTACCAGCACTGGTGCCTTTACTAACCTGGGCAATATTAGAGCTATTTCTCTGCTTGCCAACGGTGTTTGCCTTGTGTACAGGTATGTTTCCTCACAGCTTCAAATGACCGTATCCATTAGCTGAATGTCAATCCATAGCGACCCGCACTGCACGGACCGCGGACGGCCGAGACACGCAGCGATGGGATGCCATGTTTTGGAGCACTGGGGAAATCCCGCATCTATCAGATGTTATATCCCCTAGAGTGGATGTTCATATCCGCAACTCGGGGAATACATCCTCACTGGACATTCAATTCCAGGCGTGTGAGGGGCTGCCAGGTAACCACTTTAATAAGGACAAGATAGCGTTCAATGCCAGGTCAATCAGCTCTACTGGTGCAGTTTGCCATCGGTTGGCCCAAGAGGGTGCTCGGAGTGCCAGGAATGCCTCCCTCGACCGGATGCCTCGACATGTGTGTGGTGCAATTGAGTAAACGTGTTCTTCGTTTTGGGTTTGGGTTCCATTCTCGATTTTACTCGTAGATGGCTTCGGTTACGCAGACCCCGTCCGTGCCTAGCAGTTATCGGCGAGCTCCTTCAGGGGTGTCTGTCTGCCGCGATGCGCTTCACCCTTTCCTCGCCGTACTCCTCAGGTCAGAGCCACGGGCTAGTCTGGGCGTCCCAATGGCATCGCAGGATATATCTAACAAATCCGCGTGTCACGGTGCCTCCGCCACTTTGCCGGAAGGATATTCCATCGGAAATGAGACATCGGAAATAGGAAATCCGCGCGGGAGCAGGTCTTTCTCCAAACCCCCCCGCTCACCTGTGGGGACCCAGGAGGAGTAAGCAATTGCCATGACTCATGGGGTTGGGCTCTAAAACGGCGTCCCAAGGTACCTGCCAACCTTCTAGTCGGGTCTGGGGCCCCGGAAAACTTCCCCGCGTTGGTTCAGGAGGGAGAGTCTTTAAATGCTTCCGTTTAGAAAGTTCGCTCTTTGGTTACTTGAATTTCTGCGTCTCGTACCGACGTAGGTATTTGCTTACCCTCCTCCCAGCCATGTTTCAGTCAGCAAGAGGGAGAGTTTTACGCGCCGCCATCTCGATCAGTGCGGGTAGTTGTTACCTACTATTCGGATATGATCAGGGTGTCCTTGGCGGTTTAGTCACTCATCCAAGCTTCCTCGAGGCTTTAGGGAACCCCAGCCCAAGCTATCTTGGGACCATCGTTGCCCTGTACCACATTGGCTGCCTGGCAGGATGCATTGTCGCTGGTCTGGCTGGCAACAGATTGGGTAGGAAGAGGACCATCTTCTGGGGTTGCATTATCATGGTGGTTGGCGGCGCCATCCAGGCAAGCTGCTATGGGTCTGCCCAAATGATTGCCGGTAGGATCATCTCGGGCATAGGCAATGGTGAGCTTCCTCGCTACTTCCCCTTTCAAGGGCGACAACCTAGCTGATCACTTAATAACTACGTGTTTAGGCATGAATACCTCTACCATCCCGGTTTATGTTTCAGAGTGCTCCAGACCTAGCTCCAGAGGACGTGCGGTTTCGAGGCAAATGTCCATTGTCATCGTTAGTGAATGGCCAAATTCGCATTATTCTATTGATGTGATCTAACCTGTCACCAGTTCGGAACTGTTGTCGCGTACTGGCTGGACTATGGCACGGTCAGGAATCTCACGGGAGACGTAAGCGCCACCACACTCGATACTCTCTGTCGTTTTCAGCCAATCTCATGGTTCAATAGGTTGTATGGCGCTTCCCAATCGCCTTCCAAAACTTCTTTGCTTTGGTTACAATTTTCACCATCCCGTTCCTACCAGACACTCCGAGGTATAATAGGCCTCCTCTCTCCATGAGCGTTGGCGATGGAGCAGCGAATGGCTAATGAAGACACATGCAGGTGGCTCTACTCGCATGGTCGGAAGGCTGAGGCCATTTCTGTTCTTGCGAGACTCCTCGATTGTTCAGAAGATGATCCAGAAGTCAAGCGTACCGAGCGCGAAATGGAGGATGTTATTAGATTCGAGGAAGAGTCTACCAAGCTCTCTATCAAGGATCTAATCAACGACAAGACCGAAGCCAAGAACACTAGACGACTCGTTCTGTGCTTCCTCATCCAATTCTTCCAACAATTCACTGGGATCAACGTTATTGCATTTTACGGTAAGGCCAGCCTGAGTTTGGTTAATTCTTATTAATTACCATTGCCAAGGCTAATCATACGCCTCTGCCAATTAGTTACCATTGTTCTCGAGACAAACGTTGGACTATCCAAGGATCTCAGCCTTCTTGTTGCCGGCTTCATTCAGATTGCCTTCTGGCTAGGTACTTTCCCGCCGATGGTCCTGCTGGATAAAGCTGGCAGGCGGCCTATGCTGATGCTTGGCTCGACTGCCCTATCGATCACCATGGTGATTTTCACTGCTGGTATTGCTGTCAATACGACAGCCTCCTCGAAACTGGCCCTCGCAATGCTGTTTCTCTACGAGATATCCTTCGGCATGTCCTGGAACAGCATTCCTTGGCTATACGCTCCAGAGATCACGCCGCTGCACCTGAGACACATTGGGTCGGCGGTTGGAGTTTTCTCAGAGTGGATTTGGACCTTTGTAAGTTGACAACTTGTGTCAATATGATTGACATTGAGTCACGGACTGACATCTGCCCGCTAGGTTATCGCCCAAATGACGCCCCCAGCCATTGCAAATACCGGATGGAAGATCTACCTCCTCTTTTGCATCATGCTTGTCCTCGGCATCCCATTTACTTATTTCTTCCTTCCAGAGGTTAGTTCTCTATTCTACATAGGTAGTCGCGGACGGCTGACTCATTTTATGTACAGACAAGCGGGAAAACACTTGAAGAGATTGACTTCATTTTCGTCAAACATCCACGGCATACAATGGTAGATACTTCAGTCCCTGCATCCGGCACGGATTCCTTTTCTTCTCCAGAGAAGATCAACGACGCGCCTGAGCGCTGCGACCATACCAGCCTAGCGTAGCCCTACGTGTAAACGTTCTCCTACCTGTACTAGAGTATACTTAGACACCGTCTGTGAACAAATCAGACTTGGACGAAATACACTGATAGAATGGGCTCTGCTGATGGGACTTACATAAATAGACTGGAGTCCTTGGACATGTCAGAAGCAGGATAAAAAGCGTGTCGCCTCGAGGATCTACCTTGATGGGTGAGCTGGTAGAAATCTGTATGGTAGTAGACTCGATATGCGTAGCTGAGTGGTGATCAATTCAAGCATCGGCGTCTAATTCCCCACGAGAAGGCTGCCGGGACATATCTCGAATGGATAGGGACTGGCCATCTAATTAGGTAAGTGAAATCTTGCTGACGCGAAATCCCGTGTGTTTTTATTACATATCTCCAAGCGTTATATTCTTCATCACCTGGAACTCGGCGAGACCATACTTACTTCCCTCCCGCCCCAATCCCGATTCCTTGATACCACCAAACGGGGCCTCAGCAGCACTTATCTTGCCTGTATTCACGCCGACCATGCCCACCTCGAGCTGGGCAGCCACATGCCATATGGTCTTTAGGTTATTTGAGAAAAAATACCCAGCGAGCCCAAACTCCGTATCGTTGGCCATTTTGATGCACTCCTCAATGGTGTCAAACGTGAACACCGGTGCCAGCGGCCCGAACGTCTCCTCCCGAGCCACAGCCATTGCCGGGGTCACGCCCGTCAACAGGGCCGGCTCGATGAAATATCCGCCGAGGTCGTCCCTGATGCTGCCACCGCAGACAAGCTTTGCTCCCTTGGCGACGGCATCGTCAATGTGGCTCTTGACCTTGGCCACCGATGCGCCATTGATGAGCGGTCCGTGTGTGACGCTGGGATCGAGGCCGGAGCCGACCTTGAACTCCCCCATGCGCTCCGACAGGGCCCGGACGAACGCGTCGTGGATGCCTCGCTGCACAAACAATCGGTTCGCGCAGACGCAGGTCTGTCCGGAACAGCGGAACTTGCACGCCAAAACACCGTCGACGGCCTTGTCCAGGTCGGCGTCGTCAAACACAATGTACGGGGCATTCCCGCCCAGCTCCATCGATACCTTCTTCATCGTGCCGGCGGCCTTCTCGGCGATCATCTTTCCAACCCCGGTCGAGCCCGTGAAGCTGACCTTCTTGATGGCGGGGTTGGTGTAGAGCTCGGTGACAGCTGTCCTGTCACGAGTTGGGACGACCTGGATCACATTGGGCGGGAAGCCGGCTTGCTGGGCGAGTTCCGTGAGAGCCAGGGTGCACAGCGGCGTCTCGCTCGGCGGCTTGATGACGACCGTGCAGCCTGCAGCCAGGGCCGGTCCCAACTTCCTGGTGATCATGGCGATGGGGAAATTCCACGGGGCGATGATTGCGCAGACTCCGACGGGCTGGCGGACGATGAAGTTTGTGGTTCCGGGATGCTGCGATGGGACGATGTCTCCGTAGTTGCGGACGGCTTCCTCGGCAAACCAGGTAATGAAGCTTGCGCCGTACTCGACCTCGCCTTCAGCCTCGGCCAGCGTCTTGCCGTTCTCCATGGTCAGAATCACGGCTAGATCCTTGGCATTGGCCCTGATGAGCGCGGCGTATCTGTGTAGCAGTCGAGACCGGCCATGCTCCGTGGTGCTCCGGAACTCTTCAAACGCCGTTTGGGCATGGTCAATGGCCTGCTTGAAGGAATCCAAACCTAGATCGGCGATGTTGGCAATCACGCCTTTGGTAGCCGGGTTGTACACGGGGAATGTCTTCGAGCTGGAGACCCAATTGCCTCCGATAAAGGCTGATTCGTGCAAGAGTGATGGATTGGATATGGCATGCTGGACTGCGCGAGGATGGTAGTTGGCCATTATTACTTCGCCAATGGTGATCAGAAAATGTGTTGCTTGCTGATTACAGCTATCTTGAAAGACGGGGCCAGCAAATGGCGCGGCTTGTTCCGGGAATGAAATGCGTTGCGTACGCCTGTTGGCTTAATATTACAGAACTAATTAAATACAACGGGAGGTTTTGTGTGAATCGCCCAAGAAACCCATTTCGCAAAGTTCCGCGCGGGATTACAATCCCGGCACCTCGCCAAGGTAATCGTAGGGTCGGTGCCGTTACTTTCGATATCGTTCACTGATTAATTATCTTGTATTTTTGTTGCACTGCTCCTTACATTTATTAGGCACGGAGCTTAGCACCTGTCCATCCCCCTCACGCCTCCTTTCACTTGTCTTATATTTTTGCTGGGGCTGTAGCTGCAATACTTCCCCTCGGGACATCTTCTGGAAAACATGATTGACGTTGCCCAGCTTAAACGGCGGACTAGGTGCGATTATGGCTTTACCTTGCAGTACAGAACAAGATGGTATTATTACCCTGCACCGCAACACGTTCTCGCAGACAGAAAGATAACCTCAGAGGTGTTGATAGGAACGACAATGATATGTATGGACATGTCAACAACTCGGTTTACAACTTCATGTAAGTGGCGTCTATGCTGAAAAAAATGAAAAAAAAAAACAAAAAAAAAACAGGCATGTGTGACGCTGTCTTCTAATTAAAACTATGCGTCAGGATTGACTCTATTGTCAACGCCTATCTGATCGAGTTTGCAAACCTCCAACCAGGTGCAGGTGCGTCATCACAGCGTGGACTCGTTGTGCAGTCACACACCGACTACTTCGGACCCATCTCCTACCCAGCCGTCGTCGAGCTGGGTCTCGGAGTCAGCTCTATCGGCAAGTCCAGCGTAACGTATGAGGTGGGCGTATTTGAGAAAGGCGTGGCCGAGGTCAAGGCGGTCGGAGCGATGGTCCACGTGTTTGTCGAAAGTAAGGGAGGAAAGCCAGCTGCCGAAGGCATGCAGAGGTCTATTCGAGATGCCTTGGGTCGAATCTTGGTGGGAAGTCCGGGTGGAAAATTATAATTCGTGACCAGGCGGCTTCCTTGGCTTGGCAGGATAAGAATGTGCCTCGGCCGGCGTGGGCTGGGCCGGGCGGGATTGGCATTTCCGATTGCCCCTAGTTCCACCTTACGTCCGCTCCGAGAGCATGGTGTAATGAGTTAGTAGCACTCCGAAGTTTCAAATCCACTACTCATTCGACCTCATCCAGTCTCCATTGAAATCTTCAAAAACGGCTGACCACTTCGAAACACCGAACTCCCTTCTACCTGTATAAGTCCTTGCCAAGTAAAAGATAAAGGATATCGGAGCAAGATGGAGCCATTTAAAGCCACGCGATATCCAAAGACGCCGACGGGTAGACGGAGAGCGTTAAGGGCTTGCCTCCGGTGCCGCGGACGCAAAGTCCGATGCGATGTCATGCGCTCGGCGCCTCCCTGCACAAATTGCCGTCTTGACAACCACGCCTGCATAGTTACTTCTCGGGTCAATAGAGCAGAGTAAGGGGACTGGAACATGGGGTCAAAGAGGTGGGAAATAGAAAATCTGCTGACAAGTTGACAGTCGCAGGAGTCACAGAGAACTGCCAGGGACGACAGACTCATCTGAGGGACCGTGTATGGCGGTCGGCAGCGAAGTTCCGAGTTTGATTCCGACTGAAAAGCTGAGCCCAAAATGCTTGGACACATCTTGTGATAACGATAACTGGTGTACTCTTGAGATCGAGGGGGGAATCACGGGTGAGCTTGGCAACCCTATGAGAAATCATATAGGGGCGCTTGAAGAGGACGTTCGCGGCCCCGCGTCTGAAGTGGGACAAGGATGGAATGAAGCGCCTGATGCTATGATGACCGCGCTGAGTGATCTCTTTAGGGACGAGCCGACTCTAGAGAACCAAGATTTGGGACCAGCACGTCTCAAGGCTCAGCTTCTCTCCACCTCAGGTCCTTGCACCTCGGCTTCTTTTTGGGGCCGCTGGAGACCTCTCAGTGTCCGGACTTGCGATATCTGTCACCTCGAATTACAAGGATGTCTTCGACTGCCCACCAAGCCGATCGTCGATGAGTTCCTAAGACGCTATTTCTTGCATGTACACCCGATGCTTCCCCTCCTCAACGAAGGGGACTTTTGGGACATGTACTGTGGAGAGGCCGGCGGAGAGAACAAGCATTTCTCTCTGCTGTTGTTCCAATCAATCCTGTTCGCCTCATGCAGCGTAAGCTCCCGAGCTTGCCTCCCCAAAGTTTTGACAGACCCTTGACTAATAATCAATCAAGTTTGTGTCTCTGGAAATCGTGAACGACTTGGGCTTCCAAAGCATATGGGCAGCAAAAACTTGCTTCTACGCGAGGGCCAAGGTAACCTAACCCACCTTGCAGAGCAGGAAGCTCGCTCGTTCTTTCCCCCGTAGCTAACACGATATTGGCATCCCCAGCTCCTGTACGACCTGGCAACCGAGACGGATCCGATCCCAATCGCACAAGCCGCGCTTCTGCTGACATACTGGTGTCCCCCTCCTAGTCCGGGCCCGGAGCAACCAAACAGCGCCTGGCTTGGTGTAGCCATCCGCTACGCCAAGACCGTGGAAGCAGACAAATACGCAAGCACCGGCCAAGATTCGGATCTGAATCATGCAAAGAGGCAAAATGTCCTCAAACGTCTTTGGTGGTGTTGCATTATCCGCGACCGTATCATGCCCCTCTGTGTCCGGAGGGGCATTCAAATCACAGGGCACCACTTCGCCTTTGGAATTAATGCGCCCCTTGGATGCAAAGACCTATCAGATGAGATTCAACGCTCAAGAGTGTACAGTGCCGACGCGAAACGATCCATCGCCAAGATTATGGCGGTGATGACGGAGCTGTGCGTTTTCCTCACAGATGTATTGACGTTGGTGTACCAAACCGATCCCACTCCAGTCCATGGCGGCGCAGAGTTTATGGGCCACGACCCGGTAGAAAAGATCCAGCAGTGCAGGGAGACCCTACGACGCTGGCGTGACAGGGCAAATTCAGTGATGCGACCGGCCATTGCAGACGCCCATTACACCCCTGATACCACCTGTCACAGCCACATGATTACCCTCTACTCCAGTTTGATCTGGATGTACTACCAGTAATGATAAATTCCATCTTTCTTCACCAATTCCAATGGTTAACAGGCAACCTTCAACTGACATTTCCTCCCGCAGCTCAGCCAGGTTGGCGCTTTGCAATTATGAACTCCAGCTCCGTCTTCCCGCAGCATCCGCTGAGCTAAGCTTCGGATGCCAACAGCTGGCTTACCGGGACGATTCACACGACGGTGGGACCGAGCTGTGGGAAGCCGCGACAAGTATAACCGACTGCCTGAAACATCTCCTCCAGTTTCGTCTGGTGCGTTGGTTGCCCAGCAGTGCAGTTGGGTGCACCGCGCTGCCCTTGGCGCTGCATATGCTGGATATCAACATGTCGACTTGTGCCGGTCCTCGAGCACCCGAGAAGCAGGACAGGCTCAATACCCTGATCCAAGCTATGAAAGAGTACCGTCCGCAGTATGAGGCTGTTGACTGGGTGTGCAGGACAATCAGGTATGTTTGGGATGGAACCTGCCTTGACGAGCCGATGCGATCGTGGCAGGATCCGACTCAATCAGCCAGTGTCCTGTCCCTGGGAGAGCATCGTGACGATGACTGGACCGACATCCTTAGACGAAGTCCGACCCGCTATCTTAAAATGGCATTGGCTATCGACCTGAGCCTAAGCCTAGGCCGATTACCAGAAGAGACAGACATCCCGGTCAAGCTCAGGTGGTTACTACTCCGAGAGACGGGGAATGTTAGGCCCGTCTCATTCCGGCTGAGCCACGGACAAGGGGTTGGCCACACGGATATTGATATTGCCGAGGAAGAAGAATGGGAGTCAATCTCTGAGCCGGGCTATTTGTGCCGACAACTTGCCGCCGCACAAGACCTCCAGACCATGGCTGGGTGGATTCGAAATGATAGGTCACTGCATCTGGCGCAGGAACTGGGTTTGGGAATGAGCGAGTTGGATACTAGGGGGTTGGCTTGACACATGCCGGTGACAAGGGCATGGTTAGATGCTTGGTTTGGTTGGGTTCTCTCCATCGGAAATCCATGATCTATTCCCGTCGTAGCCCGTAGCAATTCGGAAATAGTCCGACGCTTTTGATACGCAGACATGCTAGATGACCATGACTCATGGCATGGGGAGTAATAATGGTTCCTGCCTAGACCCCCCAAATCCCCATCCACGCACCCCACTTTGTACTCTGCAGCTCACCGCTAGCTAGGACTTCGGCCGAAATGATCTTGTGTACTAGCAAATTAGTCCAGTATCTACCCCCTCAGTAGGATGGCCTGCAGAAAGGCTCGGGAAGGGAGAATATCAAGACGTCAACGAGAAGTAATTAGTCCAAGCGATCAACCAAGTTCAGTTTCTCCCCACTATCGTCTCTTGGTACAATGTTCCCTCCCCAGGACATCCCTCCAGTTGCGGCCCAAACCTTGGACATTCCTGGTCAAGGGCCGATCTGCTTGCTCTCCGCCATTGACACGACATGTAACCTCACAGTCCCTGCCGAGACGCTAGTCGAACCAGTGATAGCAGGCCACGAGCTGATGAATTTCCCAACGGTGGCGTTTCTGATAACTCATTCGGTGTCGGGAAAGCAGCTGCTCTTCGACCTGGGCTGTCGCAAGGATTTCTGGAACCTGCCTGCCCCGATATGCGAGACGATCGACGCAAAAGTCCCCGGAATCAAAGTCGACAAGAACGTTGCCGATATCCTAGTCGAGGGCGGAGTCGACCTTGCCAACCTGGAGGCGGCGATTGTGAGCCATCATCACTATGACCACATCGGAGACCCAAGCACGTTTCCACGCACCATGGACCTGCTGGTTGGTCCCGGGGTTTCCAAGCACTTCCTTCCCGGCTATCCCACGGTTGAGGCGTCCCCTGTATTTGAGGATGCCTTGCAGGGCCGCAATGTCCGCGAGATCGCATTCCCCGACGACCTTTTTATCGCCGGGTTTCGAGCCTGTGACTATTTCGCCGACGGTAGTCTGTACATTCTAGATTCACCCGGCCATGCACTCGGCCACCTCTCAGCCCTTGTCCGGACGACCCAGGATACATTCGCCTTCCTCGGAGGAGACATATGCCATTTTGGGGGAGCCTTCAGACCGACGAAATACGTCCCTATGCCAGCGTCCTTCAAGTCAGACGAAATCGGCCACCAGGAGGGCCAGAAATCATCGTCAGGGCAGTGTTATCCGTGCTCGCTCTTCACTACTTGCCACCCTGACCCCGAAAACGCCAGGACCGCCCCTTACTACAAACCCTGCGCCAGCGCCGACTCGTGGTATGTCGATCCCCCACTGGCACGTCAAAGTATCGGACATTTGGCCGCCTTGGATGCAAATGATCGAGTCCTGGTCATGATTGCCCACGACCCCTCTCTAACGAGCACAATTCCGTTCTTCCCAAATGGTGGGCTGAATGACTGGCACGAGGCTGGCTGGAAGCAAAGGGCGCGGTGGAAGTTTTTAGATGAACTTCCGGTTAATGGGAAGCCCAGAAAATACCTTGTTGACGGAACATATATGGACGGCAAACTCGTCAAGACGCTGGATGGAGTGAAGGTGGATTAAGGCTGCCTAGCAGCTAATTAGATATTAATTAAGGGAGCAACCTCTCTCTCCTGTTGTGACACAACTTGACCACAATTCTCCATTTCTCTGGCAATGCCATGGTCACCTCAGGTGCAATCGCTTTTGTAGGCATCATGTTTCGCCTAATAGTGGTCCTGTAATGTTCTGTTCTGACTATTTACCTCACGTTTCGAGCTTTGCCGCGTGGCCAGTTACCCCTATTCCGCCGCGTCGAAGATGACCTTGTGAACCTTCATGTTGTCAAAAATCTCATAACCTTCGACAGCCTGGCTGAGGGGCATGATGGTTTCGGTCATGAAGCTGCAACCTTGATCAGCGAGAGTTGCTGCCGTCCATCCTCATTCCTTTTGATGGGGAGGGGTGAGCATCTATCTACCGGATACCAACTCACCTTAATAAGTGCTGCTTCTTTTCAAGGAGTTCGAGTGCCTGCGGAAAGATACCTGTGTGTGGGAGAGAATCTGATTAGACGAGTCTCGACTCATGATAGTAGCATTACGACACGTACTTCTCACGGGACACCTCCCCATCTTGATCGTCAGGTTCTTCCCGTAGGCTTGGTTTCCCGTCCAGGGGATTTCGCCATTGTGGACGCCAACGCTGGAGATAATGCCCCATGACCGGAGTAGCTCAAATCCCATGTCAAGGGCTGGGCTGAGGCCCACAACCTCGATAACAACGTCGGCTCCACGGCCGGCGGTCAGTTCCTTGACACGCTCCGAGAGACCCTGCCGATCGGTTTGGTAGTTCCACGGCTCGGCACCAAGATCCCTTGCCGTATCCAGCCGGGCCTGGATCCCATCAACAGCCAACAGCGCCCTTGGCCGATACTCAAGGGCTGCGATCAAGGCGCAAAGCCCCACGGGCCCGCAGCCGATCAGAACAACAACGCTGTCGCTGACAACGTCGGGATCCAGCGTCCCGAGCCCGGCGCTTGCGGCGAAGAATCCCGTCGGGAAGATATCCGCCATGAGACAGAGCTTCATATCCTCGATGCCGCTCGGGGCTTTGACCACAGTCGTCTCCGCCAGCGGCACCCTGACGTACTCTGCCTGGGAGCCATCCAATGCCGGTGTTCCGAAGAGAAGGCATTTCTCGCAGCGGGACGAGAACCCGCGCGCGCAGTAGAAGCACTCGCCGCAGCTGATTGTGAACGGGCAGACGATCGGGTCTCCTGGCTGGAGGTTCTGCACCGCGGATCCTACTTGCTCAATCACGCCGGTAAACTCGTGGCCCATTATGAAATCCGTCGCCGAGGGCTGGTGGCCGCGGAAGACGTGGAGTTCGCTGGATAAGTTAGACGGAAACAAGAGGGGACCTCGTATGGGGGGCTCGGGGGGGTGATGCTTGCCTGCCGCATAATGCTGTGTATCGGACTTTGACAATAATATCCTTGGGATCTTGAATCTTTGGTATTGGTCTCTCCTCTACCACAACGTTTCTCACCCCTTTCAGAACAACTGCACGCATTGTGTCTGGGGGATGTTGAAGGGGTTAAATTGAATGTTTTGCTGGGCAGGGGTATGTTTCTTCTTTGGGGGTTGGGATAAAGCGCCTTGTATGTATTCCCGTCTACCGATCGCTTTGATCCGACGCTGGTGTTGATATACTGGGATTTCCATCTGCTGTATCTTCTGTACACATCTCAGGTACCATACTGGCCTATTGATGCACGTATTTCACAATACAGGGATTAAACTGACAGGAACGGGTTCATCATCCCGGTCAAGTGGGTTAGGGTTTCGCGGAAATGCGGGTTGGGTCGAGGACAATAGCAACGGAGGAGCAAATCCGCCCCTGAGTCAGGCCTCTCTCTGCATTAGTCATGCACGACTTTTCTTGTACCGAGGGGTTTCCAGTTTTTAGGTCAAATGAGACCAGATATTTCGATTAAAGCTTGCCAAGTGGCTGTTCTCTTTTTTGTTTGATCATTTGGACTCGGGCCTGCGCCCACAGGGCATATGGCACCGTCTGCGAAGCGAACTCCTTCGCCTTGACCCCACTCGCTTGGCCATTTACGAACCTCGCCGCGATCCCTTGCATAACAACAGCAGTCCGGAAGTTGCTAAACGCCACGGCCCAGTCGATATCCTCCTGGCCTCCTATATCCGAACCTGCACCGTCTTTGTACCACACCCGACACTGGTCGAAACCTGGCAGTCCGGGAATATCCCCGGCCGAACATTTCGCCTGTAATTCTTTCAGGTCATCCGTCAGCGCCAGCTCTGTCAATAGCGGAACTTGCCCGGCTGTCCATAGGAATGGCGAAGTCAGGTTGACAAGATCCGAGAGCGCATGACCCTCAGTCGCCATCTCCCAATCTAAGATGCCGATCACCTCCGGCTTTGTCTTGTGGAAAACCAGGTTGTCCAACTTGAAATCTCCATGCACCAGTGTTCTCCTATCGGCAGGTTGGAATCTTTGGGTTGCGAAGAAGGAGACAAGTTCGTCATAGTGCGGCAACTGTCCAACTTCTTGCCCAGTGGAAGGGTGTATTGTACGAGCTTGTGCATCAGAGACACGGCCAAGTGACTTAAGCTGACGACTGTAGAAGCTGGCTGGCTTCTTCCAACCTCCGAGACCGATGTCCGATAGATGGACTGAATGCACTTTTCTCAATGTGCGAACGGCTTCCTTCCAGCTTTTGAGTACGTTTTCTTGGTTAGCAGTTAACCATGACGGAAATTGTCCCGGGCAGTCGCGTGCCCTGACCTGCAAAAAAGGAGTCACTCACATCGTGGTACGCTCCGCGGACGTGAGATCAGGCAACCAAGGATCTTCGAAAATCCGGCCGTCCAAGAACTCCATTATGTAGAATGGGCTTCCTATGACAGAAGGATCCTCGCAGAAGCAGTATGTCTTGGGTACGGGCACGTCGGTGTGCTCTAGAGCCTGTATAACCTGATATTCCCGCTCGATCCGATGGGCACTCTTGGAGAGTGAGCTTCCAGGGGGCTTCTTCCGCAGCACGAATCGTGACCCCACGGATGAAGTGACTTCATAAGTAGGATTGGATTGCCCATGACTGAACTGTGGGTAGTTGGTTGCCGTCAGTTGCTTCTGTGCGTCACATTCGGGGCATCCAAGGAAACGAGAGGGAGGCTTTACCTGTTTGAGGCTGATGGGAAGCTTTATTAGAGGCACATTCTCCCGCACGTATTCACTGAGCGCTGAGATGTCAATAGGCTGTCTTACATTGCCCGCCATGGCGACACTGAACAGGACGAACTCGGGGCATCTAATTAACCACAGGACATGGGGGCCCGGTCCCCATATAGGCATTCCCTTACACATGTGGTCTCTTCCTTCGAGGAGCGGTGGGTCTGGTTCCTGATAGTCCCCAGAAATTCATTCTCGGTGAACATAAGGGGCCATGACTCATTCCGCATGGCCAAGGGCAACCTGTTTCTCTCGTCGAAGTTCCACGCCAATCGGAGTCGGGTAGGGATTTCCGAACATGCCGATCCCGGTAGTTGGCTCGGTCTTAGATGGTTTATTCCTTAATATTGGCCAGCCCGTGTTTGCCTCCTTGCTCATCAACCCAAGCCTGCTTGTGCCAACAGACAAAGTTCTAATTCGTTCTTGCTCAACCGCAACCATGATCTTCAAGTCCCACAATCCCGACATCAACGGTGAGTGACCACACTACTGCGCAATTTTATTGTATGCTAACGTGTATGTACATTCTCAGTCCCGGAACGGTTGTCGTTGTGGTCCTGGCTTTTCGACTCGGGACTCGCCTCGCTGTCCCAGTCCCGCAAGGACAGGATTCAGGGCTTCACCGATGTTGTCACCAAGCAACATGTAAGCTTTGAGGATTTGAAGAGACACACGACGGCTATCTCGACGGCCTGGACGGCATTATGCGGACTGCGTCAAGGCGATGTGATTATTGTGTACGGTCGAAACACGGTGTGGTACCCAGTCACCACGCTCTCCGCGGTTCGGGTTGGTGCGATTGCATGTGGCGTATCTCCGGACTACAACGTCGAAGAGCTCTCCTACAGCCTATGCGTGAGCAAGGCCAAATTCATTATCACGGCAGCCGAAACGGCGGATACGGCGCTAGAGGCTGCTCGCAAGTCCGGCATTCCCCCGCAAAATGTGATCCTCATGAGTGGCGAAAACGCTGGCAGGTTGAGCATCCAGAAGTTGCTCCAGATGGGAGAGACCCTTGGAGAGGCGGCACAAGTGAGGCCATACCAGATCCCGGCCGGAAAATCCAACCGAGACATATGTGCCTATCTCTGCTTCAGCAGCGGCACCACCGGCCATCCAAAAGCCGTCATGATATCCCATGCCAACATCATTGCCCAATGCCTCCAGATACGGCAGATCACTCCCTCGGACCACGACAGAATCCTTGCAGCGTTGCCATTCCATCACATCACCGGCATCGTGCACCAGCTCCACCTCCCCATTGCCCTGGACGCCCACGTCTACGTGTTGCCAACCTATACCCTCGACACATTACTGCAGACGGTGGAAGAGTATAGGATTAAGGAGCTATTGATAGTACCGCCTATCCTAATACGGCTGGTTCGGGATGAAAAGACGGTGTCCAAATACGACCTCTCACACGTGGCCCGATTCTCTTCCGGAGCCGCACCCTTGTCCAGGGAAATACTTACACTCTTGGAAAAGAAGTTCCCCGGCACAGGCTTCAAGCAAGGCTATGGGATGACCGAGTCATGCTCGGCCATAACTTCGCATCCGCCCTCCAAGTATGCATACAAGTATGCCGACAAGGTGGGCATGGTGGTTGCGTCGACCGAGGTGAGGATTGTCGACGTTGAGACAGGAGAGGACTGCGGCGTCGGCAAGGCCGGGGAGATCTGGGCGCGAGGTCCGCAAGTGGCCATGGGCTATCTAGACAACCCGAAAGCAACGACGGAAACCTTTGATGAGAACGGATTCCTGCATACTGGGGACATCGGACTGTTCGACGAGGAGGGATTGCTCTCTATTACAGACCGGATGAAGGAGATGATCAAGGTGAAGGGGATAGGAGTTGCGCCGGCAGAGCTTGAGGATCTGCTTCTCGGCCATCCATCAGTCAGTGATGCTGCAGTCAGCGGGATCCCTGACGACCGCGCAGGGGAACGGCCAAAGGCTTATGTGGTGCTGAAGCCTTCTTCGGAACACCTGTCTCCAGAGGAGGCAGGACAGGCCGTTATCGACTTTGTGAAATCCAAAAAGGCGAGGCATAAGTGGATTTCCGAGGTTGAGATCGTCAAGGAGATACCGAAGAGCCCTTCTGGTAAAATTCTCCGACGAAAGCTTCGGCTCATGTCACGGGGCGGTGGTGGAAATGTCGTCGTTCGGGATGATGCTTTTGTGGCACGGCTTTGAGTGTATCTAGACAGACCATGTGACACCATCAGTCCATAGTTCAAGGATAATTATCCCGAACACCCGGTTGCATTATTTGTTGAAGGGAGCCTGCCACGATGCTGTCATACAGAACGGCATACAGAATAACCCCTGCCCAACCTCTAGGCTTGTCCAATCTTGAACTGATGAAGGTGGAGATCGGGTAGGCAGGTGGGGGGGTGTTGAAGTAGCCGGAGTTTGTATTGTACATAGGTACTTGTATGCACTACAAAGATCCTCTCGACACGATATGAAATGACATGACAGTACTCTGCTAGCTCCAAATGCCCGCCCTTGGCATGGACTTTGTCATGTCACCCTGGCTAGAGATGCTTACCACAAAATCCGCATGGCCAATTAGAACTTCGTTTCCCCTAGTTTGTCATACCATACCATGCACTTATACCGGGCAGGCGGTGACTTATTTTACGCTCCGGTCCCCCTCTCCGGCATGATTTTGACTCTCAGAGAAGGAACGAAACATGGAAATTCCAGCGTCGTCTCGAATTCCCGCGAGCGTGGTGGGCAATGTGAGCAAAAGGGCTCGACAAACGCTCGACGCGGTACTGTCTTCCCTAAGAATCCCCAACAAGTGGGTTAGATATGTGCCTGAATTCAGTACTGACGGGGCGAAAAGGTCGAGAAGTTCGTCCAGGAGACATGCATTCCTGCAGACGCCGTCTTTGCTCAACAGCTTGGTCGCACAAGTCGCGAACGATTTGCCTCCCATCCGAAGATCCTAGAGGACTTGAAGCGGCAGGCGCGGAAACAAGGCTTGTGGAATCTATTCTTGGGCAAAACCCAGAATGGAGAAGGCACTGGCCTCACCAACCTGGAGTATGGTTTGATGGCCGAGCAACTTGGGAAAAGCGTGATTGCGAGCGAGGTATTATGCCCAAAAATGCTCCACGGTGATCTGAGCATGTTCAGTTTCGAGGGCAGAGTCTGGTTTGCTAACTATGCCTTTTTGGTAGGCAATGAACTGCTCCGCTCCAGATTCAGGGAACATGGAACTTTTGGAAAAGTTTGGGGACGCGTCCCAGAAACTCGAGTGGCTCACACCGTTACTAAACGGGGCAATACGGTCTGCATTCTTGATGACGGAGCCAGACATTGCCTCGAGCGACGCAACGAACATCAAGTTCCAGATCCGGGAGGAAGGGAATGAATATGTGCTCAACGGCAGTGTAAGTCCACAGCATGTGCACTTGACGACGATTCTCCAAGGGTTCCTGGGGTGTGCCCCTGAACTGATTTGTGTTTCTGTTTCTCATTTAGAAATGGTGGAGCAGTGGTGCCGGCGACCCGAGGTGCGAGCTTTACATCGTCATGGGTAAGACCGACCCGGACGACCCGAGCCCCTACCGGCAGCAGTCAGTCGTTCTAGTGCCGGCTCGGACGCCTGGAATTGTGGTGCATCGCATGCTGTCCGTCTTCGGGTACGACGACGCGCCCCATGGCCATGGACACATCACATTCAGCAACGTTCGCGTCCCAAAATCAAACATCGTGCTAGGTCGAGGCAGGGGGTTTGAAATCATCCAGGGCCGACTCGGTCCGGGGAGGATACATCATACCATGCGATGCATTGGTGCGGTAAGAACGGAGGAAGACATTGTCCCCACACCGCGTCGAGCTCTGTCAACTGACCTTTGTGTAAACACCGACTCTAGGCCGAGCGTGCTCTTGAACTGGTTCTTGCTCGCATACACGAACCTACGAAGAAGCCTTTCGGCAAGATGCTGCATGAGCATGGCTTGGTGGTCAGCAAGGTCGCACAGGCGCGCATCGATATTGACTCGGCTCGGCTCGTGGTGCTGGATGCCGCAGTCAAGATGGACAATGGAAATGCCAAGCTCGCCATGAAAGAAATCGCCTCCGCAAAGGTCCTAGTTCCTCAGATGCTCAGTCGCATCCTCGACGATGCCATCCAGGTCTACGGCGGTGCTGGCGTCAGTCAAGACACTCCGCTGGCGTACATGTGGGCCAGCGCAAGAACTATGAGACTGGTGGACGGCCCAGATGAAGTTCACCTCTTGCAACTCGGAAAACACGAACTTCGGCGCGCGGCTTCCATCAGAGACCGCCTGGGGAGGCAGAAAACCGCCGAGGAGGATCTTTTACGGCAATACAACATGAAGAAGCTCGATCCACTGCACATGGGATGGTCCTCGGAAACAAAGCCTAGACTGTGATATCTAATTTATGTATTATGTATTATAGTGCAGATCGTCTAGATAGAACTGGGTAAGGCCTTAGGAGGAGATTCATAGGGTAATTGCCCACCTACCAGCGTTGAACCTACTCACATTGTCTGATGATGTTTAAATTGGAGAGTTCAGCAACCTATTGGCGTGCCCACAATGCCCATTGTTGGGCAATGAGCCTTAGGGATGATCGAGAATTGAATTCCCATTGTACTAGAATCGATTCCTAGTGGTGTGGAATAAGCGCAAGCAAGTGACAGCCCCCAACTGCCGCGGTCCGAGGCCCTCCACGACGACACTTGAAGCCGGGGTTCTCGCAATGAACCGCTGTAAGCCGCCCTGCAGCAAATGCATAGATACATCGGAGTAGCGTTGAGTTTGGTAGTGGCTAGTCGTTCTAGCGGGTTAATTACTTGGCAAGGGACATGAGTCATGCCAGGAAACAAGGATAAGTCAGGCACATGGCTTCCAGTTGTAATTCGACATGACTCATGGCCCGCTAAGACAAATGTGCAGTGCATACTCGTATCTCGGCAACTTGGAACGGAGCATCGCCGAAGCGACATCGGGTCAAGCGCATATTCACATGCCCTGCTCCGGATGCAATGACGGCAAAGAACGAATGGACGGAAATGGCACTCAACTGTCCGAGCAACGATTTCCCCAGGTTTCTTCATGCCGAAAATACCCTGCCCAGCATCGAAGTAAAGTCGTGGATGCGGGGTTATCCAGCTCCCTTCTCCAATTCTAGACTTGCCCCACTCCCTCTCCCTCCCCCTCCCCCCTCCCCCCTGCCCCACGGGTCTCCGTGCAAAACGACCTCGCCAACTCGCCCACAATTTGCAGGCTCAAAGCAGGAGAGTGATCTCACTGGCTACTCAAGCATCGTCACCCTGCTTCTCCTGTTATCATGACAGAATCGGATTCAGGCGACATCGCACCTTCAACTTCCGCCAGAAAGCGCGTCAGGACAGTATCCAATCTCACCGAGGAGCAGATCCAGCACAAGCGCAACGTTGATCGCAGGGCCCAGCGTGCGTTTCGCCAGCGGACGAAAGACTGCATTTCGAAGCTTGAAGAGCAGTTTGGCCAGCTCCAGGAGACATGCTGCGAGAAGGAACAGGAGCTGCAATCAGTGCGCGAGCACAACAAAGCCTTACTCCAGTGTCTCGAGACTGTAATTGATTTGGTCTCCTCCACGGTGGGCCAGTTTAGGGATGACGCAAACACGACTGTTATTCCAGGTACAGCATGGCACTTCCGCCCGACACGCATTAACTAGGTAGTGTAGGGGTTTCTTGATCACCGCTAAGACCACCTCATAGGAAGCTGTTCTCATGCGCTCCACGCCAAGGTTGGACACCTTCGCGACGGAACCCACCCACCCGGCACCGAGAAAATTACCGGAGCTGAACAAACAGCCTCCATGAGCCCATATCTCTCGTCGCATGATGGTCACGTAACAGGCCGGGTCTCATTCGAGACAGGAAACGCGACCTACCAAGTCTCGCCAGCCGCCTCTGGGAGATCCGAGGACAGCCACAATGCACAACCAGGAAGCCATCAGCTTCCCGTGAGTACTTCAGATGTCTCCAGCTTCTCTCTGTTGGATGTTCAGATAGCCCAGTCGGCCATGCCCGAGCCTCATACGGAGCCCTTCGCCGCCATGCCAACCCCCTGCAGTACGGCCATGGCCAATACGCCGCCTTATGTGCCGCAGATCGCCACCGTTCTTCCGTCCCATTTTCCATCGACATGTCCTCTTGACGAGATACTTCTTGACTTTCTCAGCTCCCGCAGAGACATGCTCTCCAAGGGCGTCTCCCTCGAATCAGTCGCGGGTCCGGAAAAGCCGACCGTCAAGGCGCTATTTACCGCGGAACTTGCCACGCCCGTGCATCCGCTCAGTGGGATCATGTCCAGAGTCCTGTCCACGTTCCCCTGTGTAGGCGAACCGGAGAAGTTGGCCTTCTTTTATTTGATGTGTCAGACAATGAGAGTTGGGTTTTTCCCCACCACCCCTTTCCTCCTTGTTTCCTTCCCCATTCTCCCAAACGTTTTTTTCCTCTCTCGAAAAGATATAATCCGTATTTTATACGCCACTGACGATAAAACAGTGGCAGATCTCCCCCACAAAAGAGAATTATTTTGCAATGCCGACATGGCTGCGGCCTACGGTGACGCAAATAGCAGTTCCACACGCAATATGGATAGATAACATCCCGTGGTAAGAAAGAAAGAAGAAGAAGAAGAAGAAGAAGACTACACCTCGGAGACAGGGGCCCTTCCGCTAACGGTATTTACAAGGCCTAGCGTCCGGGACGTGTTGATCGAGAACGCCGACAAGTATCCGTTCGAGGTGTTTTCCGAGCAGTATTCTCAGAGAGTCACTGTAAACTGGCCATTTGATGTCCTCGATGCCGTCTCGGACCTTGACAACGAGGCCGTGTTACATTCCATCTTCGAGAAACACATCCGTAACCTCAAGAATTGGACCGTCTCTGCCGAGTTCCGGGGGTGCTTTCCTGAGGTGGCCTCTTTGATAAGCTCTTGTGAGTAGCCGGGAATGACCAGGGATGACAATGCCAAATTGGTTTCTGCAATGGCTGGGGTGGGGGTAAGGGCAGAAATGTGTGAACGTATGGATGGGTCTCGAACCAATATCTTCTACATTCTAAGCATGGACGGACTAAAATACGGAGTTCAGGCTCAGGTTCAGTCTCAAAACAAACGGCCGGTACAGCATTGTGAACAATCCTATTAATTACCAACTAGCCCCAGACCCAGTCCAGTTGAGATTCTGCCACTCGTCACACGGATCCCAGCCATATCCCCCCACCTGGGGGGGCGTTGGCCCTAGCCCCAGTCCAAGGCCCATGTTGTTCGCGTCTTGGAATAGGAAGTCGGTCAAGGGCGGCGGAAACAGAAAGTCGGTCAGCTCCGGGGCGTTCATCAATACAGCCGGGTCCGAAGCTGAGGCCGCCCGCCGCCCTTCTTCTGCTCCCGTGGAGAAGCGGCCGGTTTGGCGGCTTTCGTCGTGGCCCATCCTGGCCAGGCCGCTATTATTGCTCTCGGCGGGCGATTTCCCGTGGACAACCCGGGCGCCGGAGCGGCGCGGGGCGGCGCGTCTCTGCCACTCGCCCTTGAACAGGATTATGACCTCTAGCGCCCTCGTCGCATTACCGTAGCAGCGGCCGATCTCACCAAGGGCCTGGCAGCAAAACTGCAGGTCGTCCAGGGAGGTTCGGGATGACTCATCTTGGGGGGGGCTGGCGCGGTTGCATCCGTTGTATATGTGGACGAGGCAGCAGGTGAAGATGATGTGGACGATCTGGATGTTTGTGTATCGGAGCGTGTGCTGTCTGCGGTAGCAGCGAAGTATGTCCGTCATGCGATGTGCTGCTGCGACACAATCGGCCTCTACGGTGTTCAGGACTGCAGTGTCTTCTGCTGAGGTGAGTGAATTGTGCCAGGGCTGGTTGTCTCGCGGGAGATATGGCCGGAGAAAAGCGACAAGTGCCGCATTGTACTGCATGCTGCGGTTCCGTTTTAAGCAAACGTCATGATGGTTTCCGGGGGTCGTAACCCACTTACTGTAACTGGAGGACTCCGGGAGTGTATGTGTTTGTAGTGCTGTAAGGATCTACTTCCAACTCGGCATGAAGGTTGTCTAACCAGCCCTTGAACTCGTTCTTCATCTTGGTCAAGAATGTCACCAACGCCTTGATGTCCATCCTCTGACCGGAATACCTATTCTTCAGTCAATGGGTAACGTTCCTGGGTATTTTGTTTCTTCAAGTTCTAGACAGCACGTACAAGGTCCTGTTGACCTTGCGCATCAACTCGCACAAGGAAATGGTGGCGTCGGTACAACTCTCGAGTGGATTGAAGACTCCCTCCCCGGATGGAACAGATTGAGAGTCGGCAGCAGGATATCGATTCCAGGTCTGCATCCTGACTTTGTCAAGATCTCTCGGTGGCCGGGGAGTGGAGATATACTGAACGCCAGCAGCCCAGGGGCGCCCGACATAGACACTCCACATGCTGCGATCATTTTTAGACGCCTACTGTGGGAGAAAGAAGCGGTGGTGGAGAGAACACAAACCTGTCATGGATGAAGACGCCCCAGAATGTCGTCCGTCGCGCCTCAACGTCACGTGGACTCAGCATACCACTCCGACAGTGGTCTGCGAGATCTAGGTGTAGACCAAGATCGACGCTGAGCCTGAGGGCCATTCCTGTTGATACGTAATTAGTGACTTTGCAATTAATATAAAACGAGAGAGAAAAGGAGGAAATAAAGAGAAAAGAAGAAAGACGGTGTTAGACTAACCACTATATAACCATCCTCTAGCATCACGGGTAAAGGCTGCTTCCAACGCGCTCATGACGACGAGGGCCTGGACCGTGGCAACTGTTGGGCTGTCCATCTCGATATCTAGCAAAGCCTTCCCTCGCAGCGAGAAAAACTCAGGCGCAGGTTCGGGGACGCCGAGCGACTCACCGGACGCCAGACATGCACCGATGGCGCAGCTGCAGTCTCAGCAAACCGCGAACACACTGTTAGCACAGGGTTCTGGCCCCTCACGACAGGCAAAGACGAAAATCTCTCCAGTCAGTCATCCTCGAGCGGGGATCATCGATCTTACATAGCGTTATTCAGAGTTTCAGAGTAGTAGGGTGTTGTATTTCCATCCAGCCACGCCCTCCTAGCCTCAAAGTATATGTCCTCATCAACAACGTGAATGGCCGGATCCTCCCAGGCAAAGTACAGCTTGGCCAGATGTATCTCGACAGACGGCAGCACTGGATGGTCCAGACCAGCTCGTCCCAATACTGCCTTGCCCTCGCTGGCAACATGGCGAATCGAGGAGCGCGATATGCCCTGGAGGCCATTGCGCGAGATGTGCAAATTCGAGGTCGGCCCGTAGTATCGCAACTGGCCGTCCTCGGCGATCTGGAGAGAGCCCATCCGGGCCGTCAGCGAGCTCGCCATGTCATCATCAGCCCCTGGATGTGCATCGCAGGGTGTCTCGAGGCTCACTCGCCGACCTCTTTGAAGCGGCACTTGACCGCGTTGCTGGGGATTCTGGGCATTCCGGGGATTATTATGGGGGGGTGTCGGCGGCCGCTCATCATCGCATTCGCTGTCTGACTCATCGTCTGCGAGGAACATCTGCTGAGAGGCCGGGTCGGGTTGCTTCGTCTCGGGACTGCGACGAGACGGTGATTGCTGTGATGTTTCGAATGTCGGCGACATCCCCCTAGACGACCGGCGCGGGTCTGTAGCTGGGACCTCCCCAACGACTGAGCCTCTCCGCTGACTCGACAAGTTATTGTTCTGCTCAAGATTCGAGGCCGAAGAAGGGATGGACCGGCTCAGATACGTGGGAGAGGGCGGTGGCAGTTCGATGTCGTGGGCCCGGAGAGTGTCTTCAAGCTGCGAGAGACGCTGCCTCAGCGAAGTCGTGACCTTGTTCGAGGTCCTAGACATGGGCCAGGTTTGCAAATTGTTGCGCGAGATCTTTGACGTGATAGACATACCTTCGCTTGTCCGAGTTTACAAGGTAAAGGCACTCCTGGTTGGAGATGCTGCAGTTCAGGCATGTAGGCTGGCCGTCGCACTGTCGTCGGTGGCGGGCATCAGCAAACGGCAGGAATCAACTATCAAAGGCACCACTAAACGGTCTAACCGATCGGTGTATGTATGTACTTACTTTCACCTTGCGTCGACGACAGCGCAGGCAAGCAGTCGTGATGTGCTTGGCGTTTCTCATTGTTAGAATTACTGGGGACAACTAAATCCTGACAGGGAGACGGAGGAAAGTCAAAGTCGGCGTGCTTGGGGAGAAGGGCGGGGGGATTAGCGGCATGGAGTTGGTTCTGGCATATGCGGAGATTACCCCGCATTGGGGGAGTCTCCACTCAGGACGGACCATCTTGTCATGGAACATGAGTTACCGAGTGGAGCGAGGCTTGGTAGGGCATATTGGAGGGCCATCTTGGAGTACCTATTTCATTGGCACTAAGTAACTGTACATGTACCTTGTTCTCGGCGTCTCCATCAAAACGCACCCCCCGGGAAGGAACTGTGCCCGCCACTTTAGCCAGCCATTAAGCGAGGCCGAGGTGTGTGGGAGATAATCCCAAACCCCTAACATTGGAAGGGGAATCACAGAGATGGGGATGGCCTGGATGGGACATGATGCAAAGACGTCGTAGTTGTCCTCTCTCCTGTGGTTCGTGGCGGGAGCTAATTATAAGACTTCGTCCTCGGAGCTCCATAATTCCATCGTCCGAGGATTCGGATTCATGTGCCGCTACGATTAGTAGGAAACTAGGAGAGGGGAAGAAGTGAGAGATGGCTCGGAACTGAATTCCGAGCACCCCCCAGCAAGGGGTAGCGGTGCGTTCAGCCGACTACCCCCTTAAAACACACCAACGCAGCGATATACCACCTTACGATGCTATATCGGTTCTAAGGCTCTAGAAAAACCGTCGTCTGATATTGTTTGTTCGTCACTCAGTCAGGATGGCGCAGCAAAACACCATCATCATTGGGGGAGGAGTTGCTGGAATTGCAATGGCACACACGTTGAAATGGAAACTTGGGTACACGGATTTCGAAGTGCGTTGGCTGTTGTCACCCCAACCATTATCCACTCTTCATCTTGTTAACTCGGCATAGATTTATGAGAAGGGTCCAGGAGTGGGAGGCACCTGGAGAGTGAACACTTATCCTGGATGGTAGGGCCTCTTCGCCTATCTCCATCATTCGCCCAAACTGACAATTGTGCAGCGGGTCTGACGTGCCCATTCATCTGTACTCATTCAGCTTCAATCTCAACCCAGGTTGGACGCAAGCCTTGGCCGACCAAGAAGAAATCCTCCGTTGTCAGTACTGCCTGTCTGGATGGGAAAGAAACCGCCCAGAAATAGGAAAAGGAGAAAGGGGTGCTGCAAATAATGCGAGGCTAACTGTGCCATCCTTGTACAGACGTGGAGTCGACAGTCGACAAGTTCCAATTGAGACAGTATTTCCGCCTCAACTGCGAGTGCCTCGGCGCGAGGTGGTCTAACGAGCGGCAGCAATGGGATGTCACCTTCCTAGATGGCCGGACAAAGAAGACGTTCACGCGCCAGTGTGCCATCCTCCTCTCTGCCGTAGGGGGCTTCTCCAAACCGCGAGACGTCCGGTTCCCTGGAATGGAAACCTTCCAGGGCAACATCTTCCACACGGCTGAATGGGACCACTCGTTTGACTACATTGGCAAGAGAGTTGCCGTGGTTGGGAACGGGTGCAGTGCCGCCCAGGTGGTGCCGTCCATTGCATCTAGCGTCAAGAAGCTGACCCAGTATGCACGAAGCCCACAGTGGTACCATGAACGGCCCAACCAAGCTTTCACAGGGTTCCACAAGTTCTGCTTCAAGTACCTGCCCCTGTGGCAACGATACTACCGGCTCAAGCTGTTCCTCGATACCGACGAGTTATCGGCAGTTTACAGCCCTGAGAAGGTTGCACAGCGCGTCGCGGTCGAGAATCAGGCCAAGGAATACATCTACAGGGAAGCGCCAGAGAAATACCACTCATTCATCGTCCCGGACTTTCCTCTTGGCTGCAAGAGGCGCATTTACGACCCCGGCTACCTTGCTTCTCTCCGACGGGATAACGTTGAGTTGCTTCCAGAGGGAATCAAGAAAATCACAACGACCGGGATCATCAGCGAGAACGGGAAAGAGGAAGACTTTGATGCCATTGTAATGGCGACAGGATTCGAGGTCCAGTCTTTCCTTGCTCCGATGGAGGTCATAGGCAAGACAAACTGCACACTTCAAGAGCAGTGGGACAAGGACCGAGGCGCCCAGGCATACATGGGCACATTCGTCCACAATTTCCCCAACTTTGCAATCCTGTAAGTCTTTGATAGCACTGGGTCGAAAGAGGAGAGCCGAAGCTGATGATAAATCACCCAGATTTGGACCCAACACCTTCCCAGCATTCAACTCGGTCATCTTCTCGGTCGAGGTGCAGGTCGCATACATTGCCCAGACGCTGATGAAGCCAATTTTGGATGGCTACGCCACGGCCGTCGAGGCAAAGGAGGAGGCAGAGGACAAGTTCGTCGCCAATCTCGACAGTGTCTTGGCAACGACAGTCTTCGCGGCCGGATGCAGCAATTGGTACATCAACAGTGCTGGACGCAACGCTGCCGCCTGGCCGGGCCTCGCCTCGGGCTTTTGGCGGGCTACGTTCTTCACAAAGTGGCAGGACTTCCACCTGACTGGCGGCTCCAGACTATGGCTTATCAACCGGCTAGTTAGGAAGACAAGGGCAGCGTCGCCCATCACCTGGCTTGTCGTTCTCGCTTCGGTAGCGGCTGTTGCTTGGGTCAAACCGGCGTCGCTGTTTGCCTTGCAGGATTGGACCAACGGGGGATTTGAGCTGTTGAGAGAGAGACTGGGTTGAAAGGCAACAAAAAGGCTGCTTGCTGTAAATGTACGTAGTATGTACATACATGGAGATTGCAATAGAAGTACCGTACTCTACATATATTACACCGAGCCTTTTTAACAACGGTAATTAGTCAACGTAGGTTACGACTTCAAAGTGACCGCCCAAGAGCCACCAGGCCCCGACCCGACGGCCATCCCCAAGAAAATATTCCTTGCCCATAGTCAGACCCAACCACCTGACTACCACGGCGTAGATGATGTGGTTGCTCGGTCCTCCCTTGGGTAGAATTCCAATCCGGCATGGGAGCCTTTGATGCGTCGGAATTACCAGACCGAGGCGCGCTGCCACGTAACCAACCCCCTAGTCAAACAGCAGGCTCCCCGCATTTCCCCCGCAAAGCCCTGGCTGAACACAACCTGCACAACCTGCCCCAAGAGTGTTAGCCTCTACGAGTCTGACTATATTAGGTCGGGAGACTGACTTGATCGTGTGTGCCTGCCCTCTGTATAGATCTGTTTCGAAAACATTCACTCCTAACTACTAGATGATTACTTCCTCTAATTACAACTTTGACGACTTGAGCGGACACGCGATGGCCACAAGCAAGATCGCGGTAATCACAGGCGGCGCCTCCGGGATGGGTTTGGCGTGTGCGGAGGCGCTGTCACGGAGAGGCTGGGGAGTACAGATTATGGACCTCAACGCGGCGGCCGGGACGAGCGTGGCCGGTCGACTCCAGAACGTCAGCTTCAGCCAGGTCAATGTCAACTCGTGGGACTCACTCTCGTCGGCCTTTCACAACGTCTTCACCAAGCAGGGCAAGATAGATTTTGTATTTGCCAACGCGGGCATCCTCCAGCTCGACAACTTCTACCAGAATGTCGAGGTGCGGCCGCCACCGGAGCCGAGACAGGCCAGTATCGACATCAATCTCAAGGCTGTCATCAACACCAGCTACCTGGCCCAGCACTATTTCCGATCCAGCAAGCACGGTGTGAAAGATCCAGTCTTGGTCATGACAGCTAGCATTGCCAGCTTTGTAAGTATTTAATTAATCATCAGTCAAGTCATGGCTTGCAGTTGAACAGCGGATATGCTAACCTCAAAGTTCACACGCGCTGCAGTACGCCCAGGAGTTTAACCCTCTTTACACGGCCTCCAAAGCCGGTGTTCTCGGTTTCATGCGGTCCATCGCCGCCCCTTTCTACCACCAAGACGGCATCCGGACCTACGCCATCTGCCCCGGCACGGTGCGCACGAACCTACTGGACAGCACGGTGTGGGATACGTTCCCGGAGGAGCACATCACGCCCGTCGAGACGGTAGTCTCGGCAGTGGAGAAGCTCGTTGCCGGGGGGCGTTTGCAAGACGACCAGGGCAAGGTAGTCGAAGACGGGGAAAATTACGGCTTGGCGGTGGAGGTGTTTGGCAGGAACATGTACTTCCGGGATCAGATGGAGTACATCAACGATGGCATGCGTCAGATCTGCGAAGCTGCCAGCCTGGAGCACCAGCAGGAGAACTTGCAGTAATTAGACTAATAATCATGGCACGGGAACCGGAAATTGAAGATCGAAATTTACGACAGCGCACACAATGTGTGGGGGGACCAATTTGTCCATGAGTCAGTGCTGCCCCTGACTTGGACTGACATCATGACATGACATGACACGACATGCACATATACACACAACCCTAACACCTACCCGTCTCAACCGGTCAGCCGAGAATGTTGCATTGCGGACGGAGTGAGTATGCGGAGAAGTCCCCCACACCTGGTTTAGGTAATACTGGGGTAGGTGTTTGCACGGGAGGTGCGAAGCAAACTAATCGGTGGGGTCGACTACTCGTGTTGATAAGTTCTCGCGATTTTGAGCATCAAAATAAAATCTACTTGTTGAAATTATTGGTATTGCTGGGAGAATCATCGACTTTGTTTGATCCTTGACCTCCGGATCCAAGCTTGATTCCTAGTCACACACGCACACACAGAAAAGGAGGGAAACAACCATGGGGTCTATCATTGCGGAAACCATGCTGGCAGCCCAGTACAATGTTGTGTGTTCACTGGCACATACCCAATCCGTATGGAGACGTGGAGGGAGACACAGACTGACCAGATTATCCGAGCCAGGAGAAAAACAAAATCGAGGTCAATCGGGTTCCCATCCCTCAAGCTATTGACGTCGAACTTCTCATCAAGACGACATGTGCAACGCTCTGCCATTCCGACCTCGTAAGTACCGAACTTCCCAGATAACGATGCGATGCCGCAACTACGGGTAACCCGCAGTATGGCTACCTTGGACGACATGCTGAATGCCAAGTAATTAGATGCTCTTCTGGGGTCACACCGCGGAGAAGCCGCCTACCGACACCATCACCATCGGGCACGAGAACACAGGCGTTGTAGTAGCTATGGGGAAGGATGTCAAAGGATTCAAGATCGGAGACAAGGTGGGATGTCTAGGTTGCAGCTACGCGTGTTGTAAGTTGCACTCTCGCCAGCAAGTTTTCAGGACCCCCGGCTGACCCTCTCAACCCTCGTTCCTTAACAAACAGACGAATGTGAGGGGTGCCAGGTTCACAATCTGTTCTGCGAGAAAGGCACCCAGAGGCTCCATGGCTTCCAAACCGCGGGGCATTTTGCCGAGTACTCGACGGCGGACTACCGGAACGCCATGGTCCTGCCCGACGGGATGGACATGGTGGGAGGCGCACCGCTTTTCTGTGCTGGAGTCACCGGTAATTATTATTACGGCCTCCCTTGTGTTCCAGCGACCCTGAACTGATTTTGAAATGTTCGTTTGTACATGATTAGCCTACCACTCCATCAAAGGCTGCGATCTTCAAGAAGGTCAATGGGTGGCGATTATCGGCTGTGGCGGGCTTGGACACCTGGGTAAGATAACGAAGGACAGCAAACACAGCTTGATGCGTATACCACAGCGCATACAGAAATTCCGTGCTAACTAAGTGGTGCATCATCACCGCGCAGCTATCCAATATGCCAAGGCCATGGGCCTCCGCGTCATAGGCCTGGATATCTCAGAGGCTCAGCTGGAATCAGCGAGACAGCTCGGCGCAGACGCCATCTTCAACCCGGCCAGGGACCCGGACTACCAACGAAAGATTAAAGAGATGACCAATGGCGGATGTCACGCCACAGCCGTCTACAGCGCGTCCAACAAGGCCTACCAGGATGCACCCGCGACTCTACGGTGAGAATAGGATGCCACAAATTGTTGATTTTCATGACCACAATGTAACTATGCTGACTCGTGCCTCGCCCGCAGCATCAATGGGCTGCTCATGATCGTCGGCATTCCCAAGGAAGAACTGTCCATCAGCGCCTTGGACATCCTCCTGGGCAAGTACCGCATTGCGGGACGCAGCAGCGGGGTCCCCCAGAACATGCCCGAGGCCATCCACTTCAGCCACAAGCACAACATCAAGTCACATGTGAACGTCTTCCGAGACATCAACGACATCCAGAGGATGGCCGAGCTGATGGAGGCTGGGAAGACGGCTGGGAGGTTTGGCATTGTTTTCGACTAGGTAGCCACGAGTGCGTTTTAGTCACATCTTAGCTAGCTGCCTTGGCCTACATGTGCCTCGTCAAAGTTTCCAAATAATCTTGTTGTCTCGTCTCTACCTGCCTACCCACCTGTGCTTGCTGTGTGTGGTCCTTCGATTTCGGGGAAATACTTTGAATCCCGACTGTGAGATGTGACGGAAATGGAACCCGCTGGCCTGGTTTTCCCTCCTCGGATTGGGCTGTCCCGACGACAATCCCCCAGACTCCCATATCGGAGGTTGGTTAGAAACCCGAGAAGGCGGGGTATGTCTGTACAGTGGCTCCAGTTCATGTCGAGTCATGGCAGACAGGCAGACAGGGAAGAGTTGCCCCATATTTACCCCGCATCCATGGTGCCGGTATTCGTGACCCCGGAAACCGGGCCTCGTGCACAGTCCCCAGCACTTGATGCTATATGAGAAGATAGTCTTATCATATTTTGATTGACTTTCTGAAGCTGCCAATCCCCACCTGTGATCCTTCCCAGCTGCCTGTCGGACGAAACGCAAAGATGCCGTGGAAAAAGATTGAGCACCAATTTACCCATCCCCAGCTGGACTACAGCTCGGAGCCAAACTTCCAGCCGTGCATCAAGGTCTCGGTGTTTTTCAAGAAGATCGATTCCATCGACCACGACACCTTCTTCGGCCACTGGAGAACTGTCCATGCCGACCTCGCAGTTGCAACCCAGGCCTTCCGCCACCATATTGTGCGCTATGCCCAGGTGAGTGAAAATCGTGCCCCGAATCCCCAAGCCCCCCGCGTCTGAGTCGTAACTTTCAAACTCACCCTGCCTGGCAAACATGACAGCACCACCAGACGCCTGAAATGAAAGAGCGGGCACGTAGTCTGGGGGAGAATGTCCTAGACTACGATGGATGTGCACAACTTTGGGTGAAAACCTGGGACGATTGGTTGGCTTTCTACAACAGCAAGGAGTACGCCGCGGCCCTGAGCCACGACTGCGACCGGTTCATGGCTCTGCCCATGACATACATGGTCGGGTATGAGAATCTGGTTGTGGGTGACGCATCTAGGGCAATGGGTGGGAAAGACGGGATGGGTGCGGCCCAGCTTCCCAAGAAGGAGGAGTGAAGATGCTCTGTTGTCTACTGTACTCTCTCTCTCTCTCTCTCTGGGACCAGTAATTTGACAGACTAAACTTCGTGTCCGTTGGTAACCTCGCCGAGGTACTCTGAAAAGAATGGTACAAATGTATGAGCTAAACCTGGTTCTTGAGATTTGTGCAGTCATCGGCTTTCAAGCAAGGCTAATATAAACTCCCCAGACTATGTTAGAGCCCTTGTTGAACTTCGATGGCTTATCCCTGTCATCTATAGTAGCTCGGCAGCTCGTCCTTGTCTGGGAAATCCGTACTCCCAGCGAAGCCCTCCCACTCCTCCAATACTTCCAACGTCTCGCAGCACTTCAATTTCATTATGTCCACAGCATCTGACCCAATCGGGATCCTCAACGGTAGACGTCCTACCCTTCTCTCCGGCAGGTTTTCCCCCCTTGCGATATCCACAATCCTCTCCGCCGCAAGGGCCGGATCCCCCGGCTGCGCACCGTCTGTGACTGCGTGGATCCTGGCCATCTCGCGTTTCACCACTGCATAGTCGGCAATGCCACTGTCGTGGTCTAACACTGCGGATTTCTGTTTTACGTTAAGGATGCTGGTGCGGAACTGCCCTACCACTAGGAGGTGTACGCTGATGCCAAGATGGCACGTTTCTTTTTGAAGACACTCGACAGCACCTGTAGCGGATGTGTCCCACTCTTGAATCAGCATTTTGGAACTTGTGGTTACGGTTTGGACAAACCCTAACCTTCAAGTGCAAACTTTGATGCACTGTATGGTCCTCCAGCACCGACGCCGTGCCAGCCAGATATGCTAGACATGAACAGAATCGTCCCAGAACGTTGTGAGCGCATGTGGGGCAACACGCAGCGTGTCATTTTCAGGGAACCGAAGAAGTTTGTGTCAAATTGTCGTTTTGTCTCCTCTTCACTTCAAGGCCTTTGAATCAGCATCAACGACGCCTGGAAGGGGGGAGAGGGAGATATAGAGAGACCAAGAGAGAAAGGCTTTTTTACCTCAGCTCCTCCCATACCCCTGACAAAACGTATCCTGCGTTATTGACAAGAACATCAAGCCCTCCAAACGATGAGATTGCTTCGTCAACCTTTGCGTGGACAACAGACTCGGGTGCAGTAATGTCTAGCTCAAGTGCTTTAGCCCTAGGGATTCCCTTGACGTATTCAAGGTCAGATAGGCGTCGAGCTGTCGCGATAACCCTGTCGCCACGGGCGATGATCGCTGGAACAAGACACCGGCCGAAACCAGAGGAACAGCCTGTGACAAGCCATCGAAGAGACTGAGATCGTGGCTTTTGGGCCCCCATTGCATGGCCAGAGAAGGTTTGTAGGTTGCTGACCAAGGACAGGAAAATGGTGCGCTGTGATTGAGCAGAGAGATGTTGTGCTTCAACATGCCCTTCTACTTGCTTTGGGCGATCAGTGAGGTAAGGTACTTAACCCCCTGAGATATTGGTATATCAGTGGTGCGGGGTAGGTCTCACTAAAATCCTGCTAAAAAGCCCTGCATGTCCATGACTAATTCAGTGTACTTTCTTAGATGCAAGCAACACCGGCGCAACAGTGACTCGTTAAGTACATAAGTACCTATCTACATATTCAACTGCAGTACATATTTTTGCATACTCTGCTATTCGACTGTTTCAAGAAATTGCGGGCTGAAAGGATAATCAGTGTATCCTTTAGTTGCCATAGGCGTGTAGAAGGTGTCCCGATCGTACGGACTCAGAGCCAACCCACTTTTGATCCTGAAGGGCAGATCCGGTGTCGAGATGAAATACCTTCCAAACATGACGACGATTTCCTTGTCCGGATGTTCCTCCACAAGCCGCTGAGCTGACTCGGCGGTGAAGCCTCCCGCAACCAGCAGCGGCCTGTCCCATATGTCGTACGCAAATGTGAGCTTGTCCGAGGCCTCGACGTCGGCGTTCCCTGCGATCCGTGACTCGACGAGATGCAGATACGCAATCGAAGGGCTGAGCTCCTTGATCCGCCGAATCACGTCTGCGAACTGCGGGATCGGCTCGTCCATCCGCATGCCGTTGTATGTGCTCCACGGGCTGAACCGGACTCCTGTCCGCTCCCCCCCAATCGCGTCGCTTACGGCCTTGACAACTTCAACTGCGAATCGGGATCGGTTCTCGATGCTGCCGCCGTACTCGTCCTCCCTCCGATTGCACGTATCCTGGATGAACTGATCGATGAGATATCCGTTCGCTCCGTGCAGCTCGACACCGTCAAACCCGGCTTTGATTGCGTTTTTGGCAGCATTGGCGTAATCCTGAATGGACTGCCGGATCTGCACCTTGCTCAGGGGGACCGGCGCCGGACGCTCAGAATCCACGGGGATGTTGCTTGAACTGACAAAGGTGATGCCCTCATGCGCGGCAACGCTGGTGTCGGCTGTCCGGCCAAGGGCCCATAGTTGACAGAAGATGTAGCTCCCCTTTGCGTGCACTGCATCCGTAACCGTCCGCCAGGCAGCGATCTGATCCTCGTTATAGATCCCGGGGACGTTGGCGTAACCACCGTGGGCTGGCGAGATGAAGGCACCTTCACTAATGATCAGAGTACCTGGAACCGACGCTCGTTGGCCATAGTACTCCCTGACACTTGGTAGGGGGACGTGGTCGTCGGAGGCTCGGAACCGGGTCAGCGGACACATTGCTAGCCGGTGGCTTAGCGTCAGGTTGCCCACCTTCAGGGGCTGGAAGAGGCGAGAGTCGGGCATTGTTGGGACTTTGCTGGAGACACGGAATGAGTGAGATTTACACACCAGGCTCAAATCTCTCTGTAGTCTCGTCGCCTCATCCCCTGCTATCATTATTATACGGGTATGTCTGGACCCACCTCGGCACTATTGACCCTTTTCCCCTCTCATTTTTCCCCCCTCCTCCATTAGCGCTGCGCCAACACTTTTCGTATCCATGAGTCAGCGCCTAGCTGGCCAAGGCTTAAAACCGGAACCCAGGAAAGGAGACGGCCATGACTCATGGAAGCACCATCCCAGCAGCATCCCGCCGAATCGGAAATGGAATCCGAGGATGTCTGGACCTCGCCAGCCCATCGGGGCCAGTGCGCGCTAGCTCACTAGCTAGTCCCCGAACCGTGGAGGTGGAGAATCTGGGGTATTGTGGAGGAAAGCTGGGGAAATATCGAGATGATATCGACGAGGAGACGACAGGGCTTGGTCCTCAAGGTCTGAAGTCAAAAACCATAATAATCATCCCCTCCGGACTTCTACAGAGATCCGAGTGGAAGACGCGATTGCCACCCGACTCCCGAGACATCATCAATTATCAAGTTACCGACCAAGGTCCCGATCGAACCAAGATGTTTGAGAAACAGATTAGAGGCAAGACAATCAGAAGGTTGATGTCTACAACCTGCGCGATTGTAAGTTTGTCCCTCACGTTGTCGTCGGGGCTGGAATTGAGCCAGACATATGACACTAACAGGGTTGTTCTGACAATGGATAGTCATTCTGCATGTACGGCTACGATGCTGGCGTCCTGGGAGGCGTCCAAGAGACAAGGCCATTCCACCAAGCCATGGGTGTACGTTGATCCCCAAGGTGCAAAGGCGAGCTTGGATGCCGCTAACTTCCCTCCAGTACCCGACAGGAACTTACGTCATCCCCATGATCGCGTCCGCATACACGCTCGCGGCCGCTGTTTGGTCGCTCGCGCTCACTGTCATCGGCCTGCCCTTGGGCCGACGTATGTGTATCTTGCTCGGGAACGGATGTGTCATTGTTGGAGGGATTCTCCAGGCTTCAGCCTGGTCGGTGCCCCAAATGATTGTCGGCCGCATTATCTGTGTACGTCCTCATACAACAAATAATGGAGGGAAACCAGACATCATTGGCTAACTCCCTGTTTCCCCCATCGCAGGGCATTGGTATCGGCGTAAGGCAGCTCCACAGTGTCTCTTCTGCACTCTCATGCTTGGACTGACTGACTTTGTCACGCCAATAATGATAGTTCATCTCCTGCTCAGTCCCGACCTATCAAGCCGAGATGAGTACCGAGATCGAGCAACGCGGCCCCGACGTGGCAGTCACCTGCGTCTTTCTCGTCGCCGGCGCCGCCATCGCGTACTGGATCGACTTTGGGTTCAACCGCCTAGACAGTCAGATCTCGTGGGTATGTTTCACGCTCCCAGATCATGCCAGTTGACTACTAGCTTGACTGTGCGCACGAACTTACTGGCTTTGTTCTTATAGCGTATCCCCATTGCGTTCCAGTGTGTCTTTGCCGTCTTCTCCGGGAGCATCATTCTCGTCCTCCCCGATACGCCAAGATGGTACTACGCTAGGGGGTTGGAGAAGCAGGGCGACGAGACGCTCAGCCGCCTCTTTGATGCTCCCGTCGATGATCCCAGGGTGCAGCACATGAAGCAATCGATTCTTGCCAGCATCGAACTCGAGTCAAAAGACACCCACAAATTCGATCTTATGAGTCTTGTCTGGGACCGGAGCGAGTTGCGGGCTGGGCGCCGTATCCGGATTTCATTCCTGATTTTGGCAATCCAACAGATGATGGGTATTGTGACCCCCCAGTTCCCATTCCCCGGCGGGCATTGCCCCGTAGTAAAAGAGTATACCTGCTGACGTGTGGCCCCTACCTCATCACCAGGAATCAACCTCTCTGTCTACTATAGCACCGTTATCTTCTCCCAAATCGGTCTCTCCCAATTTATGTCACAGCTCCTAGCGGCTCTGATGAACACTATGTTTGCCTTGGGGACTGTGCCCCTGGTATTCACCATCGAAAAGGTCGGCCGTCGGAACGTCCTGATGTACTCGGCCGTGGTCCTTACAATCTGCATGGCCATCTTCGTTGCCATGATCGGACTTCCCAACCCAACGACGGCGACACAGTGGGTTGCTGTCGGTGCAATCTTCGTCTACAACACCGTATTTGGATATGGGTGGATTGGCGTGTGCTGGCTATACGGTCCCGAGGTTCGTACTGCCCCTCGAGTGCCTTAACAGGAATCCGTAATTAATCAATTCCCCCCTTCAACAGATTGCGCCCCTTAAGCTGCGTCATGCTGGGGCTGCTGCGGGTGCATTCGGAGAGTGGCTGTTCTCCTTTATCACCGTATTTGCTGGCGGTATTGCTCTGCAAAATGTCGGCTGGAAGATTTGGCTGTGGATGGCACTGTCGTGCTTTGTTGCTATCCCCTTCGTTTACTTCATGTGCCCCGAGGTAAGTTTTACGGCTGGCTTGGCTTCTTCAAGCGAGCGTGGCACTAACACGGTTGCTTCTAGACTACAGGCAAGACACTCGAAGAGATCGACCTCATCTTTGCCACGGAAAGTGTGCGGGAGAGGATTGTGGCAGAGCAGCTTGCTGATCAGCAAATCATCTCTGAGAAAGCCAATGGCAGTACTGACCTTGTCGAATCGGTGTGAGGGTGGAACGACAAGCGCGAAACCGGCAGAGGGTTTCCGGTCTGGGAGCGGACGGGCCTTCGTTCAAAGGTTAGGGGAGTAATTGACCAAAGTCTTGAAGACTGGCTTGATTTCGGCGACTGTTGGTTGGCTTTGTCAGTGCGGTTGCTGCGGAAATTCGGCGCCTCTAATTCTGGTGGGCTGGACTTGTATATCTTCGAGTTACGGTTTCTCTTGGCCATTATTTAATCGTTCTGATAACTCGAAGTGCTCTTGCAAGCCATTTCACCAGATGTGATGTCAAGAGGTCAAGAGGGGATAGATTCGTGGCGACGCGCTGTTGCGGCGGTTCAGCCGTATTATCTGACGTTTCTTACTCGATGCGCTAAACCTGTTGTCATTTAAGGTGACGGCGGGGGTGACCGGTCGGCTGACCCATCGGCTATCGTTAAAGACATTGAGCTCGTAGGCATATACCCCAAGGTCGCAATCTTGGGGCTGCAAAGCGCGAAGTTAAATAGTATAACTGAGTTGCTATCCGCTTCCAAGTTCAACTAATAGTTCATGTTGATTAAGACAGTCTTGGGCTCCGTGTAAGCCCTCAAGGCATGCTCTCCCATCTCCCTCCCCAGGCCGCTCTCCTTTGTCCCTCCAAATGGGCACGAGAAATGGATATGACTTATACAGTTGATCCCCACCACCCCTGAATCAAACCGGGAGCTAACACGCAGTGCCCGGTTGATGTCCTGGGTAAACACGCCGGCCATCAGCCCGTACCGGCTATCGTTTGACCGGCGTACCACGTCTCTCTCCGATTCGAACTTGTTAATGACGGCAACAGGACCAAAGATCTCGTCCTTGTAAATGGGGGCGTCGGGCCGAGTGTTGCAAAACACGGTTGGCTGGATGTAATACCCCTGCGAAAATGAATGAGGACGGTTAGATGATACATCCCCCCAGGGATCGGGGAAATAATATACCTTTTCTGAGTCTAGTGAAGACCCCCCAGCAAGCAAGGTCCCTTCTCTATCATCTTGGGCCGTACAGATGATGTTCATGATCCTGTCGTACTGGGCCTTATCCACGACAGGACCAATTTCGCTATTGGCATCGTCCGGGTTGCCCATCATCTTCATCTTGTTTTTGAACCCCTCGACATATGCTTCGATGAATTTGTCGTAGATCCCAGCCTGAACGTATACCCGCGTCGCGGCGAAGCATATCTGTCCTGAGTTGGTAGTCAGGGCGTTCACCGTCCTGAAAGTTCAATCATGGTCAGTCAGTCTCAGACAATAAATGATATACGCAGAAGGAAGGGCCACGTCAAAAGACAGGAAATAATTACCACTTCACAGCATTTTCCAAATCAGCATCGTCAAAGACCACAGCGGGACTCTTGCCGCCGAGCTCTAGAGTCACTCGCTTCATGTTGCTCTTGGTTGCCATCACCTGGACGGCCTTGCCGGTGGCGATACTGCCAGTGAAGCTGACCTTGGCGACTTGCATGTTCGATGCAAGCAGCGCCCCCGTGGTGCCGTCACCCGTCACAACCTGGAAGACACCAGGTGGGAATCCGGCCTCGATAATCAGCTTGCCCAGGGCAGCTGCGGCTAGGGGCGTCTTCTCACTTGGTTTTAGGATGAAGACATTTCCCGTTGCTAGCGCTGGGGCGGCCTTGAGTCCTACCGAAGCGATCGGACCATTCCAAGGGATAATGCTGTGGTTTATCAGTCAGTCAGTCAGTCTTGGTCAACGTGGACGTCAGTGGACATATCAAGCAAGGCTCACCCTGCAACGACACCTAGAGGTTCGTTCCGGACAATCTTGTAGAAGCCGTCATCAGCTGGGAAGGACTGGCCTGCGTACTTGTCCGTCCAGCCAGCATAATCTGCGCGGGTGGTTAGCTGAGAAGGGGGTAGGATTAAAAAGGAAAGTTCGAAAAAGAAAAACAGAAGAAGAGAAAAGGAAGAACCAGATCAGGAGACTGACAGCGGAAGCATCCAATTGCAGTATCAATCTCAGACTTGCCGAATGGGCGATACGGTGCGCCCAGGGTTAGGCGGGTGAGTTTGGCTAGGTACTCTTGGTTTGCCTCGAGAATATCGGCGAACTTCAGGAGGATCTTCTGCCGGTCCTGGCCTGTCATGCTCTGCCAGGGCGATCCATGCTCACATGCCTTCAAAGCGGCCTTGACCGCGGCATTGATGTCTTCTTGCCCGCCCACAGGGATTTTGTCGCTCACCAGCTCGCGTGTTGCCGGATTGTAGACAGATATGCTGCAAGACAGAGTTATTATTTTCTTCAGGACATCCTGTCAGGCAACCGGGGTCGGTCGGGGCGCGAGGAAACTTGCGTCTTATCGTTTCGACAATCGACATACTAGGTTGCGAGGTGGATTAGCTGCATGCTTGGAGTAGCGACGGGTCGAAGTCGTACCTCATTGTCGATGAAGATCTTTGTGAGATGGGGTTCAAGCTCCATGGTAAGCTGTTTGGTATCTAGTTATGGATGCACGTTGGCGGCTCGGGTTTTGCTGCAGAAGAAAAGGCCCGGCTTTGGGGCCGCATGTTTACATTTGAACCCTGAGCCATCTGCGCCTAGGTATGGCTCCAGTTGGCCTTCCTCTGCTTGCCTATCGATAAACCTGGTTGATCATGTCGCCCGCACAGAAACTCGTCATAATCTCCACTAATTATTGTTGACATGATTGACATGACACATGTCTAGTGCCAGATTTGTATGCGGGGTAAATAGTTTCTACTTGAGGTTGGCGGGCCATGACTCAGTCGAACCCTCTCAATGTTGGGTCCTAAATTACCTCCATGTCATGTCGCTGGCTGAGTGCGGGGCACCGCAGGGTCGGCATCAATCTGGGAACTGGGCGTCGGCCTAGGCCGCACATGATATTCACAACATGGGGCTTCAGATGCCATCGGGCCGCCGAGGTCGCCCGTGGTACATATCTGGACGGTACCTGGATCTCAAGCGCCCGCTCCGTTACCGGGAATGCAAATGGAAACCCGCTTTGGTGGGTCGCCCAAGCACCTTTGCCACGAAAGCATATAGACCCAGGGGACTGGTCTCCTAACGTTCTGGTCACTGTCAAACTTCTTGAAAACTTGTTGAAATCATGGGCTGCAACTCCACGCCAGTCGTTCGCATCGCATCAGCCTCTGGGTCCGTGACCGACAGACGCCATGCATTTGCCGAACTTGCAAAGACAGAAGACGTGCAATTCATCGTCGGTGATTGGCTCTCTGAGTACAACATGACTACCAGAGGAGGGTCAAAAGTCAGCGATCCGACCGCGTCCTCGGAATTCGAACCTTCCTTCCTAGAAGCTATCGAACCCGCGTTGCCGTATCTGGAGCAGCGTGCAATCAAGGTGGCCGTCAATGCCGGTGCAAGTGACACGCAGAAGCTGCACGAGAAGTTGACGAGCATCATCAAACAAAAAGGGCTGAATTTGACCGTCGCCTGGATCGAGGGCGACGAAGTCCTGGATTCTGTACAGCATTCGCTTCGATCTGGAGAGAAGTTTAGAAGCCTGACAACTGGTGAGAGACACGACAACCGCTCGTGCCTCTAGAGGGAGATACCAAAAGGAGACACTAACGGGTTTCAGGGGAGGATTTCTCAAGCTGGGGCCTCGAGCCAATATATGCCCAGTGCTATCTGGGCGGTTGGGGAATCGTCGAAGCTTTCAATCAGGGCGCAGACATTGTCCTTTGCGGACGTGTGGCAGATGCATCTCCGACCATCGCCTGCGCAGCGTACCATCATGGGTGGGGCAGGCAAGACTATCCGCAACTCGCTCATGCCTTTGTCGCCGGGCACTTCATCGAGTGTTCCACCTACGTAACCGGCGGCAACTTCTCTGGCTTCAAGAGCCTTCCAGGCCTGTCTCTAGATATCGGATTTCCCATCGCAGAGATCGGAGCGAATGGTGAGTTCTACATCACCAAACAGGGTGGGAAGGACGGCATTGTCACGGTCGATACATGCAAAGCACAGCTGCTTTACGAGATCCAAGGCCCCTACTACTACAATTCAGACGTTGTCGCCGTGCTTGACAGCATCGAGATGGTCCAAGTTGGCGAGAACCGCGTGTGAGTAATCATCCACCCGTTGTCCGGCCCGCTGTTAGGGGTGTCCGAGCTAACCACTGTCCGTCTTCGTACTCAAGCCACGTTTCCGGCGTCGGAAGCATCAAGCCTCCTCCGACCACAAAGGTTGGAATCACGGCTCGAGGTGGCTACCAGGCTGAGGCCCACTATTTCCTCTGTGGCCTCGACATAGAGGAGAAAGCCGCCTTGCTGGAGCGGCAGATCCGCCACTTGTTGGATGAGTCCAGATACCATTGCCTCAAGTTCCGCGTTAACGGACGGTGCCCGGACAACCCATCAAGCCAGGACGCGGCAACAGTTGATTTCCGAATATTCGCCCAGTCGCGGGACGAGTCAGCTCTGGCAGTTGAGGCTTTCCTGAGGCCTATCACAGACGTCATAATGCAGAGCTATCCGGGGGCGACCTTCGGCGTAGATGCCCGCCAGGCTGTTCCCAAGCCCTATTACGAGTACTGGGTGAGCTTGATTCCCCAAAGCTTTGCGAAACATGTCTGCCATGTTCCGCATATGGGCCTGCATGTATCCATCGAACCTCCAACAGACACAGCCGACTTCCTCCACTCACAGCCAACATATGAGACAAGGAACCCGGTCGACCTCGCCAAACTCGGGCCCACCACGAAGGCGCCGCTGGGCTACATCACTCATGCCCGGTCTGGCGACAAGGGCTCTGATGCCAATGTCGGCTTTTTCGTCCGAAGCGCTGACGAGTGGGACTGGCTGCGCTCGGTCTTGACCGTCGACAAAATCCGCGAGCTCCTTGGCGAGGACGATACTGGGAAACCCATTTTCCGCTTCGAGCTCCCTCGCCTTTGGGGTAAGTTCTCTTCGAACCTGGTCCGGGATCCCGGGTATTAGACTGGCTCACTCACTAACCTGCTTTCTGTGTGAATTATTGTAGCGGTTCATTTCCTCCTGAAGGACCATCTCGATCGCGGAGTGGCATCCAGCTCGACTTACGATGTGCTTGGCAAGAATCTAGCCGAGTACTTGAGGTGCAGACATGTTGACATACCGGATCGATTTTTGGAGCGCGGGAAAATCTAACTGTTGACGGTTTGGCGGACCATTTGATCTCAGAATTGTATCTATTCCGTACAATGCGAAAGTACACTAATTACCAGCAACCTATTGGTATTTCATGGCTTGAGGGTCTAATTAGTGTTTGATGTCACTGCGGCGTGCGGGGTAGAATACAGTGTTGAACCTGATTGGCTAAAAGGTTCAAGCTAAGAGAGGAACTTAAGTTTGCCCCGCCGTGCAGCTGACATACCTAGGTAATTACCCTGGGCTTCCTCCTGTCACGACTTCATTTGTGATCGCTTTGCAGCCGGGACAGACAGGGTGGGATCCCAACTCTCCCTTATATGTGGGGTACTTATTTATTAGCAGGATGTCGGACGCTGAGAACTCGAGGAACAACGCCGCCACCGCACGGGCCAGGAAATCCCGCGCAGTGTCCGACCTCAGCCTGCAGCAGATCGAGCACAAGCGGGACTTGGACCGCAGGGCGCAGCGCGCACTGCGTCAGCGCACAAAGGGACGCATCCAGGAGCTCGAGGAGGCCCTATCCCAGGCGCAAACGGCACGAGCCGCCCATGACCACTCCCTCGAGACTGAGTTGCGGCGCCTGCGCGAAGAGAATCATCATCTTAAGGCTCGGCTCAACAGCATCGCTCGTTATGCCCGGCACGGGGCCTGTGGAGGGACAGATGTCGGTGCGGATATTGACATTGAGATCGGGATCTCGGCTGGAGAAATGATTCGTCGACGCAGTCCGGCTGCAGCCACCCCCTCTCCTCTCGAAGTCCATCTGTCGACCGAGGAACAGAGGGGGGAGAGGCAACGGGGTGCCGTCCAGAGAGATACAACACTTCGGCAGGCACCAGAGCCTAATTTGACGGATACCATGATCTCCCAAGGCAGGATCTCACGAGAACCGTCAATATCAACATCAACCCAAGGTGAACTCCCTCAACCTGCGCACGCGGAAGATTTCCGCGACGGGCAGGAGAGGGTCCGTCGCTACGACCCCATCACAGACTCGTACCCATTAGGCCAGCCCAGCGACCCGGGATACTCGACGGTAAACCATGTCTCACCCCCCGACAATTCCGCTCAACCGTCATCCGTCAGCACAGGCTATCACCACCTTATCGCTTCTCCCGGCGATGCTGGCTCTTTCGGGTACCAGTCACAAGTCAGCACCACACCACATCCTGGCGAAATTCCCAGGCCCTCGGTCCCTTCAGCGCAATCGCAGTCACCGGCTCTAACTTCCGGGGGCTCCGAAAGAATCCCATCTCCAACCCCAAGTTCCCAAGTTAGCCGGATGAGCTCGATATCCTCTGTTCTGCCCAAACACACAGCGTCGACCTGTCCCTTGGACCATATCCTGCTCGACTTCCTGGCTGCGCGGCGAGCGATGCAAAAAGCCGGAACCGCGGCAGAGATACTTGCGGGCCCCGAGAGAGTCTCAGTTCAAGCGATGCTTCGACCGGAACAAGCTTCAGCCGTGCATCCTGTTAGTCGGGTAATGGCCGAGGTTCTACTGACATTCTCACACGTCAGCCTACCAGAGAAAGTTGCCTTCATGTATCTTATGCATTGCACAATGCGGGTGAGTCTGCACGTCGGAGCGACACAAGCGCACCCAGTCCTGACATAAAAATACCCCCCACACATCAGTGGCAGATATCGCCCACAAAAGAGTCGTACGCTCTCTTGCCACAATGGCTTCGTCCTACTGCCGCGCAGATTGCAGTGCCTCATGCGGCCTGGATTGATAATATTCCCTGGTTAGTCACTCTCCCCCCCATTTAACACCCCCCGCCGCGGCACTAGAAACATCAGCTCAAAGACTCGACCAGGCCGCGCGTTCGAGATATGTTGATTGAATATCCAGAAAAGTATCCTTTTGAAGCCTTCTCCAGTGTTTACTCGCAGTCAGTCACGGTCAACTGGCCGTATGACACCAGCGATGTTGTTTCTCAGGTCGGGGACGAGACTTTGCTGAACCTCATCTTCGAGAAGCATGTGCGGATGCTCAGCAACTGGACCGTTGGCCCTCATTTCCGCGAGTTTTACCCCGAAATGGTGGACCATGTATATCGTCGGGATTAAGGAGCAGTTTGGGTCTGTCAGAGTTGTTGCGCATTTTGGATTGGCGTTGATGCAGAAGAGGTAGTAGTGGTGTAGGTTATTGAGTCCAGTTCAACCTTCAACCTTCAACGTTGTTCATGGGGAACGGAACGGAGTCCGGACATTGGGGGGGAAGGAGAAGCGGATGCGGAGCTGGGTCCAAGATGTTTTCAAATATCTTAAGATAGCCACAATATCATTGCCCTTGCGCCATGCAACCGACCAGTGCATGTTCCCAGAAGGTCAAGTCAGCACTGGTAGTTTTGCGCTCAATGCCAACCAACCAGGTAAGGAAGGTGTTTGCGGGGGTCTTATTCCTCCGTATTACACCTATGTATGGCATCTCCTTACGTCCACCTGATGAAAGGCGGGGAACCCCAGGAAGCGAGACCTATAACCTCTGCAACAACCCTTTGATTATCTCCAAGTTTCTTCTTCTACAACCGCACCATGGGCCAAGAAGCGACACCAACACGGCAGCCCTATACGGGCTCGTGCCATTGCGGCGCAGTCAAATACATCCTCTATCTCACGCTGCCGCACGACCCGCCGCCCGCATCGCAGCGAAGGAATCCGGACGGCAGCATGCGGCAGATCTTCTACCGCTGCAACTGCACCACCTGCCACAAGGCGGGCCTGCTGCACATCCGCCTGCCCCACCCGCCGGACGACTTCCTTCTCCTAGCGCCCCTAGACCCGCTGGGGGAGCTGGGCGACTACCAGTGCTTCCGGAAAGCCGCGCACTTCTTGTTCTGCAAGACCTGCGGCGTGCGCTGCTTCACGATCGTGGGAGAAGGAGAGCTGGTGGAGAAGGTGGTGGGGGAGTCGGGCGAGAAGAGGACGGTCTGGTGTCCCAAGAAGGGCTGGGTGGAGAGTCCGACGAATTACTTCAGCGTCAACGGCTACACTCTGGACGCTGGGCAGGAGGGGCTTGATCTGAGGGACTGGACGGAGAAGAAATGGCTCATGTACGCTGACTGCTTGCAGGACAGACCGCCTGAGCTGAGCTGGACATATGACAGGCCATTTCCGGGCGGTGCCTACTGATGATATCAGGGATATCTCTTGGTATAGGAAATCTGGTTAACTGCCTAGTCTGATATGAGCTCGTTGAAAAGTGCACGATGCAATGCAGACAAATTCGGGCCCGAGGACCGGGCTTACTAAAGGGCCTCAAACAACTATCATGGCCCCCCGTTAGGATCCAGGACATCGACGGACACGATGATTGCTTGGTATGCTTTGCCCAGAAAATCATGGAGCTTTCTCCTTTGCCAAGTCCAGTCGAGTGGAATGTAAGTAGATAACCGTTAACGGAGGAGTGGGGATCAAGTTTGATGACGGCTGGGTAGTCGATTATGAACGCCAGCAAGGAGGATCGTCGGCGTTGAGGGGCTCGCCTGGTAAGGCCCACGCCAAGGAGCGCCGTGGCACACAAGGTGCATAAACAGATAGTGGCATTGCTTGATTCGACATATTTTGAGGGGGGCTCGTGGGGAACACGTTGACAATCTCTTCAGTGGATAATTTTTTTGCCGCGGGGCAAGACGTGGGCGGGGAGCGGGGACTGTGTCCGCCCAGTGCGGACTCACACCCACCCATGGCTGTTAGCGGTTGGGATTGAACCTCGGCACGAGGCTATGACGAAAGACCTTCAACTTCTCCAATTCCGCCATAATGTTCGGATACTACTGAGTATGTAGTATCGAATTGCGGGAATCGATGCGGAGAATTGGGATTCCCCAGCTTCTCCACTCCTCCACCTTCCCCACGTTTTCCTACTGGTTTACACTCTCCGTCTAATGACTCTCCGAGATGCGTTCAATGAATCAGCGAGGAATTAGTGCGTCCTACTCCTCATCTTCATATTAACCCAGCTCCCAGCTCCCAGCTCCGAACTTCCAGCTTCAGTTCCTTCCTAACCAACATCACCTTTTGCCCACCCACGTCAATTCACCAAGACAACAACCGCCCGTGTCTCATCCTCAAGTAATTAATAACCCAATATTTGATGGCTCCGGGACAGATCGACTCCTTCGGGGACCTTGACCCCTGGGCCGAGCCCGCCTGGTACAACACCCTCGACTCGCCGTACTACGATGACAGCCATCGGGCATTACGGAAGTACGTGCGCGACTACATCGAAGAGCATGTGCTGCCGTTCTCGGAAGATTGGGAAAAGCAAGGCTTCGTCCCCACCGAGGTATGCACTTGGGTCGCCCTGTACGTTAGATCTTGGGCAGTGTCTAACAGATGGCGATGCTTGGAATATAATAGGATGCCATAAAGTACGCGAGAGCTGGTCTCGCGTTTCAGGAAATACCGAGGGAGTACAGGCAGGGGATTAGCCTCCCGGCAGGCATCCCGGACGATCGTGAGTTTTGTCTTCCTTCTTCAACCCCGCCCTGAATTATATCTCGCACCCCTTCAGTCGACGGTCAATTCTAACAAATCTCCAGAATGGGATGTCTTCCACACCATGATTCTACACGACGAGACTTCGAAGGTACAATCCGGGGCCTTGTCCGGCCTCTCCGGAAGTTCGGTGATCGGCGCGCCTCCGGTCGTGAAGTTCGGCACGCCGGAGCAGAAGAACAGGTGGCTTCCCGGGATCTTCACCGGCGAGATCAGATTCTGTCTCGGCGCAACCGAGCCCACGGGCGGGTCGGACCTGGCCAATCTGAAGACGACGGCGAAGAAATCGGCGGATGGTCGATTCTATATTGTCAACGGACACAAGGTGCGTCTCTCAGCGGTTGCCCCCCTGATTTGTGTGAGCTTGGCATTGACTAGGGAGCAGAAATGGATCACGGGTGCGATGACCGCAACGCACATGACGGCACCAGTGAGAACTGGAGGGCCGGGTGCGGCGGGAATATCTGCCCTGGTCATTCCGACCAATCTACCGGGGTTCTCTGCGAGGAAAATAGATAACAGTGGGCTCAACGCTGGCGGTAAGCAAGGCTGGGATACTTGCGAAAATCTGATAAACGTTGCACAATTCTGACAGCGGCATATTTAGCAAGCGCTTGGGTGGATCTGGAGGACGTCCACGTCCCGGTTGAGAACCTCCTGGGTGTCGAGAATGAAGGCTTCAAGATATTCATGGGCAGTGAGTCCCCCCCCCCCCCCCCGGGTCGATCCCAATGAGCGTTTCCATCTGACCAACCCCCTCCACAGATTTCAATAAGGAACGCCTCATCATGGCCGTAAATATGAACCGCAAGGCACGCCAGAGCCTGTCCGTGGCCCTGAACTACGCGCACGTCCGCTACACCTTCGGCAAGCCCCTCATGTCGCATCAGATCATCCGGCACAAGTTCGTCACCATGGCCCGCTACATCGAGTCGCACTGGGCCTGGCTCGAGCAGATCGCCTACCACATCAAGCGCAACGGTTGGGAGGGCAACACGGTGGCGAGCCGGATCGCCCTGGCCAAGATCCACGGCGGGAGGCTCCTGGAGCTGGCGAACAGGGAGGCCCAGCAGGTCCTCGGCGGGGCGGGATATCAGCGCGGCGGCATCGGGGGTACCGTGGAGCAGATCAGCAGGGATCTTCGCATGCTCGTCGTCGGCGGGGGGAGTGAGGAGATCCTGACGGATCTGGCCATGAGGCAGGAGCTGTCTGCTGGGAAGAAGAGGGGGTCTATGCTTTGATAGCGAGTTTCTAGCGTGTAGTTAATATTGTCAATGGTTTAATTTAAACGAGGTTGTAGACATCCGGCTAGTTGAATCCTGGCTGGCGAGTGGAGGGTCCCTGGATGAGTATTGAACTGTCTTGTCCTGGCAAGAGCCACGGTAGACAAGCTGCCGCGGCAGACCCCTGGTGCCCGATCTCGATGACCTTGGCAACGTAGAGGCAGGCTTGTGTCCGGATGGATCCGTGTCTATGCCAAGGCGCCAAGTTTCCACTTCGATTCGCACCCAGCCTCTGATACTTCGTATTCGGACGTTTCTCGTACTAACTGAGTGGGAACCGCCTCCGCTCGTCTGGGGAATGACGAAGAGGGCCGAGATGAGTTACCCTGGTTTGGTTTGCTCGTTCCAGACGTGCCTCATCACCGCTATTGCGAATTATTTTGAATTGTCCCCAATACTCGCCCGTATCTGTTCCAACTCCGACGATGTTCTCACGGGCTCGTCCTGGAGACTCATATGCGTGTAAAGCATTTTTGCTGCCACCGGGTCCGACGTAGAACTTGGATTGGCGGCTAGAATCATTACTGGTGGATAAGGCCAAAGGAGGAAGCTAATTACACCATGAGGACTACCGAACCTGCCATGGCTATCTTAGCTGAGGCTTAGGAACATGTTCTAGACTACGGCACCTTGTCAAAGTGGACCTGAAATCATCGACGTATCTGATTTGTCAATTGATCTTCCCTGGCGAGGAGAACCCGAGATCCTCGCACATGAGCGAGCATATTCGCAAACCGGCGGACGCGTCATGGTCGATGACACATGTAGACCCCAGCAATGCTGCATACATAAACAAGGTGACCGCTCGTTTCCATAAAGTTTCCAACATTGGACTCGACTCCAGATCCATCCCGACATTGGCAAAAACGATGGGTTTATTCGAGACACGGTTGAAACTGGGGATACACATCGCCCAGATAGTGATAATTATGCTGGCTATTATCCTCTGTGGTGTGCACCTCAGTACGTTGACCAGGCGAACGAGAGCAGGTCGGATACAATCGCCATTGTCATGGTAAGTACACAGTCGGTCATATACCTTTCGAGTCGACAACACTGACAAAAAGAACAATGCAGGGCATCAAGTCGCTCGTCGTCATCTCCTACCAGCTCCTGACCGAATAGGTCGATCGACTGCAAAAATGGGCCAGCCTGAAGGCGAACACGATCCTGAACTCCTTCGAGGCAGTCTTCTGCCTTGTTGTCCTCATTCTCGCGATTCAGGGGAACATGCGCATATGCCACGGCACTAGCTGTGCTCTCAGCTGGCTGCTGGCTGTGGCTGCTCTGTCGCTCATGTACGTTGCTTTGCATCTTTGGGCTGGACCGTCAAACTGACAAGCAAATTTCACGCAGCCTTCTCGCTGCCTGGACGGCTGTTATCTCTTCCGTAGACTTCCGCTATTACCGAGCACATCGAGTGCCTCGCGGTGCTAAGTTTCCGCTGAACGATTATTAAGAGTTGGGGCGACTACACTGGGAGGGGGCGGAGCTGGTACTTCCATAAAGGAAATCGTAGAGATGTCCCCAAATATGCGTCCCTTCGGTTACAAAGGACTGGTAGTGCACATGGGATAGGGGGTGACATTTCGACGTCGTGGAGTTCTCGTGCTTTTCACATTCGTAACATCTGGGGAGCATCTGGGTTCTTTAGGAATTAGTGCTTTGAGAACCATCGCCGCCTCCTCCCCAGCCTCATCCCTTTCGATATTTGTGGTTTATCCTCCTCGTTGCTTGATAGAGGCATAGACATAAGCCTCTCTGCCCGTTTCATTGAGGGAACGGTCCTGCAACGGTTCGATCTCGATATCCACCATGTAGAACTTGACCGAGTCTTGCACTCGTGGCTCCATATCTACTCGAACCCGATTGTAATACATGTTAATGTCTTTCCCGGGAATGGTTGGGGTAAGGAAAGCCGCTGGGCTTCGATACTTGACAGTGGCACCACGCCAGTGTGGCCTCGGGCCTGTCCGTGTTGTCCCGATGTTACGAGTAGCTCCTTCGCCGTACCGAGCATCACGAGCACCCGCTCTCCGTCGTACCGCTGAAGCACAATCCCACTGGCCAGCTCTCTCGCCCCCTTTCTGACCCTCAGGTTCATGGGGCCCCCATCCGGTACCCACGGACGGGGGCTCACCGTGGACGTGATTGTCGGCGCGCCCTAGCCATCGCCACGACCATGTACGTGCTTGCCATCGGGCCGCGGCGCAGCTGAAAATAGTGCGAAGGGACGGCGCCCTCGGGCTGGCGAGCTGTCCGTGGGGTGCGTCGTCGGCCGATTGCTCGTCAACCCAGGGCAAACAGACAGGGACTACTCGTCGGACTGCCTCACGATCTCCTTCTGAACTGGTTGACAACGCCCTATAAATAACATCTAGCTAACCTAATGTTAATACCCTTGACTTTTGAACTTCACTTTTTCGTCTTGTCATCTCCTCCTTATCGTGCCCCTTCCCCCTCTCTCTGCGTGCAACTTGATGATTCGCACCGGCTCTTCCTCACCCTCGTCGTGGCCCTGGCAGGCTGGACAATCGGGACACCTCGGTTGTCTCGATTCGAACTGGAAGAGAGACGCAAGGTGCCACTTCTTCAATCGCTCGTTCCTCCGCTCGGTCCTCTCGGCCCTCTGCCTGCAATCCTCGCACTGCTTCCGTCTTCTCCTGGGAATCATTCCGCCGATGGGGTGAGAGACACTGACGTAGGCGTTGGGCGTCAGTTCGTAGAAGACGACGCAGTGGCGGGTGTACACGCTGCCATGGTCGCTGCAGCAGGAAGGGCAGTGGTCCAGAGCAGCGGTGCACATGGAGTCAAGTCTAGCCCGTGAACATCCGTCAGCAGAGAAGACCTGGTCGGATATGATGGTCGCTGACCGTTGACTTTCGCCCAAAGAGCCGGATGAGGAAACTATTGCTTGTTGTCTGGCTTAGTTTGCAGGAAGCAAATGCCGAGGGCAAAGCGGAGAGGAGTAGAGCGGACGAGGTTGGGGGAGCAATGGGGGGGAATGTCCATAGCGTGACGACAGCTTTTATGCTATTGGTGAAGGGCAGCCTCATGTCATTGGCGAAGACAGCTTCGTGCTCATTGGTGTAATGGGATGGCCGAGTGTGTGGAAAATGTGGCTGGGGATCGGCGGGATGAGGACGGGGATGACTGGTGTTGCGGACGCGGTGTCGAGTTGGCCTCGCGGAGCCTCACCTCGTCTCTCGGCATGGTCGACATGGTCGACATGGTCATTGAGGGCTTGGACTGCAGCGACCATTATGGCTTCGGGTTCACGAAGGTGGTCTGATGGAGGTGGAGCTTTTGTCCTCAGCGCCCCGCAGCTAAAGCTCGCACTACACAGAGAGACCTCTGTCAATGATTCGAATTCGATATGATGGACGTGACAGGCGAACCGAGAAGCGTGTCCTGATGACCGATTCCAACCAACGCCGAGTCCTTCCACCGCATCCAGGACAGGTCTGTTCTGCCCTTGTCCTCGACTCTTCTTCAGTGTCGGAGTTTAGCTAGATCGAACGGACTAGCTTGTTGGGATTTTTCCAGGCTCCTCTCTCTCTCATTGTCTCTTCTTCATTGCCTGGCTGCGTGCTCTTTGGGAGATAAACCGACCAATTTTGCGATTAGTTTTACGAGATTGCCTCGAATCGCCCAGTGTAACGCAGTGTCCCCCGCCTCGTTCTTCGCGTCGATGTTGACCCCGATTTCTAAGACCAGCTCGACAAGCTTTCCCCGCTCGTCTCTAATGGCAGAGGGCGAAATCGTGCTTCCAATATCCTCCTTGATCATCGAGCTGCCCCCCTCTCCGATAGGATGAGAGCGACCTCCTCCTGTCTAGCCGAAACTGCCGTCTGTAGCGCTGCCTCGCCGTCTAGATTCTTTGCTCCGATGTCCGCTCCGTCGTCCAAGAGTAGTTTCACTGCCGCCGCGTCCCCTCGGTAAGCGTTATGTGTACCGGTCTGTCGCCCAACTTATTTTCTCGTTCAATATCGGCACCGCGGTGCAAGAGTTCCTGTGTCGCAGCTACTCCGCTGGGAATAGCGACATAAAGCGACTGTGTTGCCGCCAGTTGACTCATCACAATTGCAAGCCCGGAGGGACGCATCAATGCTGCTGGCCTTGAGAAGGCGCATGGTTGAATATCGAATACGAGGAGGTGTTACCCGGCTGAATCTCTTTCGCCCCCAGCGGCTGTGCCGCACAACTGCAGAGTCATCCCCGCTCTTGCAAGATTGTGACACTTATATCCGCAGTGTTATGTCCACGGACATGCCGAGTGGGAGGAGCCACACGGGGTAACCGCAACAACGCTAGCATATGGGCTGAGTCGCTACGCCTTGCATTAAAGTGTGGGACTGTTGGATTCACTATAGGGTAACTCATCCTTTCGACCTCCCGGAATTGGTCATGTTACAAAGCAGAAAGGAGCCTCGTTGCCTAATTAGAATCCGAAGGGCAGAAATTAGCCGAGATAATGCCAAGTGTAGGAGTGACTCGCACTGGAACTTTAAAAAGGTAGTCAATCGGAGGCAAAATGGCGGATCATGCTGGTTGCATCGTCTAGGATATTGTAGGAGAAACTCAAGATCTCTAGTTCAATCATTCAAACCAGCCGCTTTGACAGGATGCAAACATCAGGCACTACGGAGGTGGCTACGGAGGTGGCTACGGCCCAAACCCAAAACCCTGCGACACAACCGGAGCCGCCCTGCAATGTGATCGCTAGCACAGCAAGTTCGCAGGGTGCCGAGTTGGGCCCTGTTGAGAAACCCTTGCCGGCGGACTCAACACTGGGAGGGTGAGTGCCTGCTCGAGACATCCCCGTCCCAGCCCTTCTCTCTTATTGACATTTCGCAGAGACATCACCAATGGCCAGACGGGGTACATACAACAACCGGAGATGGCACATTCAGCCAGGGCCCAACCCCAATTCGGGACGCTTCCCCAGGCCCAGCAAGTCACGCCGCTGAAGAGTCTCAGGGAGGCTCCGGCGTGGATTGATTGCCCGTTCTGTGAGAAGCGGACTTTGACAAAAGTCACACAGGAGGATTCTTCGGCTACATGGTAGGCCTAACCTAGCATTGGCTGCCTGCCTCCATGCCCAACATCGAGAGCTGACATGTCTTTACCATCAATAGCCTTGCGTCGCTGCTCTGCTGCCTCGTTTGTGTTTGCCTTGTCTGCGTGCCTTCCATGACAGGCATGTGTGCAAACCATGTCCACAATTGTTCCAACTGCCACAATCGGGTGGCTCTTAGATCTCACGACGGATTTGTGCAGACTTTTGGCCCAACCAGTGCTACTGGGACTGTTCCCTCAAAGTACTCGAGTCCATCCAAGGCCATTTAGTTTTACTTTTCTTTCTTATATTTGGTGACAGGTTCACGGCTGATGTCCTGGTAATAAGTGTGGATAACGCAGAAGGGGGAAGGGCCGGGAAGGGGTTGGGGGGGTTTCGGGGGGGGTGGGGGGGGAGGGCGCAGAGAAACCGGAGGGCCATAATAACGGCTTTTCACATGATCCCCTGAGTAGTTTGCATTTGTCTAATGGTTAGGGAAATTTACTCCAAGCCAGGTACAAACTTAATAGGGACAATTCGACATAACGCTAGCGAGGTCTAAGGACCTTTACCCGCTCCTCCAACCGAAACAACTCCAAGATCACACTCCAGTAGAAGTCAGACAAACCATCGCCGATTGTCTCGACTACCGCGTTCCCGATCCCCAAACAACGCAAAGCGATACCTCGATACCACTCTCCCACCCAACAAACCAGATCAGTTAACGTCTTCTCGATAATTTCGTTCTCAGTCCCTCCGCCGAGTGCGCCCCGTATCGTAGCGGACTAGCAGCCGCAATCTTGGCTATCGGTTTCCAGAAACCAATCTCGGCAAGCAGAAGCCCCAGTAAGTAGATCTCGCACTTGGTGGCATATTTTGGCCTCTGGTGAGCGGCACACGAAGTTGCGGATTTAGGTGTGACTCAGGCAGCCAAGACCCGGTGGCAACTTATACTAACCATGAATCCTAGGAGAGTTCCCTTCAACCTGGTACCCATTTGCATCTTCTTAAACTAGCAACCATACTCAAGTCTACGATTTAATTAGAATTTGACAACCTTCTCTCCATCAAAACCCTCTTCTTGCTGGAAATAGTAGCCTCTCCGGTTTGCGGCCACTCTCAGGGGCATTGGCGAGTCTTCCAGCATCATTTCTCGGTGAGTTGCTGCGCCGGCGTAGCTAGTGTCACCAAGAAAAGCAAGATATGGCGCCTTGGGGTTGATCTCGAGCAAGTCGTATGCATTTGGAACTTCGAGAAGCAACTCTAAGAGGATTTAGACGACAGCCATGTTCGACTGAGCTTTGGGAGCCCAGGTTGTTTGAGCTGTGATAATGTGGGCATTTGATGATGTCGTTTCAGTCGTCATTACTGTTAACAAGTCAATATTACTTTTACAAAGTCGGGTTGCTGTTGAGAAGTCGAGGTTGCTGTTCCATAGTCGGGTTGCTGTTACGAAGTCGGGGTTGCTGTTGCAAAGTCAATTTCGCTTTTGAACTCGCTGTTGCAAAGTCGCGGTTGCTGTTGCAATTTTTGTCTCTGTTGCAATTTCTCATCTCTCCATCATTAATAGGGTCCAATTAGGACCGAGTTTTTCACATGCAACCAAATCCACCCCTCGGGGTGTGTTCGAATAATGCGCCAGTGGTTTAGTGGTAAAATCTGTCGTTGCCATCGACAGGCCCCGCGTTCGATTCGCGGCTGGCGCAATTCATTTTTTTGCTTTCTCGTTACTTCGATCAACCTAGAGCTGCTTATTTTGCCCTCCCTTTCTTCTTCTTCTTCTTCTCCTTCTCCTTCTTCTTCTTGCAGAGTTCTTATGCAGGCCCAATTTTTGCGTGTAACTGCTGCTGTCTGGGGGATTGCGTGAACCAATCATGACGTTTGCCTACCTACTTTCACCCCTCCCTTCTCGTGTCTTGAGAAACCCGACATCCCAATTTGCTCCCGCATCTTGGCATTGCCAGGGGATCATCCAGCATGACATCCAGCGGCGAAGCGGCGCTTGCGTACCACGAGCCGTCCATTGTTGTCATCCTCGTCCAGTCGTCTTTTCTGCTATTCCTAAATGTTCTCAATTGGGCACTCGATTCCCTTCTCTATTGCGGCCTCATTGGCCAGATCCTTGTTGGCATCGCGTGGGGCACACCAGGAGCACAAATACTCTCGATTGAGGCGGAGCATGCTGTGGTCCAGCTCGGGTATCTCGGCTTGATTCTCCTCGTCTTTGAAGGTTTCATCCCATTCAAGCGTCTATTAATGTCATTATGGCAAGCTCACGCCTCATTTGCAGCGGGGCTTTTGATCAACTTTCAGTCTCTGAAGGCCAATATAGCGCTCTCGATTGTTGTCGCAATAACAGGCATCTGCGCTCCAATCGCCCTATCCTTCACCTTAGCCCCCCTGCTCGGCGCCTCAAACCTCCAATGCTTCGCCGCCGGGGCCGCGCTTTGCTCCACCAGTTTGGGCACCACGTTTGCTGTTCTACGTGCGAGTGGGCTGACCTCCACGCGCCTCGGCGTCGTCCTTACCAGCGCTGCCATGCTGGATGACGTGGTGGGGTTGGTCATGGTGCAGGTTATCTCCAATCTGGGCGGAGTTGGAACATCAGTGTCCGCCGTCACAGTTGTGCGCCCTGTCTTGGTGTCTGTTGCCTTTGTCGTCGTCGCCGTGGTTCTCTGCCGGTTCCTCGTCAGGCCGGTGACTGTCGTTCTGAATAACTGGCGGATGACCCATGGTGGCTGGGGGCTGGATGGGCTGCTTCGTCGGAGAGAAACAGCGCTCACTCTACATACGGCCTTGTTGATCGCGTTGGTGGCGGGGTCAAGCTATGCGGGGACATCGAATCTCTTCGCCTCCTACATCGCTGGCGCGGTCATCAGCTGGTGGGACTCGGAGGTTCCTCATCCTGAATATCCCCCTACGCAGAGCGGGGGTGTCGGTGGAAAACGTGCTGCTCAAACCAACCCAGTAGCGAGGCACCCCAATGAGGACGGCACGACACCGGCGCCGACATCAGTATCGGACCACATCCCCAAGACGACGGCGAGCCCATCCACGCTCGGCTCAGATATCTTTGAGCATTACTACCACCCGGCGGTGAAGTGGGTATTGCAGCCATTCTTCTTCGCCTCGATTGGATTTTCAATCCCGATTACTAGCATGTTCTCGGGTCCAACCGTTTGGAAAGGCGTCGTTTACGCCGCCTTGATGGTGATAGCTAAACTTTTCTGCGGTCTCTGGCTGGTCCGGTTTCCCAGCGCCATAGCATCGTCCAAGAGCAAGATAAAGAGCCATGCGATAGACGGGTCCAAATCATCTCACGCGTCCTCCACGCCGGGCCAGGGACCAGGTCCGGCAATATCCGGCAGTGGGTCCGAATTCTCGAGGACACGACCGGGAGCCCCTCCCCCCAATGTCGCCACCAATGCCGAAACCATCGTTGACGAGATCGCACAGCCGACTGGCGCACCAACGGCGACATCGGCTGAGACACCCTCGTCCAGAAAAGAGGCACGAAACACCGCCCCTAACCCGCCCAAACCCCGGTCACTTTACCCAGCCTCCATCCTCGGTCTGGCCATGGTGCCCCGCGGAGAGATTGGGTTCTTGATCTCGGCTGTTGCGCAGAGCAACGGCGTCTTTGGCGGCGGCCGGGATTCGAGCGAGTCGGAGATCTCCTCGTCGCGACGTGGGCGATAGTCCTCTGTACGATCGTCGGTCCGGTGTGCGTCGGCTTGATGGTTCGCCGGGTGAAGAACCTGGAGAACAAGGCCGTGTGGTCGGCCCGGAGTGGAGGGGATGCGTCATGGAGGGATGTTTTGGGTGTCTGGGGTGTCCAGTAATGGGTTATGCCCCACAAAGCCTCTGATATTGCCGTCTCAACGTTGAACTCTCCTCGGCGTGCATTGTTTGTTGAACCTGGTGGAATATCTGCATCAACACCAGCCATCTTGCAGGGTTGATGGCTGACACGGCCTACATTGAATCTCACCAGCGTCTTCCAAGGACGCTGGAAACTGCAGGCTAATTAGGCCACATCTAAGAGGACAAAGAAAAACAACCGTGCCTTTTATTATACAAAAAATATGGACGAGAATAAAGGGCAAATAATACCTAAAACGAACAAAATGAAAAAAAAAAAGTACAACACTAGGGGTTCGTTAGTCGTCACCTACCCAACTACTGATTCGGCCCTCAAAAGGATTATCTGGTTGGATCAGAGGAGCCCAAATGCTGGTGTTTTTGTGTGCATGAAATGGCGCATAGATTGTTTGGGTTGTCGAGGAAACCCTGAAAAACGTTTGCGTATGTTGGTGGCATTCTGAAGTCACGAAAGGAAGTGAGTCATAACAGGCTAGTCAACTTCGGAGCGAAGCCCCACCCAAGTCGATAAACACCATTGTGCTGACAGGCGGCTCCAGGCGTGTGTGTGTGTGTGTGTTGCCTCGACAAACATAACAAGGCTACCTCAGCAAAGACATAAATACCCCGTCAACTCCATATCCCTTCCTTCCTTTTCTTTGCCCTTTAATTTTTTCTCGAGGCATATATGCGGCAGTACCCCTTTTTCCCTGGGTAATTACTGCGTAACGGCTTGCTCGCCAACATGGACAACTTCGATGACATGTCAGGTGCCAGAGCCTCGCAGCGGCCAGTCAGGAAAGTCTCCGCTGTCCAAAATCTAAGGGAGCTATCTAGAAGCCCCCAAGGTCCCCTTGTCCTTGATTTAAATTTTGTTGACAAGAGAAGGACATCGAAGAGGAGTAGACATGCTCCTAATAGCAGCACACATCCTCAACATAATATGGATCACTTGTCACTCGAAAGGGCAGGCTCCTTCTCTCATGTTAGTTCTCGGCCAAAGGGCAGTGCCTGGATCAACGAAGAACTTCGCCCAAAAACCCCTACACTGCAGAACGAGTCTTCATCGGGAGACAAGCGCGACCCGGGACATTCTGGAAACGTTCTACCACAGGGCACAGCTATCGTGAGACCACGCCTGTCCCGCCGGCCAACCTCGACGCAACCTCCCGCGTCTGAGCAACAATATCTACCGAAACCAACAAGACCAGAAACCCCCAAGCAACACACTCCCTCCCTGGTCTGGATGACGGAGCAGTCGCCTAACATGGCAACTCAGCAACATTTGTCACAGGCTTGGAGAGAGTCCCATGATTCCGGGTACTACAGCATCGCGCGGTCCTCAGTATCGGCACATCCAGAGTCGCCCCAGACAGGAGGACGACCAAGGGCTAGCACTAGTTCAAAACCCGGGACGCCAGACTGGAGTCGATCTCCATTCCTGTCCCAGCGACTCTGTAGGCCTAATGCACTGTTATTATTCATGTACCCTGACTAACGTGGCATGGAAGATGAGATGCGACCCGGACCAACTGCGATTGACGACGCGGCACCTTCCAACATGAGTTCTTCACCTCTCTTTCACACAGGGTCACAAGAACGGAGGCTGCTAATGGACCGACACGGGTTCCAGCGTAGCGCCACCCCCGACTCTGCTCACGATGAAGATACGGCTTTTATGCGATGTGGGCAGGCAGCATTGCATTCGGCGGGTACGCCTGATTTAAGGACGGTTCATCCAATGGCTATGGGAGGCGACCCCCGGCGGTTTCAGGGCCAAGTCGACAGCGCAAGCTCGCTGCCTGTCCACAACCGTAACCATGACTCTACAGACAGAAGGTCGCCGTCACCATGGCCTGCAGGTACCACCCGCATCGATGAAGAGGCTTGCGCCAGCTCCGCCGGCTCTTATTCGACCGAGTTAACTTCGCTATGGCTATCTGACGACTCTGAGAATGATGACACGCCAACTCTGGAAGAGGGCCACCCATATCTCCAAATCAAGGACATATTAGTGCATGCCCTGCTCAAAAAATTCCGAGAATGGCACAGGTCCGTTCCAGAGACGAGCCAGCCACCAACCGCCCCTGCACAACTCCCGCCGCCGCAACGATCATGGACCCGGGGAGATTCATCGAAATCGCGCCGCAGGGGAGGTAAAGAATCTGAAGACAACCGCGAACAAGACGACGAATCACGAGGGAGCGCCAGCACCTCCCGCAAGAGGCCGAGGCGTGAGGAGAACAAGTTGACATTCGCGTGTCCATGCAGCTACTATCTGACATCAGCCACGCGGGTCAAACAGCACCTGCTCAGGGTTCATAGACCGCCTGTATACTGCCCTCGGTGTGGGACCATCTTTGACGGTGAAACGGCCGAAGCCCAAAGAGACAGTCATGCCAGGCAAGAGCCATCATGTGAGGCTTGCAAAGTGGAGTACGACTGGATTACGGAAGCGCAAGAACGGCAACTGCACAAGAAGTCATCACCGAAATTGTCAGATGAACAAAAGTGGTTTGCTATGTTCGACATTCTGTTTCCGGAACATCGTCCCAGACCGGACTGCCCGTATCTTAATGCGACACTCAGCCACCAGGCGGTACAGTTGCAGGAGTACATTTTTCAACAGGCTCCAAGACTCATACCACAGATGATCGAAATGTCAGACGGTAACCCATTGGACCCATCGGACCGGCCAAACGAGGAACGAGATCGAGCTGCATTATTTTGGCAGGTATTGCAGGACGGATTGCGGGCATTCTATAACGAATTTGCGGACCTTAGTATAAGGCCAGCGATTCCCTCCCACTCGGCATCTACCAGCGTAGATAGTGGGAACAGTCGAGTTCGGCGCACACCATCCTCTTCGGTGTCCCTCCAAGAATTCGAGCTCGGATGGTCTACGGCTTTGTGTGGGGGGGCGGGGCCTCAAGGAGATGGATCTGGTGAAGCAGAGACCCAGGATGAGGGCGGAGTGGGTACTGGTCTCGATGGGCCCATGGGCTTGGGAAATATCGAAGAAAACGACCTCTTTGAGAGCATGATGTATTTCAACTACTCTTGACTTGATATGTAGATAGATATTGCAGGGGGTTATGGCTGCAAGCATGGCTAGCTAAAGAAAAGCTGCATGAACAAGGCGTTGTCTTGGCGCACAGCCCCACATTGAATCTCACCAGCGCCTTCCAAGAACACTGGAAACTGCAGGGTAGATAGACCACATCGAAAAAGATCAAAGAAAATAAACGTGCCTTTTATACAAATATGGGAGAGATGGATGTATTTTGGAGTAGAAAAAAAAAAAAAAAGAAAAACAAAAGGGGAAAGGATTACCCAAAAAGACGCAAAAAAAAAAAAACGAAAAACGTACAACACCGGGGATTCGCTGGTCGTCACCGACCCAACTACTGATCCGGCCCTCAGTGGCTTATCTATGGGAGAGCGGACGGGATCCCGAGTTCTCCACTGGGTATGGTCGTACGTGCTATCTTCTGGCCCAAATGTCATTTATATACATGGATACTACAGCTATCTTCAGTCCCCAGCTCGTGGCCAATAAGATATAGGTACCCCTGGTAGGTAGCTGCACTATCTGTCACATATCGATTTACGCAAAGCAGCTACTTGCCACATGCTGGGATGTAGCCCGCTAATTAAGCAGTCAGATACCAATGGAACAATACCTAATAGTCATAGCAGCATGCATGCATTGTGGGGGTTTGGGGTCAAAGTCCTGTTCTCCACCCACTCTCCCCAAGAACCCATCCCCCGAATCATCAACTCTGGCATTCCTTTTTCGTGCCACCTCATCTGCCATGGCGATCCTATCCATCTTGTCGGGGCAGCTTCTGCCGCTCGTTTGCGGCCTCTTGGGCCTGTATATCGTCAGGGCGATTGTGATCTATGCCAAACTGAGGCAATTCGGAGGGCCGTTGTTGGCCAGCTTCACGGACTGGCCACACAGCAAGGCCATGCTCCGGAACAACTGCCACGAGTGGTATGGAGAGGTCAACAGGAAATATGGTGCGTCACCATCTGTCCCGTCTCAATTATTTCCTATCACAGCTGTGCCAGGCCACCAACGGCTAATTCGTCTCGAGTTACACAGGTCCGATTGCTCGGGTGGCGCCGAAGATCCTGATTACGTCTTCTCCCGAAATTTGGGCGCATGTAAACAACAAACCGGGCTACAAGCGCTCGGATTGGTACTACCATGCCGTCCGGATCGAGTACCGGAAGGACAATGTCTTCAGTGAGACGGACAACGAAAAGCACGACCGGAGGAGGAAGCAGATGGCGCCTGGGGTATGCTAGCTCTCTCTCGACCCTTCCTTTCGATCCAGAACAGCTGATCCAGTATGGCAAGTATTCCGGAAGGGAAAATCTCGACCTCGAGAAGTCCATTGACGAACGTCTCCAAGATTTCCTCGACCTCATCCGGACCAAGTACGTCTCGTCCGACAGCCGGGTCGTGCCAGTCGACCTGGGGAAGAAGGTCCAGTACTTCACCCTCGACGTCATCAGCGGCGTCGGCCTGGGGAAAACGTTCGGCATGCTGCGGAGCGACTCCGACGTGGACGACTACATCAAATCAAGCGAGGAGGGTCTCGTAATCATCAACCTTGCCCTAGCCCTGGGTTTCAGCTGGCTCGCCCAGGCGCCCTTCATCGGCCGCTTCGTCGCCCCCTCGCCGACGGACAACAACGGCCTCGGCAAGATGATGGCGACCTGTTTCCGCTACGTCGACGAGCGCACCGCCAACCCAACATCCAAGCAGTCCGACATGCTGGCCTCCTTCATGCGCCACGGCCTGAACGGCGCCGAGCTGCGGACCGAGGCCCTCGAGCAGATCATCGCCGGCTCCGACACCACCGCCGGCGCCATCCGCGGCACGCTGCTGCACATCATGACGAACCCCCGCGTCTACCGCAAGCTGCAGCGCGAGGTCGACTCGGCCGCGCGCGCCGGAAACGCCCCGCTGCCGGGCGAGGGCCTCATCGCCTCCGCCCAGGCGAAGCAGCTTCCGTACCTGCAGGCCGTGATCCGCGAGGCCCTGCGGATCTGGCCGCCCGTGGTGAACATCTTCCCGCGCGACGTGCCGGCTGGCGGGGACACGGTCGTCGTGGACGGGGAGAGCGTGTTCCTGCCGGGTGGCGTGTGTATCGGGTACTCGGCGTACGCGATGCACCGGAGCGAGGACATCTACGGGATGGACGCGGATGCTTTCCGGCCCGAGCGGTGGTTCGAGTCGGATCCTGCCAAGTTGGCTCGGATGGTTCGGACGAACGACCTCACTTTTGGTCACGGCAAGTTCCAGTGCTTGGGGAAGCCTGTTGCTCAGATTGAGATTGGAAAAACCATCTTCGAGGTGAGGAGCTATAACCTGCATGACCACAAATCCCATTCATCGTTGTCGATATGCTGACCTGGACACAGCTGATGCGCAACTTCGACCTGGCGCTGATCAACCCGACGCGTCCCTGGAAGGCACGGAACTACCTTGGGCTTTTCGCGATTTCGGATATGTGGGTGCAGGTAATGGATCGAACGTCTTGATTTCGACACCCAAGCAAGCGTTGTTTCTACGAGTTGCGTGAACCATTTTTCATATCAAGTTTGGAATTCTCCTTCATCTCCTATATCCCCAAGGTCGCTCCTTAGCAGTAGAATGGGGGCCCAGATTGGCACTCGGTGGACTATTTACTGCAGCGTAGCGTAGGCTAAGCCGTATGGCCAAGTACAACAGAGGCAATAGTGAGGTGCTTCGCAAAAACCCTCCTCTTGTCCACTCCACAATTTGTGTCTAGTTCCCGTGAACAAAATACAAGATAGACGATCGAGTCGCTTGTGGCGTGCCCCAACAACCACTCGTGCTACTCCGCTGTCGCAGGTTTCTGGGCAAAAACGTTGGTCCTGCCTCATGTGTCAGAAGAGAGAAGGGGGTGATAAACACGCGAAAACCAGGATCAACTCACACGACATAATAAGGCCTTATCTTGGGATCCCGGATGGCCTTGCGCATCTCCATGACAAACAACTGGACCTCGGCGTACTCCCAGCCCATGATTTCCCTCAGCAGGAACAGCGCGAATCCCTCCGCGCTCTGCTCTAGGAAGGCAAGATTATATATGCCGATTTTCCTCATCTTGGGGTCGCTGCTCCACCCGCAAGACGGCACATGGTACGTCTTCTCGACCACGCCGACGAACCCCGCCTCCTGCATCAGCGTCCGCATGGTCCCGTCCATACCGATGCGCAACGTCCGGCCCATGCGGTCCGACGCTTCGAAGAACACCCTGGCCCATCGCTTGAAGATGTGGTCCGGGTCGTCCCTGACGCTGGGGATGTCGCTGTACAGCGTGATGGTGAACTCGAGGTCCTCGATCCACCCGCCCGGCACCAGGGCCTTGTACGCCTGACGGTATAGCGCGCCCCAGTCGCTGATGCTGCCGTATAGGGCGCGCATGTGCACGAAGTCGAAGGTCGCTGGAGGATAGGTCCACTCGAGTTGAGCGTCCTCAATGTGGAATATGCAGTTCGGTGGTACCCAGGACGGCTGGATCGGGCTGATGTCGGTGCCGATGACCTCGGTCGAGGGGTACGCGTCGGCCACGTCGATGGCCCAGATGCCCGTCCCCGTGCCAACGTCTAGGATCTTGGACGGCGAGCTGCCAATCGGGGCTTCGAAGAATCGGTCGCCCAGGAGCATGGTGACCCAGTGATGGGCTATGTCTAGGCCATCGTTCTGTCTGTCGTCGTTCGGGCCCCAATATTCGGTCGTCTTGGAGTTCTGGAAGGTCCGCCCGTGGATGTTGCGATACTCGAAGATGCTTTCCGAGAGGGAGATGGTCGAGGATGCGTCGCTGCATGTGTTCGACACGCAATTGAGGTTAGCCTCGGACATCAACCCACAGCAGGGGCCCTGCAGGTGCCGCGCGCGTTAACGCGACTCACCTTCGTCCATCGTCGCCAATGGCGGAATCGGCATCGTCGTCCTCATCCTATGTATGGGATGTTGTTGTCAATTCTCTTGCTCAATTTGCCTGAGACAGGATCTGCGCCTGGTGGTGGGGGGAGGGAGGCACTCATACAAATGGGATCTGCGTTTCTGCGGGCTGCTCTCCAAGTTCCGATGGTTGTTCCGTATTGCCCTCTGGGGATTGTCGCGACTGAGGCGATGACCCAGTTTTGGGGCTCTTCGGGCTCTTGGGGGACTTTTGGCTAGACATGGCGATCTGGTGGCATGTTCTGCGGCATTTTGGGATGTCTCGCAACAAAAAGGTCCAATGCAGGAAGTCCCAACAGCGAGGGTGATCCGGAGACGATCAAAAGTTCCGCACTGACCCGTGTGACACCAGCCCCTTAGCAGTGGTGGCGTTCCGCATTATCGCGGCGTGCCACTTCTGCAACCACATTCGTCACTGGGATGTGATGTATCATAAAGTACACTGCCACATGGGCTCAAAAAGGTAATGGGGAAATGTGCAGTGACAAACAGAGCCAGAGACGATCCAATCATGCCAGACCAACCTCGATAGTGAGCTCTGCCGCACATGCGCATCTGTGCCCACACTTTGACCATGGGAGCACCCCAAGCTGAGAGATCCCATTATGGTTGGACAGCCATCTTGTGTGACACAAAAACACATGTTTCTTAGCACTCGCCAAGTCCCACCAGAACGCCAAACCCCCACATTCCGCCCATCCCCTTTCCTTCCTTCGTATTACTACCCAATTGCAAGGATTCCCAGCAGAGATACAATGGAGACCTCGCCTAATTAGTGGCAGATGTGAGTCTGGATCTAATTACGTGCATTAGACTTGAAGTCTCCCTCCATTACGACTCCTCAAGGATTGGTCTCAATGTACCCAAATACAATGCCACAATGGAAAAACAACGGTGAAGCTTGAGACGAGGATAGACAACGGTTTGGAGCGGCAATCCCAGAGGCAAGGTTAATGGGAGAGCAGACGGACCCCGAGTTCTCTTCTGGGTATAATTAGTCGTAGTACTTACGTGGTAGGTTTGGCCCAATGTCATTAATGTTGGTGCTGAAGCACTTCGATGTTCAGTCACTTTTCTCTAGCATATGACCACTAGCATCGAGACGAGCTCAGTTGGCCTGCGAAGCCTAGATAGGGTTGCTGTAATTGTCCAGCTTCTTACGTTGCCAACTTGATAATCGCGAAAGCATTACGGTTGATTCCCTGTTCAAAGACGAGTTGAAGATATTCCAAATCTCTCCAGTGCCCCATTATGTGGCGGCGAGCCCTACGCGTTGTTGAAGACGGAGATGATGTTGTTAGATACTCGCTCTAGCTGTGTTCAGGTGCCCCGTAGTGGAACCCTAAGGGGAGCTAGACAACTGGGTTCATCCTTGGTTAGTCCCCGTCATGCATGGGATCTGCCTTACGGAGAGAGCTTTTTGGGTTCCCATGCGGGGGCCGCTGGTATCAAGTTAACACCCAATCAATTCATTTTTAGCCGGCAACAGACATACTGTATAATTATTATTGACAGTGGAGTAGTTTCTCGCTCAAGCGATGCCGTAATCCAGTCAAACTATCCCATGTCAAAAACCCCTTCCTCCCGCTCCTGCCCTTCGCAAACCACAAAACCGAGAACGATCATGGTAATGCCTTCCGCTCTTGCATTGCGCAGTTTTGAAGAACAAGTTGAAATCAAGCTCACGGCCCTATAGCCTATTTCCGCAACCACCCTCCTAATCAACGGGTGTGGTAGTTCTTGGCGCCGATCTTAATGGCCTGGAGACGGACTATAAGCTGCCCCGTTTCCCAGCGGCTCTTGCCCTGTCATCCGCATCGACACCACGTCAGCCGGTATTACATCTTATCTATAGGGACACGAGGAGCGGCGCCGATTTGCCGTGAAGGCCGCCCACTCTGGTCGACAAAAGTAGACGAGGCGCTCATGGGTGCGGAAGGCGGACCATTATCTGTTTCGCGGCATTCTGGCACCGCGAACGGATGGCTATCTTATCAAACACTTTTATGCCGGCGCCAAGCACATGAGCCCTTCTTGGCAGACCACCGGCTCCACAAGGAATCGATGTTGGCACCATTCTTCCTGCGTTTATACAAAAGCAAGTCGTCAGGGCGGGGGATCCCGTTGCTACATGGTCACAATCAGCGTACAACATGGGGTTTGCTTTGAGAAGGTCAGCTCTGGTAGCTGTATCCACGGCTCGACCCCTGACGCCGCGTAGCGCACTCGCCACTCTCTGTCTTTTCGCCCTTGTCGTCTTTGCCATGCCCTTACAACGGCGGGATACGTGGACAGGGATGAACTCGCACGACCTTTGGACGGAGGGATGTAAGCCGGTCATCTTCATCTTCTGCCGGGAAACTCTTGCACCAGGAAACATGGTAAGGCGAGAGGCGTATCTGAAGAATCCCTTGCAATATCCAGTAGCACAAGACTCATGGGAAATATAGGGGTTCAAAGTCGGACCGGCGCTGTCCAACTCGCTAAAGGCCTACTTCGGACCGGCCAATGTCGCGACTCAGGGGGTCGACTACCTTGCCCTCCCCGTCACGAACCTTTTCACTGGCGGCGGGCCGACCTATGGTATTGGCAAGATGCAGCAACTTCTAACGCAGGCGACCAGCCTGTGTCCGAATTCCAGCGTCGTAGCAGCCGGTTACAGGTAAGCAGACCGGAGACATGTGAAAGATGAGAAAGCTAACTCGCTTTCGCCAACAGCCAGGGGGCAGCAGTAACCCACCGAGCAATCGAGTTCGTCCCCCAAGAGGTCAGGAACAAGATTGTGGGCGTCGTCACATTCGGCGACACCCAGACGCTGCAAGACAACGGCCGAATCATCGGATACCCCGTGAACAGGACCCTCATCATCTGCAACAGGGGAGACGTTATCTGCGTGGGCACGCTGTTCGTCGTGCCGACCCACTTCAACTACATGGACCGCGTGCCCGAGGCAGCCGCCTTCCTGATCTCGAGGATTCTGATCGCGTATGCCCTGAGCCAGGGGACGGCCGTGCCGGAGTCGACGACCGAGAGCGTCCCGCTGACGACGTTCACTACGACATTGCCCCCGCCGCCGACGTTCTCGTCGATGTCCTCCTCGCGGTTGCGCCCCACGACGCAACTGCCTCCTCCAAGGGTCACTACGGGCTGGCCGCTGCGTCCGACGACGAAAGGTCCTGCGCCGGTTGCTAGACCGACTCCTACAGCGACCGTTGGTGATTAATGTCGAAGGGAAATGGAAGTTGGATATTCTTCGATCGTGGAATGTTGCGGACGATCGTAGTAGATGGGGTTTCGGTCCCAGGCATTGTCAAGGCAGTCTTCATCTTGATTTCTTCGGCTGACTATCCCTCCCTGCCATGCATTTTACTCGTCGTTTTGTTAATTAGAATCTAGACAGATACCATCCTGCTTGAAAGAAAGGAGTTAGACGCCTGACAATCGCGAAATAGTAGTAAAAATGACACATGCTTCCTGAGAGTTGCCTGCACAGGTATATATCCAAGGGGCCAGCAGCCTAAGAACGCAAGTTAGTAGAGACTTAACATGTCCCTTCTCAATCGCCACCAGCAATCCTCATGACCTGCCAGCTCGGCGCCTTCGTCCAAGCTCTAGGCCAATACTCGATCTCAGCTTCCCTCTCCCCTCGCTCAACCGCAATCGTCAACTTCCTGTCGAAATTGGTAACGCAAGCCCCAAGTCGAGAATTCCAAAGAATCTTATCCCCGTTCTGCAGCCCAGCGAGCTCGGCCCTAGAGCCCGGCACCAACCCAGAAACGACCCTGGTGTCGAAACTCTCCGGGTCCATGCCCAGATCCAGAACCTCCTGCTCAACAGCCACCGGCGAGTCCTTGTCGCCAAAACTGGCCGTCAAATCACCCATCTCCAGGATCTCGCCTGTCCCGTCCATGAAGTCCTCGAAATACTTCTCCGCCGCCTCCGGGCCTAGCCAGTGTGCGAGGTACTGCAGCCAGTGCCTGGTCTGGACCCTCTGCCCCTGTCTTCTGTTGACCGAGATCTCTGCGAGGACCCCGTCGATGGGGCGCATCACGTTGTCCCCACGTGCCTTTGAGGCTCGTCGTGTGAAGAAATCCATCTTCAGCATGTAGATGCAACCCCTCATGTCGGGGATCTGTCGGGCGTACCAGTCGGAGCTGATGGTTTCGGTGTCGCGGAGGGAGATGGTCTTGCGGGGATTGGTGTAGTAGGCCGTGAGGAAGGCGTTGATGGTGGCTCTGAAGTAGTCTGGGGTGCGCTGGCCGAATCGGAAGGGGAGAAAGACAGAGTAGATCTGTGCCCAGCCTGCATCCAGGGTCTCAGTGGTTTTGTCTTGACGGAGTGCTGGAAGGTTATGTACAGCATATACAACATACCTCGGGAGAACCAATCATTGTCGAAGCCATCGTCTTCTGGGTCGAGCCCTATCCAGCTTCGCACCATGTGGTGGTTGAGCAGCCGCACCAAGTCCCAGTCGGTCTCCGTCTTCGTGTCTTCGGCGTAGTCGACCACACTGCTGCCCGCGCAGGTGAGGCCTGCCAGGCAGCCCTGCACCTTCCGAAGAAAGAGGCGATAGCTGCCCGTCACGTCCCTGAAGTGGGCCGACATCCGCGGAAACATTTCGCTGCTGAAATCCTTCAGGGCATCGAGGTTCGGGGGCAACTCGCCAAACCAATATGTGCCACAGAAGCTTGCACCGGGGTCAACGACCGGCTCTGGGGGATGACTCTGGACCGGCCCGACCATGTACACCGAGTCCAAGAGCACCGAAGCGGGACCATCCCTGACGATCGGTCCGGGCCCCTCTCCAAAACTCCAGATGGCCCGGGTCCCTGCTGGGGCATCTGAGAGATCCCACTCCACGACATTGCGATACTGGGTAATACCGATGTCAGGCGGGCGAGGAAGAAACGACCGCCCGACCCCCATCAAGCCCCCGTGATCCATCCGCAAACCCGGCTGAACACCAGCTGCCCGCGTCTCGCAACCGATAAGGGGGATGACATGCAGCTTCAGAATGACGTCGCCGGCCGTGTGGCGGGTGGCATACAAGTGTCGGGCGCTGCCGTCCACCTGTACGACTCGTAGGACCAGGTCGCCGTCGTCGTCCGAGGCGGCCAGTCCGGACTCTGCGCTGTGGACCGAGGGCGAAACATCCCTGCCCGCGATCTGGTCGAAGACGAACAGGACGCCGCCGGCGACGACTCTGGGATTCTGCAGGGTCAGGGTCGCGGAGAGGCTGTCGGCCGCACCTGACAATATGCTGAAGTTTGGCGTCAGGGTTAGCTTGAGAAAGGGCAGGGCTACGGTCGCCATGGTCAGGCTCGATGGATTGGTGGTTGTATGTATCAAGTGGTTAGGAGTAGGTGGGCTGACGTTGAGTAATTGAAAGCGGGGTTCTCGAGCATGCAATGCCATCTTGTCGGTTTGGACTCGGGCAAATTATCACTCATTGCTGCTAAATCGAATTTCGATTTTCTGTTCTCTGAACTCTGGAGAATCTAGACAAGCATTGGCTCGGAACCGGTATTGGGTTGCCTCAGTTACCATGAGCTACATAGTTGATCCTCCCTCCATGGTCTGGGCAGGCAGGGCAATGGACCGTACACCTCTCTGCTGATCGTCTGGCGCCGATGCTGCTTCAACCCATATTACGCCGCAGATATTAGCGTCAGATCAGTTCCGGCTGTCGTCATCTTGGTGCTGGTCAATTCGTTCGAAGATGAGTATTAATATTTGTACAAGTACCAGGGTTGTCAGGAATGGATTCGTGAAGGCAGTAATCAAGTTTAATTTCAGTTCCGTCAATTCCTCGCCCTCTTCGTCAGAATACAAACAAGACCGCTCTGCTGTACAAACCAACGATTCTTTGTCTTCCACTCCGCCTTTGGATCTGCCATCTCAATTGAGTACCCTCTCAACAACTGCGGTACCAACTTCTGCATCTCCATGAGGCTAATGTTCTTGCCGACGCAAGTCCGCGATCCTGCCCCAAAGGATATGAAACTAGTCTCCATTCTGGCGAGTTTGTCGGCATCGGCAGTTAACCAGCGTTCGGGGATGAAAGCCTCAGGGTCCTCGTAGACATTTGGGTCGTGCTGAAGAACCCATGGGTTGATGCCAACAATCGTGCCCCCGGGAATGTATTTGCCGCATATCTCTGCTCCTTGAGCCGGAACATGTCGTTCCATGAGCAGGCCGACTGAAGGATGGAGCCGCATCGCCTCTTTGATGACGGCGCCAGTGTATGGGAGATGGGTGATAGACTCCTTGTAGGAAATCGGGTCGCTGAGTTTGCCTTCCTTGTCGGCGGCGTCGATTTCATCGAGTGTCTTCCTCATCTTGTCGGGGTTCTTGATCAGGAAATAGATGGCTGCTCGCAAAGCGATGGCAGTGGTATCTGACCCGGCGAACACATTGGTTGAAAGATGCACGATGATGTCTCGGGTGCCCATTTTCAGCGGATCCTTGTTCTTCACAGCAGCCCATCTGGACAACATGTCCTTCTCGCCGCCATCGGTCAGCTCTAATTCGCCGTCTCGTTTGATCGATGTACGGGAGTTGATGGCCTTGAGAGTGAAAGACAATACGGCATTCCATGACTCCATCGCCGGGATCAAGATTGGGAACAGGGGGTTGCCCAGGAGGAGGGGGTGCATCTCAGGCACTTGTCCACACAGCGATGCATAATCGAGAATGCCCTCAATCGTTGTCATCATGCCGTCAACATCTCCGCCCATGGTCAAAAATCCGAGCTTCTTCGCAAAGGTGACTTCGCCAACCACATCGAAAGCATAGTACTGGAGCCACATGCCTAGATCAATGGGTTTGCCGGTCGTGGCCCACTCGTCGAGGCGAGACATGAACAACTCCGTACAGGAGTCCACGGCGGCTTCGGATTCAAGGAGATTGGTCAAACTGTATGCACCAGCGACCTTTTTCTTTTGCTCGCGGTGGTAAACAGGGTCGCGTGTCGAGAAAAGGTTCATCTGGGGCTTCTTCTGCCAGGAAATACTCTGGATGGGGTAGAACGCGGACTGAGGCAGTACAATCAGCATTGGCTCGTAACAAGTTTTCAGTTTTCAGGTTTCTGACCTTTGTATATGCACCTGTCAATCCGTATATGGTTTTGATTTCCTTGGGATCCCCGACGGATACAACATTGGGAGCGATTCGAACGAGCGGGCCATGTTGTTGGTGTAATCTGATAGCGGTCTGATGAGACTGACACTTGTAGACATCATATAGCCTCCAAAGTTTGGTCCACTTCGCGAGAGTTGGTCCAGGAATGCGGGCAAGGCCTGGTCGGTATCTGCCATAGAGGACGCTTAGAACGTATAGCACGACAAGACATTGCACGAGATGGCTTTTGACGAAGGTGAGAACCGTTGCAACGGTTGACTGCTCAAAATTGGGCATTTTCGAATGGATGAGTTTAACAGGATGATATTCGTCTGTACGGGGGCTGTATGCCACTGTCCTTCACCATGAGAAAGGACTCTTGGGGGTGGGAATGAGTTGAATGTAGAGAGAGAGAGGTAGATGTCTGATGACGAAGTTAGCTCATTATTATACACTACTGTACTACATAGGAACACCATAGTGCGGGGGAGGATACGGATCCGTACTAGCTCGTCGGTTCGGAAGCGGGGCCAGCATACGCGGGGCTGGACTGCGGGGAAGCAAGGGAAAAAGAAAATAACACTAATCCATATTTGACCAGGGATCGCCCGTCTCGGAACTAATCCACCCCTGTGCATCATTTGCAGGCAGATAATAGGGGCTTCATTAGAGACCTGCCATCCGATCCGCCATCCGATCCGCCATCCGATCTTCTACCCGATGCGCCAGCCACGGGGCCCTTGTGACCCCCGTCCTTCCAAGGGAGGTCATTGCCAACCAGAGAGCCATAGCGTCCGACTCTTCCGTGAATTGCCATGGGAATATTGCATGGTATGCAATGAAGATCAACCTATCCCCCGAGCCTCTCCCCCAGTGCCAAATGCCATCCCACCCCACCAAAACAACACCCCCCAAATGATTGTACCCATCCCTCAAATTCGGATGCCTGTGCCCCAAGGCAGCATCTTGTTCAATACGAAGAGGGTTACGGGATTCGCCGTTCCGTGTGGTGACAAGGGGTTAACTTTAGCACAGAGCCTAAGGGGAGTGTCAACAGGAGAGCGCAAAGTCACAAAGCTACCAATGTACCTTGTCTCCGACTCTTCATCAATAAGACTCCCCGTCTAGGTCAACAAATTTATACGCCCAAAATGAACACCACACAAACACCGCACCGCCGAACGCAAGACACACGAGGAAGACGATCGCGGCCTATTATGGATGAGTGAGACGAGTCCACCTCGTGGGAGGAAAGTAGAACACATACCTTACTGCCCCCGTCAAACTCAGTACCGTCATATAACGGCGTGCAGACATATATAATTAGCCCCATGAAAAAACCAATGACTGAGTATGCCATCAGCATCATCGGCGCCTGCCAAGTGAATACCATATTCCACCTTATGTCAACCTTGACAGGTCTTTCAACGGCGGGTAGTTTCCTCGCCCTTTGCTCTCTACTAGATCCTTGACTAGGCTCGGTTATGTCGTTTCGCTCCAAGTTTGGAATGATGACATTCTCCTCATCCCAGTACGAGTGGGATAGGCTGAGGATCATGCTGAGTTCCTTGGATAGGTCCGGTCTATTTGGCGAATTCTTGATCGTCGAGAAGATGAAGGCCTCGGACGAAGATAGCAGAACTGCCAAGAGGGACAGTGCCAGGCTGGAATACCATGCTGCTGGGCCGAGCCAGTGTTCTGTGTCTTGCGGTATCCAAGAAAAGCAGCCGATGACGGCCGCGGATAGGAGGGTGGCCTTTGGACATGTCAGCGAACTGTCTAGCACGAGCGAATCTTTGCGTGAAATGCGATGAATGACTCGGAAAGGCTCACCGCCACCTGGGTAAATTGCAACTCATTCAGCTTCCTGTCTCTCCAGTGCGCCAATCGCTCCGATACGTTTCTAGGATTATCCTTCTCTTTCAGACTTCTCGCAATGGACAATATGGGGAGAAGCGTGTTTTGCCTGTAAAAGCGATAGTAAGGTAGCGTGATCCAATTGGAGAGTATGAAGCCAGGTATCCTCATCACCGCGAATGATGTGGTCTGCGAGAGGTCTTAATCAGCGGACCTCAGTGGAAGGTCACGTTCGGGGCGCCACTACATACCTCATTGCGCGTGGAGCTGGCCCCTTTCGCTGTTGCCATGGTAGATTGGTGAGGAATCACGAACTCGAGAAAACAGATTTGCGGGTGACCGGGTTCCATGTTGGACGTCGGGGCAAAATGTGGCTTGCCTCACCTGACGCCCCAATTTTCCCAGCATCCAATTAGACGCCACCGCGTACCTCCATGACTCTCTTCCCTCAACTAGGCTGCCGGCGAGGCAGACTCGTGGCATTACCAACGCACTGATGAAGCGCAACTGTGGTCTGTCACGTCTGTCACCAAAGAATCTGGTCCTTCTAAATTCACTACACAGTAGCCATGTTCTGCATGCACGTATTGATGGGCACCCAGTGTGCCTAATTTAATCGTCGTAGCTATTGACCGCAGCCTTGAGTTAGGCACCGATTCTAGAGATCCAGCTCATTGGTGCTAGTATTATTATCCTCCATGAAAAGACCAGTAACACATCACGCCGTGAAATATCCTCCCAAAACTCCCAAAACCAAGAAACGAAGCGGCATCGCACAGCTGCCCAAATTCCCATGATCAGATTCCTGTGGCTCAAAGCTCCCATCCCTATGCAGAACACCGCCGAGTGACTGTGTGCATGAAGGTCAAAGTTTCGGCGACTTGTATTCCCACAGATACTCGCATTCGTCCAACATATTCTCAATATCGCTCGGGCCGATGATGCCATGGTCACTCTTCAGGTGCTGAATAAAATTTGTCCGATAATGCCATGTCTCATCCGGATCATATGGGCAATCGTTCTTGGTGCAGACGTAGAACTTGCCCAAGGCATAGCGCTCCCAGCGCGAAATGCTCTCCTTGGCTCGTGCCCTGCGAGTCTTGACGAGTTCCTCGGCGCATTGTTCGAACTTCTTGACCACTTCCACTCTGTTAGCCCACGTCGCAAAGGCATTGTCCATGACCTGCATCGTCTGAGACCCCGAGTTCCCGCCTGAGCCTCGTGGCTTCCATTCGTCCATGTCTACCGAGAGTCCGTTTGGTTCATTGAAGCGGTAGTAGAGAAACTCGTTGTCCTCTCTCTGGGATTCTTCCAGCATTCTTTCGTGTACAGGCTCGGGGTCCCCAACCATTTCTATGCCCTTCTTGGCCAGTTTGAGAATGTTGGGTCGTCCATCGGGTGCCGACATTGCCCTGGCCGTTCCAATGCTGACCCAAGTCCCGATCCTCTTGTGCCGTTTCTTGAGAATGAAGCGGAGCTCCAGAAGGACTTCCTCTGAAGGGTTATTTACTCGGCCGAATCCGCCGTCCGTGAGCATAGCCGTGATCCTATTCCCTGGGACTTGGCGGCTGGTGTTCTCGATGCCGTTCGCCTTTTGTTGAAGATTTGAGGTCTGGGTCCTTGAGAGCTGCGGGGCTTTGAGTGTTGTTGTCCTCCGAGTCGGGAGGATCTCTCCGTCATCCAATGCGATCTCAAGAGCCTTGAAGTACATTGGAGCCGCGGTCGCTGCTCGTGCCACTTTCCACGCCGCAAACCGGGTCCCCTGCCCGGGGTTGCGTGGTTTGGTCGTGCCATCGGCCGTCGGACGGCGGTCGTGACCATTGATCTTGTGGTAATGGTCGTAAGATCTGAAAATCCACGGTGCCTGCAAACCAACGCCTGGGCTATCCCTAAGGACATCCCGGTTGGCAAACGCGATGCTACAGCCCCTTGTCAGTACCCTATCGTTTCTCCCTTACACGTCTCCAGTACTCACGCTCGACAGAGACCCTTCGGAGTGCTGAATAACATTGCGTCGTCCTGGTCGTTTGCAATCTCACCCCTTCTGCGCACCACGTCCTTGATGGCAAGCTCCAAGCTCGTCGTGGAAAACTTGTTCTTCCGGAAAATCACTCCCCGTTTCCCAACTTGGTGGAAAGTTCTGGGGTTCCCGAATACCGGTCCGGCCAGGCCCTTGTACTCTTCTATGCAGTCCTTGACTGGCATTCTCAAACGAGCGAGCATGATGGTGATGAGGCTATTCGCAGTTGATTAGCGACATATCATGCAATGACAAGTGCCACTCACGCTCCAGTGGACGTTCCGCCAATGTAGTCAAAGTAATGGCAAGGCAGGTATCTTGGGCAAGACGGATAATGTGATACATGTCTCGGCTCACCACACGGGGCGAAGCTCGAGTGCTCTTTCACTCTCTCGCCATTCCCTTTAGCCTCATCTTGTGCTTTTTTTTCTGCATGCTCGACATATTCCATCAACTTCTGCAAATGAAGCAGGCTGTAATACCCCCTGATCCCGCCACCGTCTAGTTAAATATCAATCAAATCAGTAAGTCTAGGTAAGATATGCTGGGGATACACTAAAGAAGACTTACCAAACGTAAGGATGTTTTGTTTTGCCCACGCGCTATTTTCACTCATCCCCGAGTTTATCCTTTGTGAGGGGTCAAGGTTGGACAGATCGACGTCATCTTCACCATGTTTCTTGCCTTTCCAGCGCGTAGAACTTTCGGCTATGTCGGACGACTCCATCAGTTTCCGGTTGGTAATAATTAGTCCCGGGCCGACGCTATTCAACCTCGGAAACTTTGGTGTTTTACAAAAAGCAAGTATTCAAGCCCGACAACGCAGCTCACGGGGAGGGGGCCAAAATTATAAGGCTCTGGGGATTCAGGTCGAGAGGATTTCCCGCGGGATAAAACCCCTCCAAGAGAGCAGGCTGGGGCGAAGCTACCCTCCAAAAGCTGGAAACAGCCGCCCGACTTTCGGGGTAGAGCCTCATGAGAAGCTCGAGGGAGATTACCGAGAGGGGGTCATGGAGGTGCGGCTCATAACACTATTGGAACAGCCCGTGGGGGAAAAGCCTATGTGGCGCTCGTTGGCTGCAGAATGTGCATTGTGACAGTGCACCGAGTCCAATAAAGGATTCCTGGAAACGGGACAGCCGCTGTGGCTTCCTCGAAAATACCGGCCAATCATCCCAGAAGAGCAGAAATAACCGAGCTATTGCTTTATTCAGCCCATAGCCAAGTCTTTGGGCATAGACTCGAAACTGGCCAATAGCGCTGCATGATGAAACGTCATGCCATTCCTGGGGGTGGCCACAAATTCGGGATATGCCTGCTGACTTGGGCATCCGGCTGAAAGGTGTGGCGAGGGCATGGCACAGCTGCGGCACAAATATCCATGAGGTCCCCCGTCTTTGATAATCGCACACTTTCGTCTTCCTACCAACACAGGCTGCCCCGCCTAATAGATCACCACCGCACCGCACCACACCACATTCTTGGGTCGAATTGACTCGAAAAGATTCGAAAACTCGTCATGGTTCCTGGCAATAGACCGGGTTCGCCATTCTTGCACCGACGCGCACTGGTCTTGCGCCTTTCGCAGCAGTCCGTCAAAATCGAAAAGGTCGCAGACATAGCGAGCAAGTCCAGTACGTAATCTAAGACACCTTTTCTGAGGAGGCGGCAGGGAGCGCATTTGCTAACCATGTTGCCGGGGGATCCGGCATCCAGGCGGCGACGAGTACTGGTCCTTCGAACTCCCACCCAAAAAAGGCACCGATTGCTGGGACTTGTATATAAGCAGGGACGAGACAAAGGTCAGGGCAATCAAGCCGACGCAAAGCTCGAACGAGGATTTCTTCATTGGGCGGTTGAGTTTGCAGAAACTCGGGACCTGGGATCAGATCCTTAGGAGGAGAGGGAAACTGGACAAGGTCTACATCGCAAAGCCGCAACGATTTCAATAGCTACCATCTTTGCGGGTGGCAACGTGCATTATCAGTTATATGGATATTAAGGGAATGATTTGGTGCGTTTTCTTTGTTCGGGGTTGGCCATGGGACGCGGGAAGTCTATTATCATTATATACAAACACGGCCAGAGTTACGAGAAATGATCCAGGTTCCTAAGACGTTGAATAAATTCTACTCTCTCATGCTGCAGTGGATTATATTCATAAATGCTGCCCAAATTTTGACCTTGGTCATTACCTTCTCCGCGAGTGGGCCGGTGCTACTGCCGCTGTGACATACGTGGTGGGTGTTCGGTGGGTGCATGGTGTGTTGACCGTGGCGCTGTCTTGGGAGCCACATTCTGCCACCCTTCCAGTCCAGGGTCCAGGAGTGGTGGGAAAGTTTGGGAACAAGGTACGTAATGAACCCAAAATCATCCCGCAAGAAGACCAAGCCGAGCTGCAACAGTCAGGATCAGGACGTTGGACATCAACAGCGCAGACCCTTACGTCAGACTCAACGGTCAACCACCTCCAAGGCAAGTGCCACTACCTTGCCAAGGAGGTGCGATCACTGCCATACAACAGGGACCTATCTCGGTACTGCAGGTTCCACCTAAAGCCCAGAGACCTTAGCGGGTACCTACCATTATGCCGGAGCGGCCACACAAGACTCACCTTGGACACGGATCAAAACCTCACTTTGCAGCACTTGTTGGTGGGCTTGGAGTAGGTTCCGCGGTTGGTGCACTCTCTGAGAATGACACACTCCAGTCCTTGCCTGTCACCCCCTAGAGGTTCTTAATAAGGATTAGTCGGCAGATTGGCACAATACGAAGACGATCAGACGTTGATGACAATCCTTAGGCTGCAGACGAAGTTGTGTACAGTCGGGGGGCCATCGGGAGACCAAGAATAAGGACAATTAGCGGCATTTGCGTGGGTAGGACGCAGACTGGGAAAAACATGATGGGGGCACGAGGAGATCTTGAGCTTGATGACGATACCTTCTGGGAAGGACATGGCCCTGCTATTACCCGTACTGCAAGCCCTCATACTGCTGTTATATTTCCCAACATATTTGCTCTAATATCTCAACTTATTCTTCTCTTATGTTTCTTGGACCTCCAGCTCGTCATACCCTCAAAGACCCGCAGAACTCTTGGCCATGACAAAACCCTGACCACAACAATACGCCGAGTTTGGTCTTCATAAACATTAGAACTTTTAAGCAAGCCCTCTATGTCAGCAGTCATGATGAATAGCGCAATATGACAAAGCTCCTTGAGGCACTCCTCAACCATGGATATGAGGTTGTTAAATCTCTCGACGTCCGGCGTCGCGTCTGAAATATGATCCAGCTTTAGATTGAGAGGATCTCTTTTTCGACCCGCCGTGTGCAATCAGCTGCCTCGTGTCTTTCCGCCCTGATGCGGTCCATTCTTTTTTGAATCTCGGATACGGATTGAAGGTATCTTGAAAGATCAAACGCCGCGACGCCAAAACGCTGCAGCTCTCCAAGACCCTGTCCACTCATCATCGATCCAACAGAATCAAGTATTGATTGCGACGAAGCAAGACCCTTTGCCTGATCCGTGCAAGAGATGTCAGATTGGCGTAATGATTCCTGTATCTCCTTCAAATTTCTCCACATAGTGTCGACGTCGGCTTCAGTTGCCAGCGTCAACCTGAGGCAATGTCTTGCATTAACTGCCAGTGGGTCTTGAGATAATGAAGCACCGCGAGCCTCACGCTCTCGGCGGTTAGCTGATGGGGTTGCAGCATGCTGTCGGCAAAGGACCGGTGTATTTCCAGGAAATCCTGGTCAATCGACGCGATGTCTCCGGCTTGGATCCAGAACCATGCGTCGTAGTTCTGGCCATATTGTTGCAAATAGTTGCGAGCCAGTTGTGACTTTCCCGCCCCTGCCAATCCCCATATCCCCACCTTCTTCGTCTCTCCCTCTCTATGTCCGCTTACTTCTCGGCATAGCTGCTCTCTGATTTGATCATGAAGGGTTCGTTGCTGGACGAATGTCTTTACCGGCATCATGGAGCAAGGCGGGTAGCATGGGATCCAGTTCTCGTGGGCGCCTGTCGGGGCGCCGTTTGCTCTTGGATTATTAATTACATGGCTTATTAATGCACGCAAGAAGGGTGCGTAACTATTTACGACACGAATTTAACAGATCCATGTGCTTTCTCCAAATCCACTTTCTGTGTTACGATTAATGCAGAACCTAGAACCTGCTAAAAGTGCTAGCCGGGCAGGCTCCGTTTCGGAGTCATATACTGTCCTGTCGGCAGGATCAGAGCCGAGGCCGAGCTGGATAACGCCGAAAGGGCGGCGATACGGATGAGCCGTATGTGCACCGTGTGGACTACAAGTCTTGTTCGACAGGTTCGGTCGGGGGTTTCAACCCGCCCGGTCGGACCCTTGTCGGACTTTACCGCCGGCCTTCGCGCTCCGGCTTCTCGGACGAACTTGGGAGGGTTTTCAGCTGAAGGTATTCAGGGGCAGTGTTTTCTGACCTTCCATCAAGGTCACACGATTGAAGATAATTACACGCCAGTTAATGGTGGATTCATCAACTGTATTTCAGGGAGACGGCATCATGTTGGGTCTCAAATTTTCCAGTTCCTTCCAAGGTGCATATGGGTGGGTGAATTGATTACTTCTGTGTTGAGGATGTGAAGATGCCCAGCAAGATAACTACAACCTATGGGCGGAGGCAATGGTTAGCAGCCAAGACGACGAAGATTTGCGAATCGCGACGGCGATAATCAAGACAGTTTGCTCCCGAGTGCGAGTCACTATCGGCATAAACATGAGCCAAGCCCCGATGCTCCGCTGTTTACGTGGTGCGTGGATGGCGTCTTTCACACGTGTTGGGGCCGTCGTGTCTTCAGAAGGATGATCTTGAAGGATCTTTAACTTGGATTCTAGTGGTGGTTTGAATATTCTTTGGGGGGTTGATTGGCTAATAGCCAGCAATAGTGGGTATTGTATCCGCTATCAAGAGTCAACCTAATGTGTCAAGCTCCTCGGTCGGGATGATAAGTATTTAAGCGGGGCCCACACCTATCCGAGTGCGAGGCAGCGCCACCAGGGCATGAGCGCGAGAGACTCCACTGGCCGGGACCGCTCCCTCTTAAAGAACCGACATTTAGGTCCCTCTTGGCATAGCTAGGCACGCCAGGACCCATTCTAAGCCAGAGTGCGCCATTAAAGCGGGAACCTTGGAGTCTTGAACCAGCCCTATCTTCGGTGGCACGGCGGAACTATGGCGATGATGCCGACTAGCGGGTCCTACCTATGTCTACCTATGGGATCCGGATCCGAGCAAGCATTCCTGATTTCACAAGGATTAGGCGGCCGAGGTGACAAATAGAAGTGGTTTAGATCTCTAGGTTTCATCTGATAAAGACATGTCTCCTTTCTTCCCGTCCTCATTTTCTCACCCTCAAACGCCCCGCCCAATATGGAGCCACCAACCCTGGACTATGGACCCCCTGAGAAGGGCAACGAGTGGTCACTGAAGCCGCGCCTCGAAGACACGCGGGATCGCGACCGCCGCTCCGGCATCCCAGCCCGCCAGCTGGGCATCACCTGGAAGAACCTAACCGTGAAAGCCATCAGCGCCGATGCCACGATCCACGAGAACGTCATCTCCCAGTTCAACATCCCCAAGCTCGTCCGCGAATCCCGGCACAAACCGCCCCTAAAGACGATCCTTGACAGCAGCCATGGGTGCGTCAAGCCCGGCGAGATGCTCCTGGTCCTGGGCCGCCCCGGATCGGGATGTACGACCCTGCTCAGCATCCTGGCTAACCGCCGGCGGGGCTATGCCTCGGTCGCCGGCGACGTGCACTACGGCTCCATGGAGGCCAAAGACGCAGAGCGATACCGCGGCCAGATCGTCATGAACACGGAGGAGGAGCTCTTCTTCCCGACCCTCACCGTGGGCCAGACCATGGACTTTGCGACCCGTCTCAAGGTCCCCTTCAAGGTCCCCGAGGGCGTCGGGTCGAAGGAGGAACTGCGGGACGAGACCCGGGACTTCTTGCTCGAGTCCATGGGCATCACCCACACCCACGGCACAAAGGTCGGGAACGAGTACGTCCGGGGCGTGTCGGGCGGAGAGCGGAAGCGCGTGTCTATCATCGAGACCATAGCGACTCGGGGCTCCGTCTTTTGCTGGGATAACAGCACCCGTGGCCTGGACGCCAGTACGTAAGTGCTCGGAGTGCAATCTCTCCCCCTTACCCCTTCCCTTCCCCCCTTTCCCCTCCATGCGAACAAAGCGGAGAAGGAAAGCAGGGCTGTAGTAGCTAATGATCAATTGCAATCTAGGGCACTCGAGTACACAAAAGCCGTCCGCGCCATGACAGACGTCCTGGGACTCGCCTCCATCGTGACCCTCTACCAGGCGGGCAACGGCATCTACAACCTGTTCGACAAGGTGCTCGTCCTCGACGGCGGTAAAGAGATCTACTACGGCCCCATGGCAGAGGCCAGGCCCTTCATGGAGGACCTCGGGTTCGTCTGCCAAGACGGTGCCAACACTGCCGACTTCCTCACCGGAGTCACCGTGCCGACGGAGCGGAGGATCAAGCCCGGCTTCGAACTGTCGTTCCCCCGCAACGCCGAGATGGTCCGGGCAGAGTACGAGAAGTCGCCCATTCGCACCAAGATGGAAGCCGAGTACGGATATCCCTCTACCCACGATGCCGAGGAGAACACGAGGCTCTTCAAGGAGAGCGTCGCCAGCGAGAGAGACCGACGCCTACCCCAGAGCAGCCCGCTCACAGTCGGGTTTGCCACCCAGGTAAAGGCCTGCATCGCCCGCCAATACCAGATCGTCTGGGGCGACAAGGCCACCTTTGTGATTAAGCAGCTTTCTACTCTGATCCAGGCACTGATAGCTGGCTCGCTCTTCTACAACGCCCCGGCCAACTCAGGGGGGTTGTTCATCAAGGGGGGTGCTCTGTTCTTCTCCCTGCTCTTCAACAGTTTGATATCCATGTCGGAGGTCACCGTGTCCTTCTCCGGCCGGCCGGTCCTGATCAAGCACAAGTCGTTTGCCTATTTCCACCCTGCTGCCTTCTGTATCGCCCAGATCGCCGCCGACATCCCGGTCATCTTGTTCCAGGTCTCTTTCTTCTCGCTCATTCTATACTTCATGGTCGGCCTAACCACCACCGCGAGTGCGTTCTTCACGTACTGGGTCGTCCTGGTCGCAACAACAATGGTAGGCGAACCCCCACTCTATTTCCCCCCTCCGTCCACGAATCCCATGCTAATTACTCGGTGCTCAAGTGCATGACTGCCCTGTTCCGAGCCATCGGCGCCGCCTTTACAACCTTCGACGGAGCTTCCAAAGTATCGGGCCTGGTCATCACCGCCTGCATCATGTACACAGGCTACTTAATCCAAAAGCCAAAGATGCACCCCTGGTTCGTGTGGATCTTCTGGATCAACCCCCTGGCCTACTCCTTCGACGCCCTCATGTCCAACGAACTCCACGGCAAGACCATCCCATGCGCGGCCTACAACCTGATCCCCAACGGTGCCGGGTACAACGACACGGCCTACCAGTCATGCGCCGGCGTCGTCGGCGCGACCCAGGGCCAGACCTTCGTCACAGGGGAGCAGTACCTGAGGGCGCTCTCGTACGGCCCCAGCCACATATGGAGGAACTTCGGCATCGTGTGGGCCTGGTGGGCGCTCTACGTCGCCATCACCATCATCTTCACCTCGCGGTGGAGGGCTTCCTCCGAGGGCGGCTCGAGCCTCCTGATCCCGCGGGAGAAGTCCAAGGCGGTACTGCCCGCCGCCCTGCGAGCGGACGAGGAGTCGCAGGCCCGCGAACAGGAGAAGACCTCGGGCGGGAATAGCAGCAGCGATGAAGGCACCGTCGTGGCCAAGGACGAGGCCGACGGGCGGGGCGGGGGCGGGGGCGGGGGACTCATCCGCAACACATCCGTGTTCACGTGGAAGGACCTCTCGTACACGGTCAAGACGCCTACCGGCGACCGCGTCCTGCTGGACCACGTCCACGGCTGGGTCAAGCCGGGCATGCTGGGCGCGCTGATGGGGTCCTCGGGGGCGGGCAAGACGACGCTGCTGGACGTGCTGGCGCAGCGCAAGACCGAGGGCCAGATCCGCGGCTCCATCATGGTCGACGGCCGGCCCCTGCCCGTGTCGTTCCAGCGGTCCGCCGGGTACTGCGAGCAGCTCGACGTGCACGAGCCGTACGCGACCGTCCGCGAGGCGCTCGAGTTCTCGGCGCTGCTGCGGCAGGGGCGGGATGTGCCGCGCGCCGAGAAGCTGGCGTATGTCGATACTATCATCGAGCTGCTCGAGCTGCACGATCTCGCCGATACGCTGATCGGCACTGTCGGCGCAGGTCTGACGGTCGAGCAGCGGAAGCGTGTCACCATCGGCGTCGAGCTGGTGTCCAAGCCGAGCATCCTCATCTTCCTCGACGAGCCGACGTCCGGGCTTGATGGGCAGTCGGCGTACAACACGGTGCGGTTCCTGCGCAGGCTTGCGGATGCTGGACAGGCCGTACTGGTCACCATCCACCAGCCGTCGGCGCAGCTGTTTGCCCAGTTCGACACGCTCCTGCTGCTGGCCAAGGGCGGCAAGACGGTGTACTTCGGGGATATTGGCGACAACGCCGCTACGGTCAGGGACTACTTTGGCCGCCACGACGCGCCGTGTCCCGCGGACGCCAACCCGGCCGAGCACATGATCGACGTGGTGTCGGGCCACCTGTCGCAGGGGCGGGACTGGGCCGAGGTGTGGGCTGCGTCGCCCGAGCACGACGCCGTCGGGGTGGAGCTTGACCGCATGATCAGCTCGGCGGCTGCGAAGCCCGCGGCAACGTTGGACGACGGGCACGAGTTTGCGATGCCGCTGTGGCAGCAGACGCGGCTCGTGACGCGGCGGATGAACGTGTCGCTGTTCCGCAACCGCGGGTACGTCAACAACAAGTGCATGCTGCACATCACGACGGCGCTGTTCAACGGGTTCTCGTTCTGGATGATCGGCGACGCGGTGGGCGACCTGCAGATGCGGCTGTTCACCATCTTCAACTTCATCTTCGTGGCGCCGGGCGTCATCAACCAGCTGCAGCCGCTGTTCATCCAGCGGCGCGACATTTTCGAGGCGCGCGAGAAGAAGTCCAAGATGTACTCGTGGGTGGCCTTCACGACGGGGCTCGTGGTGTCGGAGCTGCCGTACCTGTGCGTCTGCGCCGTGCTCTACTTCGCCTGCTGGTACTACACGGTCGGGTTCCCGCACGACTCGAGCCGCGCCGGCGCCACCTTCTTCGTCATGCTCATGTACGAGCTCGTGTACACGGGCATCGGGCAGTTCATCGCCGCGTACGCGCCCAACGAGATGTTCGCGTCGCTCGTGAACCCGCTCGTCATCGGCGTCCTCGTCTCCTTCTGCGGCGTGCTGGTGCCCTACACGCAGATCCAGGCCTTCTGGCGCTACTGGATGTACTGGCTCAACCCCTTCAACTACCTCATGGGCAGCATGCTCGTCTTCGCCATCTGGGACACCCCCGTCGTCTGCAAGGCCGGCGAGCTCGCCCGCTTCGACCCGCCCGCCGGCTCCACGTGCGCCGAGTACCTGGCCAGCTACCTCGAGGGCATGGGAGCGAGCAGCAACCTGCTCAACCCTGGCGACGCCGCCGACTGCCGCGTCTGCCAGTACAGCAGCGGGAGCGACTACCTGCGCACCCTCAACCTCATGGAGTACTACTACGGCTGGCGCGACGCCGCCATCGTGGTCATCTTCGCCATCAGCTCCTACGCGCTGGTGTATGCCCTCATGAAGCTGAGGACAAAGACTTCGAAGAAGGCCGAGTAATGTCCTGCTCGCCACTCAGACACAACACAACGTGGCATTTGAGGCACTTGTCATGATTTCCTTCACTCTCAAAAGACATGTATTCTAATAGACTGCATCACATAGATTTTACTAGACTGCATCACATAGACCTTACCTACTAGACTAATTATATCATAGATACCACTTTAATTACCCATAGACGAAAAGATTGTCGTCTACCGTCTCTCCAAGAGATAAGAAGCGCTCCGCTTCGATTTCCAGAGGTTCGTTCGCGTGAGGGTCCCAAATTTTCACGAATTGGTCGGTCGACCCAGAAACTGGGACTGTTTGCTTGTAATTATATTCCCGCAATACATACCTTGTCGTACTGCGTTACTACTGTGGATCGACTGCGGGAATAGCTTGCGTCAAGCAGATGATTAAAATATATATTGTGATCGCTGTCTGATTTTCATACAAGTGGATATACACCACAGCATCACCAACCCGTGCTTTCAAAATGCTGCCGCGGCTCCTGCGGATTCTGGCCTGCAGAATGGTCGTAGTAAGGAGGATAGTAGGTCTGAAGTGCGGGCTGACCCTCGGGATCGGCGAGGTGCCCTTCCGAAGTTGACTCATGCCCTCCTCGGTATGGCTCCGGCATCTGCATAAACGGTTCGGCCACGACAGTCGACGAGGCGACCCCCTTCCGGTCGGTGACCTCGGGCCCCTGCTGCATCTCGTACGGATCGGGTCCGAAGCCCCCGTCGGCGTCGTCATGGTACGGAAGCAGGCCCGAGTTCACGCGTTGGACCTCGAACCCAGATGGCATGTGCGAGTCGAGACCGTCTTCGATGCCCCCTAAGTTTGGTGTCAGTATGTGCCAGAATCATGAATTCAAGGAGAGAAAGAAACAGAGAGAGCTCACAGATGAAGATATAGAAGAACTCAGCCACGACGGGTACCCACGCCACCAGCGCCAGGACCTGACCAAAGGTCCAGGAGTTCTGCGCGTCCGAGATACCGGCCGAGCGGACGATGGCGAGTCTGAGGCTGGCGAAGTAGAAGAAAACAGCCCACATGATCACCAGGTTAACCCAAGCCACGCCCAGCCGCCAGACGGACCGCCACTTGCGGATCCAGCGGTTGTTCACGACGCCGGGGATGCCGAAGCCCGTGACGAGAAAGGTAGTCACAATGATCCACAGCAGCGGGACGACGATCACAACAACCTCCACCGCCACCATGGCATCCCAGTAGTCCTTGCCGCCACGCTTGTTGCAAGGGTCTCTGTTGGCCTGCGTGTCGGGTATGTTGCGATCATCGTAGTCCGGGTTCCCGCGCGGGGAGAGGTACACCTCGACGGTGCCGAGAATCCAGAGGATGAGCATGACAGACCGCCGCATCCACAGGCGGTGCACGCCATCCGGCTTGTCCTCGCCGCCCGAGCCGTCCTTGTTGCTGTTGTGGTTGTTGTTGTTGTTGTTGGCGGCGCTGCTGCGACTGCCCTTCAGCGCGTAGAGCAGCATGACAGGGAAGACGGAGAAGCACGAGGCCAGGAACGAGAGGATCATGTCGTAGGCGGCGCTGCTGTGGAAGGGGAAGGCCACATTGAAAGAAGGCTTGGGGGCGTTCATTCCCTGGACGTCCAGGTAGAGGGAGGCGCAAAGCATGGCGAGGCTGATGAGCATGGCGCTGGACAGGAAGCTGTCGAGAGAGCCACGGAAAGCGTCGAGGGTGCGTTGGGTGAGGGACAGCTTCGACAGTCTGGCACGCAGGCCGGTGGGCTTGGCCTTTTCGCCTACATAGCCAATCGGAGCGTCGTGTTGACTGCCACTCTTTTTGGACTTGAAGTGTCGCTTTATATGCCACACGGTGAAAGCGAACAAGTAACAGCTAGAAAGTACTGCTTCAAGGATGTACGAGAGGAAGACCTAATGGGTGGACGCGACGAAGAGGGGTTAGAAGGTGAGCTGCGAGGATGTTAACCGCGGGGGTTTGTCCAAACGACTTACACCGATGCCGGTCAAATCGGGATTTCCGACATACGCCGCGGCCTGGCAAAACTCAGCCGGGCAACGTTTTGCAGGTTCGCTTAGCACCTTTGTAGTGAAGTTTTCATTCGGATTCCATCCGCCATCCTGAAAGTCGTCGGACCCTTCCCACTGGTAATACATGTTGTATGAGTACCACTTCGAGATTTCCTGGAAGGCCTCTGACAAGCTCAAGTTCCCCAGGAACTGTAACGGGTCGTCTCCTGGAAGCGCCGAGATGAACAGGGCGAGACTCGACCATGTGGCCGGACCAATCAGACTGTTTGGATCCCCGGGATCCGGCGTGAGGACGACGCCCACCCAGTCGCCCCACAGGGTGCAGTTCCTCGTGAAGTTGAGCACCTCCCATGGCGGGAGGTCGAGAAAGTGTACGCCGTCCGACATTATGGGCGATAGGCGAAAACTAGTGCGCCGTCGAGGCAACAGGGGGTGACGCCAGACGCAGGCAGAAGGAAACAAACAAAAAGGTTGAATGTCCAAGTGGGGAAAGAGAGAGGAGCCAAGAGTTTTCTTGAAGGGTTCGTGTTATGTATAATTAACGGCGCGACACACGGGTCCGATGTTGGCGTCTCCAGTGCCGTCCAAGATAACTGGGTCTACCATGTGGATGGACGTTGATTTTGGAGATAACCTACAAGGATGGAAATCCTTCTCGAAATTCTTTCGACCAAGCCCAATCAGGGGGAAGGTCGGGAAATAGCCATCACCACCACTGATAGGAGATCGTCCTCATCTCCTTCCTTGTGCAGAAGCTTAGTTGTGGTTATCCCTGCAAGGGGTAAGCGCTAATAAAATATTACTAATTTCAGCCTCGTGGGTCTTGTACGGATCCGTACCTTGTCATGCATTGACACTCGTGCCATCGTACTGAGGTGCTGCCCAACCGAGCCAACTCAGTCCTCCAGAAAATCAGGCAGCAGTTTAAAGTGTACCGCGCATGGACTTCCCCCACTTATGTGGGTGAGCCGAAAAGCAACAACCTCAAAAGCCCCTGAAGTGGGGGAGGCCAGATCGGGACCCATATGCAATGTAATTATAGACTGAGGCTCATCTGGATATCAGCCACTCAATACTCAATACACTATGCAGTAGGTACCCGTTTCCTCCCAGTCCTCCTCCAACTGTTGACCTTACGTTGAACACTTGCCACTGACTGTGTAATTCCAGCAGTGAGCGGATTGAGATCGGACGATGCGTCTCTCCACAGTCGTTTCTTCGCGCTTGCCATGCTCACACAATTGGCCCATGTCTCCAAGCTTATATTTGGGGGTGGCACGGGACTCGGCCCCTTCCTTGTCGATGAGTGCATCCCTGCCGAGCGGAGGGAAATGCCGCTGGCAAATTCATAATAGATGGGGTTGAGCTGTTGTTGGTTTAGCGTGTCAACGTATAGAGTGTCAAGGTATAATAGGAACTGGCACTCATAGGACACCACGAACCATGATGAGCAGACGTGATTCCAATGCCGAGTCCATTAGCAGCGCGATGGATGGATCTGTGCCGTTCCTCGGGTCTAGTGCCAGTGTCTTGGGTCAACAACAGCCAGCCAGAAGGTAAAAGGGTAAAATTAGTTGTGGTTTGATTTGAGCCCCAGGGAAACCTTTCCGGTACCGTTGATAGCAGACGTTTGCAACCCTCGATCAACTGAGCATCTACTTTCGAAGCTTGATGAGCCGATTTGGAGCTTGCCTCGAGTAGGCCTTCATGGTAGCCCAACACGAACAGTTAAAGCACGAGGCGGAAGCGCAGGTTTTGATTTAGTTTTCCCTCCCCAATCCTTCGTTTTCCCGGCCCATGACTCCCCTTACCGCGTGCTAAATCGCCATTGATATGGCAGCTAATAAACCGCAAAACGACACTACAATGTAAATATAAAAATAAAAGAAAGACAACGCGGTCTCCAGACCCGACGGCCCTAAGCCAGTTAATAACCCATAACCCATAATAGCAATAGAAGCCAGTAAAATATCCCTCGCATAGCCATGCAGATGCCCAAATACCCCAACAGAACGGAGTGTCTGATATGATCCAACATCCCCTCAAAGCAACGCTACTCACCCCAGCACGACACCAAGACCCTTCCTTCCCCCATTGATAACACCCACAACTCTTCTCCAGGCCTCGACCCATCAACCTGAACATACTCACTCCCTCCCCGTCACCGCCCTGAGCTTCTCAAGCGTCTCAGCCTGCTGCTTCAGCTCCGCCATCTTATTCACCTCCTCGGCAGTCGCGAGCTTCATATCCGCCTGCACGAGCCGCACCTCCGCCTCAAGGCCATGCAGCACCCGCTCAGCCTCATCGCGCTCGGCCCTGGCCTTATCCGGCTTGGACCGGATCGACTGCAGCAGGAACTCGAAGCACGACGCCATATCCCGCAGCACATCGACGGGATCCCCCTTCCCGACACCACCACCACCGCGCCCGCCGACCGCGCCATTGGGTGGCGGTCCCGGCGCAGCTTCGCCGAGGACGTCCCGGTACGACGCGCCGAGGCGCCGCAGCTCGGCCTCGAGCTGCGCGGCGCGGGCCTCGAGGGCCTCGGCCTCGGCGCGCAGGCGCGCGTGCAGCGACCGCGCCGCGTCCAGCTCCCGCTGCGAGTCGCTAAACTCCTTGGCCGCCTCGTCGGCCAGGAACTTGGCCCGCTTGTGCACCGCGCTGCTGATCTCCAGGTCCAGCTCCGCCTGCCGCACGGCGCGCTCTTGGCTGATCGCGCTGTGTTTGCGCTTCTTGCTGCTCCGGCTGGCGGTGGTGGTAGTGGTGGTGGTGGTGGTGGTGGCTGTGGGGGCTTGCGCTGCCGTCGACGAGGGGCGCGGGGAGGGGGAGGGTTGTTGGGGTGGTTGGGATTGGGTCTGGGGCTGCGGTTGTGGCTGCGACTGCGGCGGCGGCTGCGACTGCGGCTGGGCCTTAGATTGGGGTTGGAAATATGACTGAGAATGGGATCGCATGTTGACAACGGGTGGGGACACGGACTGGGAGACCGAGCCGGATAAGTATTGGGGGTTGGGGTGGGATTCAGCGCGACCTTGGGACGACGAGGAGCTGGAACTGGGGGTGGAGGTGCCGAGTGCAGCCGCCGCCGCCTGATTCGACATGCTGAAGGCGGCCTGGGAAAGGAGTTTGAGGGCACTGTTCGCCTGCTTCTGGGCGCTAGCCCCGCTTCGAGACTCACCCTGTTGTGGCTCGGCGTTGGCTCGACTGGAGGTCTGGGACGGAGGAGGCGGTCGTCGGGGCGACGGAGCGCGGCGAGTCTCGGCAGAGGACGCCACGGCTGGGACGGGGGAGGGACGGAACCCGGAAGTAGGTTCGGTACGAGTGATGGTCGAGGCCTTCTGTGTCACACTCGCGGGTTTGGTTGTGGGAGGGGGGCGATTCGGGGTAACAGTTAATGTCTTAACGGGGGGCCCCGAAGGGCTAGGGGCGGTAGAAGCGGGGTTGGGAGGGGCAGTGGAGGCCGTGGAGGAGGCAGTGGATGGTTTGGCCGCAGTAGCCGCACCTCTAGAGGAAGCAGGAGAGGGCCTGCCAGCGATTGGCGAGGTTCCATTAACAATAGACGAAATGGAAGTGCGACTCGCCGTTTGTGGGCTACGACTGGAACCTGATAGTGCCTGCCCAGTCTTTTTCGGGGTTGACCTAGGAAATACACCTGCTTGAGGTTTGGTATGTGCAGTCGGTTTGTGATTATTGCCTGGGGAAGCCCGCGGTCGGGCTGGGCTTCTGGTATCAGAGCTCGGGGTTGGTCGAGGCTCCGGTGTAGGTCTATGTTCGATGGTCGAGAAAGGTCGAGTTTCGGAAGGCAAGCGGAAGGCAGTGGAGGAACTGGTGCTAACTGTCGAAGGTTGCGCTGTAGAAGCGGTCGCGGGCGGAGGCCTCAAATCTGACATGTTTGAGAGAGGATGGGCGAGGCGCGGCTTATTATTCTTCTTCTTCGCGGGTTTCGCAGCACGGTCGTCGTCGTCAGATCTCGATTCCGAGCCAGAATGCGAGGGTCCCTTGGAGGCGCGTCGAGATTGAGATTGCGCCAGCGGTTCGTCTTCGGAAGAGCTCACGGCGCCATCGGTTCCGACGTGCGAGGATTCTTCGGCTGACGATTCGACAGAGCCACAGACAACGATCTATAGAGCGCGAAAGACAGAGTCAGAGTCTTGGTTGATCCGAGCGTGCGTGGGTAACGAGAACAAAGAAAAAGGAGGGGGGAAACAAAATTAGTTGGCGAGGGCCCGCGCTTACCGACAGTTCGGCCACCGGTTCCGAGTCTGAAGACACCTTGTCAGCGGTCAAGGACTCGAGGATGGCGTGTACGTCGCCAATAGTGAGGAATTCGCTCTGGTTGACGGGCAGCCGGCGCAAGCTTGACGTGTCGTGGAGGCGTCGCTTGATCTGGTCGAGAAGGAGGGTTTTTGCTTGGTCGAGCGGCTTCTGCCCAGCGAGGGTGAGCAGCGACACGAGTAGATTCTTGCCCCAAAATGGAGGATTTAGGTCGCGAGGGAGAATCTCGTGCAGGGAGGCCAGCGACCACTTCTCGAGGATGGATGTTTGGGCTTTTTGGGCTTTTTCCCTGTCAATGCTGTCTTTAATGTTTGCCGGCGATGATGGGGAGGGCAAGCCATTATTCGTGGGCGCTGCTTGTGGTGGCATTATTTCTCAACGGCGTCCTTTTACCAAGTAATTGCATCTGGGGGCACACGCCCATGCTTCTGCTTGTCTCGGCCTTCTCTTTCTTTTTTGGAGGGGGCGCGCAGTTTCGATGTTGTGGTGCAAACCTAAGCCAGAGGGGATTCCTAGCTTGCACGTGACCTAGCGCGTTTGGCGCGTCTGGCCCCAGAGCGCCTTTGTGACGTCTCTCAACGATCTGGGGTTGTAAAATTGGAGGAAGAATCGGCATGTATGAATTGATACGCATTTGGTCAGGCACTTTGGCCAATTCTTAGGCATCAGCTCGAGGCTTTATATTCTCAAGAAGGGTATTCTCTGTTTGCACGCGTCTTTGCCATCAGATTAGGTAATCACGAGCACCCAACGCCCAATGGCTGAGAAGTCGATAACAAAGAAAAATAATAGCTGGAATTTTACACATCCCAGCTGATACGCCACCGAGTCCTCTCCGCCACCTTTTCCATAATACCGAAATCATGTGTCCAACTATCGCCCAAACCGGCGACTCCCTTGCCCTTAGTTACGTAACAAAGAATGTTCTGATGTGGCGCATGGGCAACTCGAAGTACAGCTGAAGCTTCCGTTTCCTCTCTTTGTCCTGATTTCGAGCTCTCGCCCACCCTAGCATAACCTATGTGCTGATAGCCAATACTGTCCCTGGGACGTTCTCATCATGCCGAAAGAGAGCCGGAGGTGGAGTTCTTCTGCAGTTCTTCATGCCTACTTCCTGATTGTCTTTGATCGGTAGGTTGGTAAGCGTATCTCCCTCATGTTAATAAATCAGTTGAGATCAGCTAATTATATTAGAGGTCCCACAGCATTTCGCACAGTTCGATGATTTACAAACTCCGTTTCGGTGCTTGCACCAAACAGATCCAAACCCAAGTAGTATTTCTGACTGGAGGCTCAATACTGGGTCGATTTATATCTCAGGGAAGTGAACCAATATCAAAGACGTGTAAATGCATGCAGCACCAATTTTGACGAGTCTCTGCGTTCTAACATGAATGTATGTACAGTACATCCTATGGCACCCATGGGCTTCCTAATATCCCACATCCTGACCCAGCTCCGCGGGCGGGTCGCCGAAACCGCAGTTTGGCTGAAAACAATGGGTAATGGTATGGATGAACCGGATCTTACCATTCTCGATCCGGAACTGATGGCTATCAGGCAACCCGCTGCCGCTCTCGCCGCCGCCAAAGCTCATAAACACGTCGACGGAGCCCAAAACCTCGTCGATGACGTATCGGCGGTTGACCAGCTCGACGCCAGTCGGCACGCCGCTGATGCACGTGTCCCCCGGCGCCGTGTACAGGCCGCCCTCGAGCCGCCTGCAGCCGTCCGCCCAGGGCACGTCGACGCTCCCGGGGCCCTTGCGAAAGAGATCTAGGTACGCGTCTGCGGCAGCCTGGATCGTCTCCCGTGTATCTCGCTGCGCCTCGGGGACAGGATCCCACGCCTCCGCGAGCGTGTAGTGCAGCGTGTGCTGCGGGTTGAAGAGCCAGTCGCCGGCTTCGGTCACGATGGTCTCGACCTTTGCGATGCCGGTGCCGTTCCACCCGCCGCCGTCGGCCGCGAGGCGGATCTGCGTGCCGATGACGTAGGGGTGCGCCGGGTCGGCGATGATCAGCTCCGTGTACGTCGAGCACGCCGTCGTGTCGTGGATACTGCGGCTGTGGTCGATCTTCAGCGCCCGCGAGAGGATCCCCGCCCCAATGGCCGTCGCGTTGGCGTTCTCCGTGTACGTCGTGTTGGCCGTCAGACCCTGTAGGTAGCGGATCTCACCGAGGCTCTGCGCCGCGACGTAGCGGCTCGTTGTCTCGATTAGCGTCGACCGGTCGCATCCTGCTGCTGCCGCGGGCGCTACAAATGCAGACGCGAGAGCGCCGAGGCGCAGGCAGGTGCTGGATTTACAATTCGTCATGGCGAAATCGGCAATGTTGATGTGACAAGGTGGGACGATTTCGCACCCGGGTACCCGATGATGTAAGGAGGTCCAAAATGGTTTCTTCCAATTTCCTCACTGACCCCAGGGTTTGATACAACTACCGGGACTGTTGTAGAAGAATTGTGATGGGTACCCCTCGCTCTCAGCCGGACTGTCGGGATTAATAGAGGATAATGTCCCGTTCATATAAGTCCAATCTATTTGACCCGGGTGGAACCTTAGTTTCGACAATTAGTTTCCAATGGCTGATTATAATTTTGTTCGGTGGGCCATCTGCAAAACTGTCGTACATCCATAGTAATGGGCTTTTCGGCATTCTTTGAAAATTAAACGAATGAAAATAGCATTAAAATGGATGGCTGGGCTTAGGTTGAATAAGCAGCATATTCTACAACCTCGTTTTATCCCTGAACTTGACAAACTGAAACGTCGTGAAGAATTTCCTTCTTCGGTTTCAACTATGAGATCACCGAGCCACAATTCATTATATCTTCTGGTAAGAGCCGACTGACATTTAGCTGAAGCTCGCGACGGCCCTCGTTGTATTGAAAGACAACCACTTACCAAGCCCGTACGACTATTCTAAGTTATTTGCTGGAGTGCTCTGGTGTGTGTGATATCGAAATATACTAGTTTTCGCTTTATAGCTATCCCATAGTTCCAGCAAGGTATCTCAAACCGTGTTTCTCACTGGCGTCAACAATTGGCCTAGAAATTTACTAAGACGGCTTGCCGGTTTGCTAAACACCTTCCCGGGCGGCGGGGTCCCGAAGTTACGGCTCGGGAGGTCCACGAAAAGCGGGTCCTACACTAGACCCACCGAGTTGAAGCCCGAGCCAGGCAGCCAGGGAAGAGGTATCTGCTTGTACCAAAGGGGGTATTGACCGAGCCCTACTGACCGAGTATTCTGAGAGAGTATGAAATATAATTGCGTCCATGAACCTCGTCCACGTATTCTTTCATGCTGGTCGGAAAGAGTTGCTTTCAAATGGGGTATTCCCAGAATGTCCTTCCCACAGCATACTCCGTAATTACACCCTGCTCAGCCATGTCAGGGCACCTTTTACACTCCTGCGTCGAGAAGCTAGCTCCGAGGCAGGTCTGAAGGTGGTTCCCCGAGTGTTTGGTGTCTACGCTAATGCAGCCTTGATCCAATGGAACCATAATTCCGTTCCCCACCAAGCTTGGCGCTACCGATACGGATCTAGACATCGACCGTCATGAACTAACTTGGTATCTAGCCCAGTGTCTGAGCGCGAGCTAATCCCTTCAGGCATGTTTGGGAACACATCGACGTTCCAGAAGGTGGGGTCTAGCCTGTCGGATCTCGCGAACACCCCAGATTAGCTGGGTCGTCCCCTGCCCTAGTCCCAGCCCCCTGTGCGCTGCTGAAATGATGTGTATGGGTGGTCGTGGTGATTACGGATATGTATATAGTTAGGCTGCCCGGGGAGGTGGGCCCTCGTGTGCCCACCCTGCTTCCTTCCCGTGTCTCCATCCCGCCCGGGCGGCTGCGTTCCTTCCCAGCGTTCCATCCTTCGATCGCACCCATAATAATGTCTGGAAATGACAGTCAGCGTGCAACAGCCTCCCAGTGGGTCCTCGTCCCGCTCGCTGCAATAGCCCTCGGTCTCAGGATATACTGCAAGTGCACCCGGTCACGCGGGGTCTGGATTGACGATCATGTGTTGGTCTTTGCATGGGTACGATATCTCCCCCCATCCTGCTCCGCTTGAAACCCTTGGAAATGCATTGTTAATCGTTTCTCGATTTATCTTAGGTCTGTCTTCTCATCGCCGTTTCACTTCGGACCGACGCCATGGCCGTTGCCTCTGGCAGGGCTGTATTCGAAGTCGAGCCAAGCATCCAGCCGCGAATAGGCAAGCTGAATGCCATCAGCGGCGTGTTCGCCATTGGCGCCGCAATGCTGAGCAAGACATCGTTTGCCCTGACGCTGCTGCGGGTGCTGTTTGGTAGGCTGAGGCCATTGCTCTGGTTCATTGTCGTGTCCATGAACGTGGCGCTCTTCTTATCCGTCCTCTTCGTCCTCATTCAGTGCAAACCCGTCGAGAAGGGGTGGAACCCGACAATCCCCGGTTCATGCTGGCCCGCGTCTGTTGCGGTGCGTTTTGGGTTGTTTTCCTCCAGTAGGTGAAGCCTTGGAGACCATCCCTCGCTGTATTGACGCTCACGGGAAAAAAAGTATACTCCACTGTCATGGACTTTGTCCTAGCTGGCATTGCATGGCGAGTAATCTGGGGCCTAACGATGAAGCTCCGCGAGAAGATTGGAGTTGCCGTGGGGATGAGCATGGGCGTCTTGTAAATGAGTCCCACTTCCACCTTTTCACCCCGACCCAAATGCTGACCATTTGCTAGTGCAGGAATCACTGGCGTGGTCAAGTGCATTTATCTATCCAGGCTGGACTTCTGTAAGTCACTTTGTCCTTTACATATCTTCCCCAACAGGTGGGACGGCTCGCTGATATGATCTCCAGTCGAGCTTTACATTTGGGAGGCAGCAGAGATTGCCGTGACCATCATGGCCGCTTCCGTTCCCGTTCTCAGAGTGTTTGTCGTGGAAAAGGCTCGCCAGTATAATTCTTCAAATGCACGGACGACGAGTGTTTCACGCGTACAGCCCGCTCGATCCGGAGCTGTGCTTCAGGCACATGCATTTGAACGAATTTCTACAGAATCTATCCGCTCCAACCCAGATGGAAAAGGCGACAGAAACGTATCGTACGAGTTATCGGACAGCATCGTCCCCTCCGAAGCACCAAGAAGTCAACAATATTGCAAGGGGTCGTTTTTGGAAGTGAGATAGAGTATGTGATGAAACTGAGATCATGATCATGTATTATTACTAGTTGTAATCAACGTTTTGGCGTCGATCGAGTGATACTATTGGTCTCTCGGGCTTGAGATTAACGGGCTTAAACCCAACCCTACTCCACCTGCCCATCCCACCCCTCCAGATGACCAACAGTCACGCCCGCAGCGGGCCCCGACAGCACACACGCTCCCCGGCGGGCAGTGGGCGCTGGTGCCGCAGTCGAGCAGGCCTGAGCAGGACGTCTGCCCGTCGACGCGAAAACCCGTGCCGCCCGTGATGGCGGCGCAAACGCACGAGCCGCCGGGTCCGCAGGGCCCGGAGGTGCTGCACGACTGGCCCGTGCAGGAATTCAAACAGCAGGCGCCGTTGGTGCAGAAGCCGGTGGGGCACTATTTTTTTTATTTTAATTTTTTTTTTTTTTTTTTTTGGGGGGGGGGGGGGGCGGGTTGGGGTAGAAGGTGTGAACTCAGGTGGAAGTTGCTGTCACTGCAGTCATCAGGGTCGGTCTTCGTGTGACGTACTTGTCGGGGCAGGCTATGGGTGAGATGTCGTCGCAGTCACAGTCGCAATATTTCTGGATAGTCTCGGTGTAGTGCTTGGTGGCGTTGGCCCCGGACACCATCAGCGACCGGTGCGAACTCCGTGTTGCGCAATGTGAAGGTGGTAGAGCCGTGGTTATTGACTGGTTGGTCGGAGCGAGGAGTGCTGCCGCCTGAGAGATTTGACTTACCGCAAGAAGCATCGTGGAAGTTTCAAGCATCAAGAAAGTCAAAGTTGGGCACGAAGTAGCCCAGAACCCCTCTAGCCCGCATTCGTGGGATGTCACGGGTATTGGGGGGACACGCACTTTGTCCCAGGAATAGGAGTGGTTAATAACCCAATCCTGACATCCCTGAAGGTGAACAATAGCAAATCAGGAAGTTGACATCTAACGTACATCTAAGTCTTGCGAACAAGGGTTATGAGTGTGAAAGTGGCATTAGCACGTGGGCAAACTGGATGAGTCTCATAGGTGTGCTTAACTAAGACCTGCCCGTTTGAGCCTACTGGATGAAGTACGGGTCTTCTAGGCCAATCCAGGACCCTTCTGAGGAGCACGCCCGCCCATGGAAACTGCACTAAACCTCTTGGCGCCTGGTTCGCCACGTGCATTCCATGAATTCTAGTCAGGCACGAGAAGTAATTGGGAGCTGTGAGAGGTTGTCATTGAGACGGACGCATGCAGCTTGCAGTGAAATTATTGATTCGCAGTCGGACTATTCCTAATTATTTCCTCTTTTTCGTTCCAGTTCGGCGGGCCCGGCGGCGGAACATGACCTTAAATACCCCCGTCGATCCCTACAGCTGGTGATTGTTTTGTCGGCCGTCCCCCTGCATTGTAGCTGATTACAGATAAAATGTTTGGTATGAAGACGTTTCTCCTTGAGCTTGCCCTCGCCGCCGGGCCTGCGCTGGCGGCGGTTTCGGGCTCCTTGTCTTGCCCCGCCGACACTCCGCTCAGCTGCCACAACACCACTGCGTACGACAACACGTGCTGTTTCAACTACCCTGGAGGTCAAGTCCTCTTGACTCAATTCTGGGACACCAGCCCTTCCACGGGCCCCGCTACGTCGTGGACTGTCCACGGGCTTTGGTACTTATTTCCCCTTCTCCATCTCCCGGCTCCCGGCTCTTGTGACCACCGCCTGGTGTGCCCCCCCCTAAGTGGCCCCACTGACACAGGCGCAGGCCCGACAACTGTGATGGAACCTATGAGCAGTATTGCGACCAAAAGAGGCAGTACACAAATATCAGTCAAATTCTGAGCGGTCGCGCCCCCTGCACTCTCAAGTACATGGAAAAGTATTGGAAGGATTATTCCGGAGACGACGAGGACTTCTGGGAGCATGAGTTCGGCAAGCATGGCACCTGCATGAGCACCTTGGAGCCGTCTTGCTATCCCAACTATCAGCCGGGTGACGAGGTTGTCGACTACTTCAAGCGAGCCGTGCAGGTGTTCAAGTCGCTTCCCTCGTACGATTGGCTCGCCGCGGCCGGCATCGTGCCCTCGGCGACGGCGACGTACACTCTTGCCGCGATCCAGGCAGCTCTCAAGGCCCACCACGGCCACGACGTCATCATCAACTGCAGCGGTAACAAGCTCAACGAGCTTTGGTATCACTACAACGTCCAGGGCTCGATTCAGTCTGGCACCTTTGTCCCGGTTCAGTATGTTGGGCCGCCGCCTACCTGCCCCTCGACTGGTATCAGGTACCTACCCAAGTATGCCACCACCCAGCCTACAGCCACGACTACCACAGCGCCACCTACTTCGACAGCAGCGCCTGGTGAGCCAGGTGTGCTCTCTGGCAAGGGTCGGCTCTACGTCAACACTCCAAGCTCATCCAGCGGCGGCTTCCTCATCAGCGGAGGAACGTGGTACCGGGCTGGTGGCACCCCGGCCACGTACACGGCGACACCCGATGCTAGCGGCTCAACCTTCACCCTCACCACCAGCAAGGGCAAATGCGCGGTTCAGAGCGACACCTCTTTGACTTGCGGTGCTTCTGTCTCTGCTGCCAGTTCGTTTGGTTACGACGGTACCTACTTGACTTACGACGGGAAGTCCACTTTCTACGCGACCAGCCTTCCTAGCGGGACCGAGCAGGGAATTGTTTATACCACTTCCAAGGATGTCTCGCTTCAGGTTACCTGGACGGCTTCCTAGGAGGTGGTCCTATGACCTGAGTTGGGAAGAGAGAGGGGGGTTATTGACATAAGAGTGTCTGAAAATGTGGTACGCGGAAGCTAGCTAAAATCTAGATCTGGTTAGATAAGAGAAATCCACTTGATTTTAACTCCCAGATGTTAATTACTAATGACGACTGTGGTTTTAACAGCTGAGAAGAGAGTGGGGAATATCCAAGACAACTTCTACCTGCCTTCTTACCCAATAAACCTAAGCCTAATCAGCCGTATTCCTTCTCTACCTTGCCCTATGATCCCGGTGTGTCTTCCCTCGAGAAATCTCACGTACTCCTTACGCCGAAAGTGACGCCACTGATAGCCCCGTTGCTAACTCCTATTTGAAGCCCGCTATTGCCCGTTCCAAAAGTCACCGTTGGCATATGGGCCTTCTGTGCCTCTTTTCTGCCCATCTCTTCTCGAATCGTCTTAAGCAACTCTTCAAGTAGCTTCTGCGACGCATCTAGAGTCTTCTGTTCCTCCCCAATCTGGGCTCGCTCGTCGGCCTCGTCCTTGGTTTCTGCCTGTTCCTGCTGGTGGCCCTGGTTGAGCTCTTCGAATCTTGCCTTGACTTCAGCTAGCTGTCTGTCCGTTCCTGCAATGGCGTTGCTGATCACGGCCTCCTTATTCGATACCATCGTTCGCACCTCTTCGGTGAGGTGTGTGTGTCGAAGTGAGCTATGCCTGTCTATGTCGTTAGCGGTCCGAGCACTGAGGGCTTTCGAGTTTTACGCACAGAGTTGCGATACTAACTACCGCATTGAGAGTGGTCTTGCAATTGCGCAGCTGCTCTGACATTGACGCGATCCTTTTCTGCTTGAAGAAGCCCACGTTGGCGCGATCCTGCCACGATAGCTTCCCTTCATCGGAATGTCTGGTCCATTTCTGGATGTCCGCTCTGAATATGCCGCACGATTTGGCGCAGGTATTCATCACTGCCTTTGAACGGTCAACGGAGGCCCAGCCAAGGGATTTCCACTGTGCATCTGTCACGTCGCGGAGGGACTGGAGAGCCATGTCCATGGACAGCAGATCTTCTTTCAGGATTGCGACAGACGTGGGCGCATCGCTGATCTTCTGAAGGTCGTCTAAGAGAAGTCGGGTTACATGCATTGCCGGGGCAACAATGCCCACAATGCTCGCGGTAATGCTCAGAGGATCAGCCATTGTGCTCCGATGCTAAGGCACTCGGCAATAGTTTATGAGGCTGGGAGTTAGGAGGGGTTATAATCGGAGGATAAATATCGCGAGTCAGCCCAACCACCCAATCGCTCAGCCGCTTAGCCGCCCAGCCGCCCAACTGCCCACCCTGCCCATGCATCTTCCTCCATCAACTAAGCTACTAGCAACCTGCCGACCTCTCTACCATAGATTCCTGACTACTATTCCGTACCGCAGCCTCTCTGCCGAGATGGACTAAATCACTGCTGAGATGGATCAGAACACCCACGATGACATCCCCGCGATGGCCCCTGACACCCCCGCCAAGGATCAGAACAACCCCGCCAGGGGTCAGAACACCCCCGCGATCTCCTTCGGCAACGACAATAAAGGCCTGCAGGTTGGGCAAAGCTATGCCCCAATCACGGCCCAGATCCATCTCCCACCTGGTAAGTTCTACTAGAGGCATATCTGATCTCGGCAAAGCTAATTAGCGGCTCGCATGAAGAACGACCAGAAACCCCGCCAAAGCCGTCGTCGACGATCCCCTTCCGCCGTGACCGTGATTTCATCAATCGCGGAGACCTCCTCGAGAAGATCCATCAGCTATGCTCCATACCAGCCGGTCGTGCGGCTCTCGTGGGCTTGGGCGGCGTTGGGTGGGTAACAAGAAACGAGGAGGCTCCCAGAGCCAGTTGAGGCGACGCTGACTGGAGGATAGCAAATCCCAGCTCGCGATCGAATATGCCCACCGAATAAGAGAAAGCGCAGGCGACCTTGAACCAAGCAAATCCTGGGTATTCTGGATCCACGCCAATACCGCCGCGCGCGTCCAAGAAGGCTTCAAGGCAATTGCCGACGCGGCCAAAGTTCGCGGCCGGAACGAGCCAAAGGCGGACATATTGCAGCTGGTCTACCGCTGGCTGTGCAACGAAGGAAATGGGAGGTGGTACATTATACTTGACAGCGCCGACGATCTCGACGTCTTTTGCGACGCCAAGGTCACTGCCAGTGGCCAAGCCCTGTCGACGTATCTGCCACAGAGCCAGAACGGGTCGATCCTCATCACCACGCGTTACAAGGAGGTGGCCTGGAAGCTGGCCGGAGATAACAGAAGCATCATTGAAGTTGGGGCGATGACGCAGACCGATGCCCTTTCGCTCCTGGAGAAAAAGCTAGGGGCCCAGCCGGCCACGGACGCGGCGGTGGAGCTCGTGGCAGAGCTCGACGGGATGCCACTGGCCATCAGCCAAGCAGCAGCTTACATCCAGCAGGCGAAACCACGGAGCTCGGTGGAGAAATACCTGGAGAAATTCCGCAAAAGCGAGCGCTGGAAAAGTTCCCTTCTCCAGCATGAGGTGGAAGACCTGCGGAGGGACGGATACGTGTCGAACTCGATCCTCAAGACGTGGCACATCTCTTTTGACCACATCCGCTCCAAGCGGCCATCCGCGGCAGACCTGCTCTCACTCATGAGCTTCTTTGACCGGCAGGGTATCCCGGAGTGGCTGTTGAAGCCTCCCGAAAAGGATGATCGGCAGGAGGGTGGCAACAACAGCAGCGGCGACCGTGGCCAAGGCTCGGCCGAGGGCGACGAGAGCGACACCAGCGCAGACGTGGCTTTCGAGATGGCCTTCGACGAAGACGTACTGACACTGAGGAACTACTCTCTGGTCATCACCACCAACGAGGACGGGGACGTCTTCGAGATGCACCGCCTGGTGCAGCTGTCGACGAGAACCTGGCTCAAAGCCTCCGGTCTCCTGGAGAGATTCAAGCGGCTGTACATTGCGCGGATGCAGGCGTTTCCGGAGCCGGACTATAGCAATTGGAAGACCTGCCAGCAGCTGTTCCCCCACATCGAAACGGCTGCCAACAATCGGCCGACTGACGAGGAGTCGTGTCTAAAATGGACCTCTATCCTCTACTATGGCGGATGGTATGCGCAAACGCAGGGCAGATATGACTTGGCGGGTGAGATGTTGAAGAAGGCAATGGCAACTCAAGAAACGATTCTTGGTAAAGGACATGAGTCAACGCTGGCTGCTGTATCTGCATACGCGAGGGTCCTGAGTGACAAAGGGTTGTATAAAGAGGCGGAGGTACTTGCTACGCAGGTGCTAGAGGGAACAACGAAGGTGTTAGGAGTGGAGCATCCTGAGACACTGACGAGCATGAACAACCTAGCGTTAACCTATCAGGACCAAGGCCGATGGGATGAGGCTGAGAAGCTAGAGCTGCAGGTCTTGGAGATAAGGAAGAAGGTGCTTGGCATTGATCATCCATACACACTGACTAGCATGAACAACCTAGCGTCAACCTACTGGAAGCAAGGCCGATGGGATGAGGCTGAGAAGCTAGATGTGCAGGTCTTGGAGATCAGGAAGAGGGTGCTTGGCATTGATCATCCAGACATACTGACTAGCATGAACAACCTAGCGTTAACCTACTGGAACCAAGGCCGATGGAATGAGGCTGAGAAGCTAGAGGTGCAGGTCTTGGAGATAGGGAAGAGGGTGCTTGGCATTGATCATCCAGACATACTGACTAGCATGAATAACCTAGCGTCAACCTACTGGAACCAAGGTCGATGGGATGAGGCTGAGAAGCTAAAAGTGCAGGTCTTGGAGATCAGGAAGAGAATGCATGGCATTGATCATCCATACACACTGACTAGCATGAACAACCTAGCGTCAACCTACTGGAAGCAAGGCCGATGGGATGAGGCTGAGAAGCTAGATGTG